CTCAGGGTTCAGCCAGCTAAGCTACCCCGATTTCCAGGAACCAAAGAAGTTCCTCCAGAGAGCCTGGAGTTGGTCTTGAAGCGTTTCAGTCGAGCGGATCATCCACGGTTTCCTCCCCTTTCCGATGATCCCTCTGCGAGATTTTTTCTTCAAGACTTCGTGGTCCAGTACGGAGAGTAAAGTTCTCGGTTTCAGCGAGTCGATGAAAATCACGCGCTGATTCATTAGATACAGGGTTTGTCAGACATCGGTCATGAATTCTGCGCACCTTCAACCTTCGTCTGCCATTCCTCCTTCATGTTCGTCCGAATCAGGAGCACGAAACTAGCGTGCGTGCGGTGAGAGCTTGAGATGGATGAAACATGAAACCCATGCGGATCCTCCCGGATGGCGCCGCAACTCATCAGTTGTCATGAATGCTTCGACCGAAGAGAGACTTCAACGATAGGTCGGAGACGCAATTCCAGACACAGAATTGAGAACAAGCTCAGTGCAGCTTGCTCGGACGCTGGTTAGGCGGTTCTCCGACGAGAATCTGTATCAATTTCACCTGTCGTTGAACGGAACATTCTAAGGGGCTGATTTGCCGCCTTCCGCGTTCTCCGAAGTGATGGTGATACGCACTCACTCAGCCCGTAGACCGAGCGCCGACTCCACGGGCAAAACGCGAAATTCCTCTGCATCCGTTCCCAGGACTGTATCGCTCGGGCGTTTAATCTAGACCCGGGGCTCATTGAAAGTCGAGTGCGATCGATTTCAACACTTACCTCGGACTGTGGCAGATTGAGCACTTATTGTTCGACGAATTGTTGACCGCGGCGGCCTCGGGTACGTATACTGGCTGTAACCTCGGTCCATCTCTCGCAGGTATACCTTCAGTATACGTAAACGATCGCCAGCCGTACTTCGGGAAAGCCCCGTTCGTTGAATCTTGGTCGCGCCCACGAGCGCTACGTATCTCTCTCGTCGGTGCGGAATTCGGATCCTGTCGCCGAGCAAAAGTTCGATGCACAGATTCGGCATGGGACGACTCCTCGGACTCTGGTGTCGATTTCAAGGAATCTTGATTCGGGTGAACCGTGTTCGTCGGGGAACTGCTGCGCTTTCTCGGAAGTTCACGGACCAATGTATCTTCCAGAGCCCAGGACTTCGAGGTGTGGGCAGCAGGGTATAAACTCTACCCTCACGTAGCTTGCGGACGTATCGGGTTCGACTAGCACCGATTCTCCAGAAAGTAGGCTCCCGGGAGAAACCTAAGGAAGTGAAACGAACTGAGCTCTTACGGGAGAGCGAGGGAGCCTGACGCGACGAGCCTGGGGACATCCAATCAACCCGATCCTTGACATGGGGGACCAGCTTCTGAGCACGTTTTGATTAAAATTAAACTTCACAGAAGGTGTCGAAGGAACACAACTCCGAGTTCTATCGATACTCTCCGACATCGGCGAGAGCACGACGAGTTTCCACCACACAAACTCCTCCATGCGATCTATAAGCAAATGTCGGACTTTTCGACTACTGATATAGCGTTAGGGCGGAACCGATCCCATCGAGAGACCGCCTCCAAGGCGTCGGTGAAGAAGTGCGTAGCTGAAGGGTCTTTTCTCAACGGTACGAGTCTCCCCGCTCGCAGTTGTAAAACCACCACGATTAGATGGGTTCAGTCGTTGCCTGTGTGATCGTTCGCCGGCCACAGCGGCGGCGACTCGGATCTCCACCAGTCTGCACATGGGTTCCTTTCTGCTGCGGCATTGTTGTGTGTTGTGTGCGTGAGTGCGTGTCTGACTGACTATAGTGTGAAAGAGAGAGTACGCTTGGTGACTCATTCTGGGATGAAATTATGCTGGGAGCAGCTCGGAGCCCGTTTCCAGATGGCTCTGAATGATTCGTCATAAAAAAGACCGGACTAGGGGCCAGAGTCTACTCGTATAAGGACGAAACGGCTTTGCTGGTTGGCTCGAACCTGGCAGGCAGGCAGGCCGGCCGACGGGAATAGCTTGAATCATTGACTGATTTACAACGACGACAGCGACTCTAAGCATTGTTATTAAGTTTGTTCTTATCGTCGTTGCTCGCCGCCTGCGAGTAATTTCAGCGCAGATCCTGTCAACCCGAACGCCTCGAGATCAGACTGTGACATGTGAAGAAACGAGGGGCGCTGCGATCGCGATCTCTGAATGATATTGATGACCCCATGGAGCACATCGTTCCATGAGAAGTTCCGGGATGCGTCCCGAACGCATGACGGGAACCTCCCGAGTTGAGGAACTATGGACCACGGGCGTGATAATTCTCGCGATCGATTCGAGTCGCCGCTCTGTTCTTGTAGGTCTGAGAATGTGTCTCACCCGAACGATGCAGCGGCGTCGTCTAAGATCACGGCTTGGTGGGGCAAGCATTGATTTCCAGGGGTTAACCTCCGAGATGATGATCTTTGCAAGTCAGGCGCTTAGCGCGTGCAGGGGGAGTAGCTATCGCTGTACAATGCCTCTCTCATTACTCCGCGGCCGTGATGTGGCCGATAATCGGGGAATGGGACTGGAAGGGAATTCAGCTTTGTCGACAGGGAAGACTGGCGCTGCCGCTGATTCCACGAGTCATTTGTGGCGAAACAGCTTCCGCCTTTCGAAACGGGGCTCACGGTGCTCAGCCTTCACACAGAGGTAAAAGCTCTATAGATCTCGGATTCGCGAGGGCGATCCAGGGCTTTCCCTCATGTAATTCACTGATGGTCACATGACGGAGAGATTGAATTCTGAATGGGAATGTGTATTCGCGAATTCACGTAGTTTCATCCGAGAAGCCAGCGTTCGCAGTCTCCTCCACTCATCTCTCAGGGAAGCACGTCACATTGTGCCGAGTTCAGGGAGTCTATCCCGCCCTACATCGCCGGAGAATTTCATTTCCGCTCACGACCTTTGCCGCCTCTTTACGTACATCGACTCTTCCCAAGATTTGCTCGCAACGTGCGCGCGGGTGCCGCAAGAGGGGAAAACGACAAATGATCCAAGTACGAGCCGCTCCAAGGCGATTTCACGCTGATTCCCTCTGCGATCGAGAGTAGAGGCGGGAACCCTCGCGCTCTCGCTTCCATCCGTCAGCGAATTGCGGTTGAGGTTCAGCGAGGCAACTCAAGGCTCATTGCGAGTGGGGTCTTCCAGTATGAGACCTTAGGGACCCCAGTTTCCTGGGCGGCTAGCTTTCCTCGGACTTCTCATTTTCAAGTAATCTCATTCTCTATCAATAAAACCAAAGTTATTCCCAAGAGGTGCGAGGATTACTGACCGCGAGTTCTTTGCTCCACAAGGGCGAGGGGCTAAGAAAGCAGTAAGGTGTAGGAACTAGACGGAAGAAAGTGGCGGCGAACTCGAGCCAGCACCGACATCGAGCTCAGCAGTCCAGGCCCGGAAGCGGCATAGTGCACCCGAGAGCTGTCCACGCAGGAAGACACCAAGGGATCTGCAGTCATGCCGAATCCCCAATAGTCGGATGTTCTATGAGCCGTGCTCCGTTGAAGAGGAACATTGATAGATCATATCAAGGGAATGGGAATATGCAGGCCCGACTAGAGGAGGGGGGGTTCCGAGACTTCTTTCCCCGGGCCCAGAATTTCCTGAGGGGCCCCCAGGCCAGGCTTCAGTGTGATAATTGATAATGTTGTCTGCGGTCTAAATTTCCCCCTTTCCTAAAGAGGCAGGGAAGGAAACTGCTGCTCTGACCTCTGACCCATTCGTTGCATCACTTTTCTATTGACAGATCACAGACCATGATCGAGAGGGGCCCATGTCCGAATTTCCCCCCGGGCCCAGAATTTCTCTCTGCGGCCCTGGGAATATGAATGTAGGTATTCCGTGGTCAAGATGAGCCTATCCGTGGGCACTCAAAATCTTCCCTCGGAAATGGAAGTACAGTGAACTATACTCTCTCAAAGCAACGATTGTAGCCGGACTTCATGAAGCTACGTAACGCAAGCATAAGGCAGACAGGTATACCCGAAGTCGCGATCGGCGGAACATGGATCGCTCATTTACCAATAATAATTGAGAGAGGCTTCACAAATACGGTTCGGCTGATAGACCAAGAGTGTCCAATTCATTGATGAAATTGATCCAATTCACCATTCTCTCCGATAACGACGTTTCCTCAATCTCGAACTAAGTCCTGATCTTGAGACGCGATCACTAAAGTTCCCCTCAGGCACCGGAACCGCTTCCTCGAAATATTCAACGCCCAAGCAGCAGGTCCACGAACTAGGAGACTTTCCATTTCAGTTTGAAATTCCTGTGCTACTCAGGGACTCCCGCTAAAGAAATACTCCGACGATTGATGGTGAACATTCCTCAAAGCTCGAGCAATTTCAAAGTGGCGTCGGAGCCCTGATCCCGACAGCGCCACGGTTTCCTTTCTTCTCGATTGAGCGACCAATGTCATGTCCGTGAGCCCGTTACAGGTTACGCGTCAGGAGCAAAGCTTCGGGACTAGGGTTTCCACTCGAAATAGAAATGTTTTTCATGTGACGAATCGGTTAACCGTTCCCGGTGACTCTTCTTAGCTATTTCCCATGGGAATTCTGGAGTTCCTTGAGGAAACGGCCGTTGTGGAACAGTCTCCCTGTATGCCGGTGAGGCTGCGATCGGAAAATGTTTTGCACCGTCTTCTTGAGCGACGCGGATTAAGAAAAGGCTGGACTGTCCGCAGCTCGACTCCATCCTGGAGCAGCTCTCAGCTCCGATGGTGGGTCTTGCTGTGCGGCGTCGGGCTGGTCGATCGTACGTTCAGAGTTCGAAAAAGCGCGCCTTTGCGGTGCCACTTTCGGAACAGGGTTGTAATACGCTTCCCGCTCAAATTTCTCGAGATGAGCCGCTGGATGATATCTGCTTCGCCCCCTCCTTCCCGCCGGCCTACGGGGAGCGTCGCGAAGATCCCCGATCCACTATTGTGCATGGAATGATTTAGCGCACCTCCTTCCCTCTTGGGAAAGGTCAGACCCTTTGTTTACTATCGCGAAGTCCCTCGGCTCCCAATAGAGCACGTTGTTCCTTTTGATCGTAGCGCAGCTGATAGCTATGGCGGACTCCGGCTCGCAGCTCACCTGCTTAACGTGCAAAGTACTCTTCGCCACCGGAGAACTTCAGAGAACCCACTACAGATGTGATTGGCACAGGTAAGGTTTCCATAAGCCCTCCCTCGGAGCCTTCGATGGCGTGCATGTTGATCTGTTGTGAATTCTATATACTGACAAGTCTGGACAATGATTTTTCTCTGCGTTTGGCCGTGAATCATGTCTCCTTCAGAGCGAGAGTGTCATCGGATTCGTTTCCCCGCAGGTACAACTTGAAACGTAAAGTCGCTTCCCTACCTCCGGTGTCGGCGGAAGAATTCGCGAGGCGTGTTCAAGCTCAACGAGCTCAGGATGAACAGAATAATCGTCAGGAGCCGGGTCACTGCAAGGTCTGCAAAAAAACGTTCGCGTCCCAGCAAGCGTTGGAGAATCATTATCAATCGAAGAAGCATCACGATCAGTTGAAGAAGATCGCTTCGGGTGAAGCTCATTTGCGCAGGGGACCGCTCCGCATCAGACCTCCCGTAACAGAGACGTTAGAGATAAAAACTCGAGTATCCGATGAATCAGTTGGGGAAGATGACTGGGAGGACATCGATGAGGATGAAGTCATGGAGGAGAACCCCTCTGATGAGGGCGAGCGAGTAGAAAATCGATTAGAGAAAGACAAGCTCTTGATGGAGCCCAAGCTAGAGGACTGTATACCGATCCATGTATGTCTGTTCTGCAATCGAAAATCTGTCGACTCGGAGGGAAACCTCGAACACATGGCTAAAGCGCACAGTTTCTTCATACCGGATCCAGATTATCTTGAAGATTTGGAAGGTCTCCTGAAATACTTAGGTGGGTGGAACTTCCGATCGATGGAAGATTTCTCAAAATAGGTTTCTCTTCTTTCCCATGCTTAAAAGCCGACACGACTCGATTTCAATGTCGTACATCGTTTCCTCTTCAGGTTACAAAGTTGGCGCTCTGAAAGTCTGTTTGCTCTGCGACAGTGACCAGAAGACACCATTCCGGACGATACATGCAGTTCAACAGCACATGCTCGACAAGGGTCACACCGCAATGTTCTTCGACAGTGCACTGGAGTACAGCGACTTCTACGATTTCTCTTCCACGCACCCCGAAGGGGCGGACGCCGATGAGGAATTCAATCCAGAACTGCTACAGATGAATCCCGATTGGTCCTTGCAATTACCATCCGGAGTTTTCATCGGACATCGATCACTCGCGAGATACTATCGTCAGAATCTCCCGCCTGAGCGTCCTGGAATGGCCCGGAATCGAGGAGCCTTGCTATTCCAGAACTATAAGGCGCTGGGGTGGACTGGCGCCTCGACCAAGGAGCAGGCGATGGCAAAGGCGAGAGATCAGAAGTTTGCCCAGAAAGTTCTCCGTCAGTCCTACTTGAAGCTCGGAGTTAAGGCAAACAAACTCCAGCATCATTTCCGACAGCAAGTCATGTTCTAGGACAGGGCCCTCCGGAATGTCTGCGGAAGGCGGGAATTTCGAGAAGCGTGCTCGCATGAACAGCCCCCGTGCATTCTCGCGATTGATGTTGATTGTTGCTGCGGTTTCCATTATGAGAATACAGAATGATCGCAGAAATCAAGTCAGTGTCTTCGGTTGTATGTAGATTACCGGAAGGCATAAACCACCGCGTCACACTCGCATCTTCGTCAAGCAAATGATGCGGCATCGAGCCTGTGGTCTCTGATGTCGAATCGGCGAAATCTCCTGCCTTCTTTTGAATATTCGAGAGCCGAATCTGTGCGCGACTGTGGGTAATGCGCCGGCACCTAAGGCTTGAGTCCTAAGTCATCGCGAGCAGACGATGAATTCGACGCTAACCTCTATATCCTTGGATACCCTTCTTGTATACCGTCAATCTAGTTTTCGGGGTGGCAGGCGGAATCCGGACTTACATCATCCGATCCATCTTTGGTATTCATCATCGAGTTTCTCGGTAAAATGAGAGGAAGGAAATGGATTGGGTACAGATATCGTCAACTGACGGCACAATTCTACGAACTGCATCTGGATTGCCCCCTTACGAATTCGGAAAATTCTACACGGTGTCGGAGGCTCCGTGGTGTGGAGCTCTTGAGACTCTAAAGGGATCTGTAAGGATCTGCTGGGCAAAATGTGCCTCGAGGATATTTTCCTCGATACTTTCTCCGAGATTTTTCGGTGACCGAGTCTGTCATTACGAGATGTCGGAAAAGTACAAAATTTCCCTCCATTTGGTTGCATCTGCGGGAGCTTTATTCGGGAACAGGTGGAGCGCTTCGATCATGAATATTCTCGATTTCACACCGTGCAATTCATAGAGGAACAATTTTACATCCTAGCTTCGGACCTCGACCATCTACGTCCCGAGGTACGAGGAGAACGTCATAAGAAGCCAATGAAAGCCCACGTAACAATCGAATTTTCAGAGCCTTGCCAATCGAGTTTTTGACGAGCATCGCGATGGAGGCCATGTCTGTAAATCAGAATTGCATACTGTGAATCAGAAGGTTTCGGAAGGGAAATAGATTGACGCAGCTGGGAAATAGTGACGTCAATGAAAGGGATATCTGCGGATGGATTTAAAAGTAGACCATACCATTGAAATTAGACTTGCGAATGCTGCCGAATTCCGTGATGAGGTCCCCGGTCCTAAGGCCCGCGATCTCAGCTTGAGATCCTTCCTCAACAATATCTAGTTTCAGGAAAGCTTTCGCGCGTCGCTCTTGTGGGGTGATTGGAGGTTGCGCAGTTGCCTTCTGCAAAGTTCGAACTCTGATAAGCATCAATCCCATATCCGAGCTCAAGACCGGCTCGAGAAGAGCTCATTTTAATTGTAGATCCCGAATGAATCTATAATAAGTTTCCCCCCGTCGTCCGGTGGTCATGATGACCTCGGAATCGCATGTCAAAAGAAATGTCTCGAACCTGAGCTTGTTCTGCATGTAGTTTGTGGAGCCCGTCCTCAATCCTATGAGTCACATCTTTCAAATCATTCTGCAGACAAATTATATCGTGCCTCGCTTTGCGTACCTGGAATTCACAGGTGTTTTCTTTCATTCAAATCGGAACCGAGCGCGCGATTCGTATCACACCCTTGATCGCAACGAGGGAAGAGAGAATGATTCCGATTTGTCTATTTCTCCGTACCTGGTAAACGTCAATATCGTTCCGAGGGAAGCCTTCATGGTCAACGAGAGGCTCGTTCATTCCGACGTGGTTCGAACTCAGCACTGTCCCGAGAGCGTTTATCTTCTGCTCTATATTGGCTTTCACAGCCATGAGGTTCCGTACATTCAGTTCGTGGTCTATCATTTTCTGTAATTCGTTCAAAGTAGAAGTTTCTACCTGATTCTACCTGAAATCGTTGAACGTCCGGAAGGCTCGGCAATGCGAAAATAATGGCGCGATACTCCTTACAGCGCTTCCCTTAGATACGCCGAGAGTATAAATCTGCTGTCAAGGCAGAATTAGCTTATTCAGGTCCCATTCCAAGTCTTCAGAGATCTTTGGGCCGAGTTTCCCGGTCCTTTGATTCCCGGTTAATGAGATCTGCATATGCGGAGGGGGAGCCGTTCTCAAGCTCCCCAGATATCCCCACGGCCTATGATATCGCGGAACAGCTCATCTCACCTCGATGGCCTCGTTGGGCTCTAGACGACGGCTGCTGCCTGGGGCTGAAATTTTGCCGTTTCCCAGATCAAATGACTCTATATTGTACGGAGAGACTGTCTCGAAGTTTTCCTCCGGAAAGAGATCTGTCAATCTTCTTATTGTACACCGCGGTTATCCCCCGTTACGAGGTTTCCTTTTTCAGAACAATATTACGATTCCCGACGGCAGCAGTCCTTTCGGAGGAGGGTCATCGGGAGCGCCCAGATTCCGAAGGAAAAACTTCAATGAGAATCGCGGTCTCGCACGTAGATTCAACCAGAGGGAGAAAAATGTTCCACTCCGACGATTGACAAGCTCACATCACTGCGAGGAAGTCAGCTGGAGCCCGTCCATAACAGTAGCGGCGGGAGAGAATAGCGCCACCTGTTGTATCCTGAAAGTTCCTCTTCCATGAAGGTCATAAAATGATTGGTGAAAGTTTCCTCCGAAAGCTTGCCTCCATTTACAGTGTGTCCCTCTAACGGCCTCAGCTAATCATGCGAGCAGGAATTTCACACCGGGGTTTCCCCGAACCGACCGTTGTCATTTACCCGAGCGGAGTTCGAGTCGCGTTGGAGGTTACCTGCTGGACATAGAACACTTATGTGTGCATCGTCTCTCACTTCCGCGTATTCTACACAGATCCTGAAATCCTGACCCCCTGGTTTTTGTTGCGGCCTTGACCAACGTGGACCAACTCGTCTTAGAGAATTGGAGGTCAGTTGGGAGCGATCGCCTCAAGTCGCCTTTGTCCGAATTCTCAATGACTCGCTGCACGGACTTACGTTCGGCGGGCCTGCTTCCGATTTGATAATGTTTGATGTACGAATCATGAGACCTGATTCCATACACACCGGGGAAGCCGAGCGAGATCCCTCGAAATGATGGACTGATGTTGTTGTTAGCGACGAACACATCGAACGGCATCGAGTAATATCCGCGGTGGTTCAAATTGCCCTCTACGCTTCGCGCACACCCGTTTTCGGTGGATCGGAAAGCCAATCATAGGTCGCCTGCGAGCGAGAAACTTGGGCTGAACGGCTTGGCTTTATCATTCCACAGGAGACTTCCGAGCCTGCACATGTCCGCAAGAGAGAAGCATTGGTATGATCTACCTCATAGGGGTCCCATACTCCCGACGAAGCAGCGGAAACAAATGCTCCAATTACTGACCCAAGGAGTTACGTCGACCGAAGAAATCGCTGGGCAACTCAAGGTCTCACAGGGCTTGATCGAGAAGTACATAGGAGGACTGAGGTGAGCCTTAACGGCATTTTCAAGGTTTTTTGGTCGTCTCTTGCCTAACGAATGCCACCTTCCTGTAGATTGGGAATAGTGCGCAGATGTCAGATAGTTCAGATCTATGGACCGGAAGAGAGCTGATCCTTCTACAGAGTCTCTCATTGATCTTTCCAGGAAGAAAAAGAAAAGGAGGAGAAGCTGAATCGCTTGGCGACCGCGAATACTTATCGCTGGGCAAAGTTATTGAAGAAAGAGCTCGGACGAAGAGTGAAGTCCAGCCGTGACGATGTCTATTTCCCCATCACTCAAGCCTTGCATAACGCCGCCGACTCCCTGCCCGAAGCGGATCCTTTATCCTTCACCTTCGCAAACATGTACAGGTCAGTCGACTCTCGTTTCGACGCTTCCACGCTATGCTCCCGGAGGTGATCGTCCCTCCCTGGGGTTCGTCGGAGTTTAGTCCGCAGGTTTTTTAGTCGGTACGCCACCGGTCCATTGGAATATTACGTATTCTCAGGTACATTGCGGGAGCAGGCATAGGGAACCCCACCCAATCCACAGAGTTGATGGATTGTCTGTTCACGTTCTTCAAGGAAAGACTCATCAGGAAGCTCGAATCGACACCAACTTGCGACGAAATCAAGGAATTTTTAGCGAGAAAAGGTGAGACTCGCATGCTCAAGCCGAAAACATGACAGCTCACTCTTTAATCGGTCGGCTGTAGATTCCTCTCTCAGAATACATGTGCCCAACTCCAAGCCCAAAGACTTTTTTTAGGCCAGGAGATCGCAGAGTTCACTCAAGAGGAAGCGCCGACGAGGATCTTTTGGTCCGGTCAGGGTAGACCGCCTCCGGGGTATGATGCGGAAGCCTACGAGAAAAGTACTAAGAGCAGCCATGAGGAAGAATTCGCAAATCAGGATCTGGCTCAGGTGTCGCGCGCTCAGGCGTTGATGAATCCACTCGATGTTCCCGATGAGCTGCTCAAAAAAGTATAAGTTCTCTCTGGGAGCGTCACATTTCCGTAGACAGATAATATACCAAGGATATAATGTGGCGTCAGATATCAATTAGACATCGATTCCGAGCTTTCGAGACAGATTTGGGCATTAGTGATCGGGTCGCTCTTCTGGATTTCAGCTCAGCGAAGACCTGTCCCGAGCATTGCCGGAGGAATGCTCGAATCAAGATGAGCCGATGATGATTTCGTAATGTGACTTCATTCATCCGTCCTTGAGATCTCCCCTATCGGATTCCCTCCTGTGGGGAACCTGAGTCGTATTGTGGACGGAACGCAATGTTGACTGTAAATGTGTACACATGTCTTTCAAGTAAAAGGGAAAATCTTTTTCCGAGTGAGAGCTGATTAATTCACGGACACCGGTGGGAATTCGGCGAGCTGGCGGAAAGCTCACCTTCTAACCCTGATCTTCTCGTTTCAGACCGGATCGCCTCTCCGATGTTCCTTGAAACCCGAGAAACGCTGTTCTCCGAGAAATAAAAGATTTCGGTCAGGGATGACATTACCTCGCTTCTAATAAGCATGCGATTTCGCCAACTAATCGCCGGATTAGAACTGAACCTCGACCCACCCGCTAGTCTCCCCGCTTCGGACGCTCCATCATACCAACCCGATCCCGCTCTCTGCTATCTGCGAATTCGATGCTTCGACGAAGCGTGCTCACATCAATGTTGTTCTTCCAGCGTCGGTGATCCGGCACGGACTGCATATCATTTCACAATTGATGGCACATTCAAGTAGTTCAGTACTGAATTCGAGTGGTCAAGGGAGCTCGAGCTCATTCGATAAGAGAAAGCATCCCAGGGGCACGATCCGTCGACCGCACTGGCCCCCGAAAATGCTCAAGTGCGAGTTTTGTGGCTTCACCACCGATAAAAAGTTGTTTCTCGATGTTCATCAGCGGAAAACACACCGGGATCTCAAGTCGTTCAAATGACCCTCGGGGGCGACTCAATCTCAGGCACTCGTCGGGACTGAAGTCGCGATTCCGGCTTCATTAGAGCGGGAGGAGCTCTATCGCTCGAGATGAGGCATATCCAGAGCGAGAAGCTTCTAGAAGGGTGACGGGGTGTTGTAGAGATTTCATGTCTCACTTCTTTCCTTGCTCCGTCTGAGTCAGTCCAGCGGCTTAGAGGAAAGACTTGTGCCATTGCAGCATACAATATTTCAAAGAGAACCTCTCAGTCATGGTGAATATATCAGCTACATGAATTCGCCAATGAGCTCCCCGCGGATGCTGGGGACGACAGTCAATCGCGTCATTCTCTCGCTCAGAGAGGGCATGTTACTGAGTTAGTCGACGTATTCGATGATGTTTTTGGATTTTTCATCGAGACCGATCTTGACGAACGCCATGGGGTCGCGGGCCTCCACCGACGGTTTCGAAGATGCCCCTTCACCGAAATCCGATAATTCCGCATTGGGATAGTCGCGCAGCCCATTCGTCGCAGGTGCATGACTTTTTCTCTGCCATACTGATTTATCATAATATTAATGGATGGACTGTTTCGAAATCGAGATATTCATCCCCCGTAGATGCCATAGTACCCACGTCGATGGCAGAATGATTTTGAATCTTTCGGAGAGAGATCGGGATCCTTGAGCCATCGACCTCACGGCAGGGAATCGTGATCCAACGCTCCCATACGCCAGATTTTGCAAAGTGCTCATGGACTCAAGGCGTTTCACTCGCGGAGAGACGAAGGGGAGTCGTTCTGCTCATTGGGGAAATGTGTTCACCGATCATCCTAATGGTTCGAGGGGTGGAATTATCCGACTAGGGAATGAGCCATCCTATTCGGATCAATTGAGCTCATTATCGTCTGCTTAGGACACTCGATTACGGCATTTATCTGAGAACATCAAACTCCGGAGCGCTTCCGGAATAGTTCTCAGACTTATCGAGCATCATGCTCGTAATGCGGCGACCCCGCACAGATCGTGTACATTGTTGTTATATTGATGGAGCGATCATACTTCGTGATATTCGTGCTATCTATACAAGCTTACTTACCTGTACATATAATATAAGAACCCTTGTGAGACGAGTTAAGGAACAAAGCGGAGAGACTCAACGGATGCATTGTCAGATTCCGAATAAAACAAGCGTCTCATGAGAGCAGGCGTTGCTAGGAATCGTCTTCTCTGGTCTCTGGTTTTCCGTGCTGCATATACCTATCATCATACACTCGTTTGGATGACTACTTCTATTTATGGATTAATTTTCGATTTTCATCAGCCTGGCCAACGGTGCGCTGTTCTCGTTCCAGAAGCTGCGCCCATTCCAGCCGTCAATAGTCACTGGTTCTGCCAGAGTCTCTGGGACATCACTAGTCACATGGAAAAACTTTAATAGATCTAGCCGACCGTATGATCGCGCCGGCCTCGGGGTCCCAGAGTCGGCTGTCGCATACGGAGCTCGTGGAGCCTATGGAGGATACACGCTGTCGCTCTGCCACTGAAGCCAAATCATTGTCCCAATGAGTCAGATATCCAATAAAATCGAAGGCACTCTTCATTTTAGAATCACGTAATTCAGCGAATCATTCGCATGGTGTCGATGGACCAGCCACAGATGGAAAAATCGCGCCTCAGCACCCATGCTGAGGGGACGATCTCGACTCGATCGGAGACAGTTCTGACTAAGCTCCTGCCGCGATGAGTCGGTTCGGTCAATAAAGTCGGGAGCTCTCTTTGCCTGCGGGATGGAATGAGTGTGGAGCAGCGCAGCCTTTCTCTAGACACATCCCACGAAATAAGACGATTGAATACGGGAATGGATGATTTGGAACTTCGCGTGGTCATCAAGTGTTGCGCAGCCAGAGACGAAATCGTCACAGACAAGGAGACTCCCTAGATTGTTTTCCGCTCCTTAATCGTTATCTCCGTCTCAGCGAGGAGTCCTGCGAGGAGCTGCAGAGCCTCTCTCCGGTTCGGTCGATGTTTTCTTCCATGTAATCAGAGGAATCTATCAGGGAATTTCGGACAACTCTCGTCGGATCAGTGCCTTTCTTTCTGATAGACGAGCACAAACACACTCCGAGAGGCGACCGCAATCAATGAACGCGACGCAGAACCGTCATCGACTTCCCTTTCCAACAACGCCGGCTATTCGATTCGACAATCTCTTCGTGAACCCCTAGACTGCTTCATTCCCCGGTGTCTTGTTCGCACCATCATCGTGCTACCGTCACGCCAACAATGGAGAAATGGCTCCTGTTGAGCGTCTTCCTCGGGATTTGTGCTCCGCTAACGCATCAAGTGGTGCCAGATGGGTATTACGAGGAAGAACCCGACCCCTTGGAGGACGTTGAAGTCAGAGACAAAGGTTCGCTTTCGAGTCAAATGATCGTTGAGGAGAGGCGCACGCTCCCGAGCTGAATGCAGGAGGACTCTTGGTAAATATTCCTGATCAATCCGCAGACTTCGCGACGATACCAAAACTGGATCGGCAGACCGCAGTGTCCTTCAAGCTCTCGTCTTTCATCAATCACCTCCTCAAGGAAAAAGTAAGCTTCCTGACTTTGAGTCTCATTTCCGGAATGTTCCGCTTGGATTTGCAGTGAGCGAGGCTCATCGAGTCACACTCTAAAATCAGTCGACCGAGTCCAATGTGTCTCCCCCTCCAGATCTCCCGACGAGAAATGTTGGATCCGTCACAACTACTGCGGAAAAACTTGGACGATCCGTTGTTCCTGAACGACATCATCATCGATCAACAGGAAATGTTCAATTCGATTCGGGCGAACTTCACGAAACTTCGCATCATTGGTCTTAAACACGCGGCTCTCGACAGGGTTTGGATCTGATGAGCTCTCCCTGCCTGAAACACTTTCATATCGATGGCGGCAGCAGCGTAGCTCACGAACCTCGTGCTTGCAGGTTGTGATGAATCTGTCGGGTCAGAATTTGGTCATCGAGGCTTCGATACCCTATGTTCAAGTCGTGGGCCGATACAATGTTTCCTCGTATATCGCGTTCGTCTCCCTCGAAGGCGCTGAGAGACTCACCCTAAACACGACAGGTCTCCAGATATCAGTGAAAGCACATTTCTACAACAACGGCTCCACCTTGCAAATCTCCGAAATTGAAGCCAAAGCGGGTGTATGTATGGATACTGATCGACACGCACCGGGTCGAACAATAGCCCAGAGGTCTCTCAGGAAGTCAAGCATAGGATTTTTCCAGGCGGACAGCGTAGAACTCCAACTTCACGGACTTTCGTCGTGGGGGAGCTCGTTAGTGAGCCTGTGCTCGGACGTCATATTCGAGAATATCAAAGATGGTCTGATAGAAGATTTGAGAAGTGGCTTCAAAGACCGAGCCAACGAGTATCTCCGTCAACGAGTTTCCCTACCTAAAGAGTTCCATTACCATGAAGACGAGCTCCTCATCGATGCGCTCCTATACAACGCGAATGCCTACGTCTTGCTCAGCAGACACGATCCCATGAAGGTGAGCTTGACCCCAGCTTCTTGGGACTTTGATTTTTTCTTTTCCCCTCTGATTTCAGGCTCCCTCTGACAATGACTTTCCTCTCAGCTGCAACCGTACATCGCGAAAATAAAGCAAGATCTCTACCTCACCGTCTTCTCGAGTGAATTGAGACTCTACAGAGGCTACCTGAGCGGCCTCTCGACTATGCGACGCCTCGGAGATGTCCTGGCGGTTTATAGCGGCAAAGACGGCAAAACCCTATCTTTCCAGGCCGATTTCGGTTTTGAAGGGCTCAATGGTGAGTCGCAAGCGCGCATGAGAACCGGAATCCGCTCCCTATTGCAAGCCGCGGATATGCGATGAGAGTCTTCTCCTCCATTCGAGCCTCACTAGAGGTACCCCTCCTTTGATTCTCGTTTCAGCTACGTACGATTATTATGCACACGTAATGGGCCTTGGACCCGTGGGAACGATACAGATGGATGTGAAGAGGGTTGGCATCCGACTCGAGTGAGTTTCCATTTTTGTATTGTACGAGCATTAATTCGATATCTCCATGGAAGGGGGTGGAGCAAGGGTGCGGACACGCATTTCTGAGGAGACGGTAATTTCAGAGTGTCCCTTAGGCTGAAGAAATACGCCCAGTTCGTCATACGTTCGCTGGAGGTTTATCAGGTCGAAGGCATTGACACCACGGTGACAGGTACGGATGGGACTCCCAATGGGGCGTCCGGACAGTCCGATTTCTGGGTCCTCCTTCTCCTCGATTTTCTCTAAACCCTGGAACTTGTTTGCAGGGCTTGGGAGCGGAGATCCAGCCACCGAGTTGATTGTCAACGCGGTGACAGCTGCTTTCCGGAGTCAACTCTCGGGCTGGGTCGAAGAGAGCTGCAAGAGAAATTTCCAGAAGCAACTCGACCACATAAAGCTGGACATGCTTCGCTGACCACACAAAATCGAGGTTTTCTTTCCGTTCAACTGGAACGTGTTATCGATACGCGAGGAGAGTCCAACTCGCTCAGTATCCAATACATTTGGGACGACCGCTCTATCGGACATTGATATGTGTCTTCGAATCCCAGTAGTCATTGTTCTCGATCTCAGGAGATCGGGTCCTGCGCCGTGTCGGAGTAGAATAATCACCCTCCTGCTTTGGTCCGACAGAGCGGAGTTGCACCGTATGGGAGGGCTTCCTCAACGGAGAAGAGGAATCCCAGGGCACCTCCTTCGTTCTAGTCAAGTTTTCGTAAGTAGACTTTCTGTTCTTCGTATTCATACTCTGAGGGGGCTCCGGGAATCAGACCATCGGATGCTCCTATCCTTGCCCAGCTCGGACAGGAGAGAAAAGTACTCGGGGGCAGAGGGTCATAGTAGAGTTGAAAAGCGAACAGCGGAGTCACACGGAAACTGCACGGCGGAAAACGCCCGAGAGAAAATCTGGGTGCGTTGAAATCGCAAACCGTCCGTGTCGCCCATCTAAGCAGAGACGGCTCCGCATTACTTTACACAAACCCCATCTTAGGATCGCTGGGCGCTGTTGGAAGGAATATTGATCTCTGTTCAACAGAGACTCCGGCTGAGAGCCTTCGAATTCTCCGAAAGCTCTGAGCTGGGTGTTGTCTCAGTTCTGGAGCTATACCGTCGCTCACCCCGGTTCTTCTTGATCCTTGACTTCGATCGTCTCCGTGGAGCTGGAGGGGACCAAAGTTAGTGTTGAGAGGGTTTCCGGGAACGTCGCTACGTGGCTCACATCCGGATGCGAGATGTTCCCATGTGACGTTGGCGCAGGGCCTCGGATCACATCGAGTGATGGTTTAGGAGTCTCTATCGGTGTTCGCGAGGCTGTTTCGCCTTCGTCCTTTCGCGGAAATGTCGACTCTCGAAGATTCGAACAGGAAAAAGAATATTTCTCGATCCGGAAGGCAAGTTGCTCCGTTTGAACCGTTTCCCACTCTAAAACTTCGAGCTCTGTTTTTTTTCGCGGTTCCCCCACTCGATGTCTTCGATCGCCAACTCGGTCGGATATTCATGAATTCAATAGAATAGCATTCACCGTCCAGAGGAGGCTCAATCGCTCCATCAGGGGCCAGCCTGATGCGGAACGGAACTGGAAGTTATACAATTGTCTCACTAAGGGCACCTGGGAATAAAGCAACACTGACGCCTATCTTTCAGAGCGGGGCTTGTTCTACCGGTGGGACGTTTGGCACGAATGCTTAAGAAGGGTCAATACGCCAAAAGAATCGGATCCAGTGCTCCCGTCTATCTCTGCGCTGTGCTCGAGTACTTGGTGACAGAAGTCTTGGACATGGCAGCAGATATGGCGAGAAAGAATAAAAGGCTCCGGATAACGCCGAGACACATCATGCTGGTCATAAGGGGTGACGAGGAACTGAATTCGATCCTTGAGAATGTAGTTTTTGCCAACTCCGGTGTCAGACCGAGCATCCATCCGATGCTTCTGCCAGTGAGCAGTCGGAAGAAAGCTGCTTCAGTAGAAGATGAAGAATCGTCGGCAGACGGGGAAGATGCGGCGGAATCAGATAAGAATATCGGGCCCTCTCAAGATTTCTGAAAGGATAGGGGGCATTTTAACAAGAAGTAGAGATACGATTTAACATAATTTCGCGATTTACCTGAGATGGCTCCATTCAGGTCTCGAAGATACTTCAGCGAAGCATTTTAAGAACGATTTCCGAAGTTGTTATCCGAGTCGAAAGATAATAAAGACCTGTCCAACAGTTTTAAAATCCTCCACAAGAAGATAACTTATTAGCATCGTCAAGGCTATTCGTCCAAGAGGATTGCCCGTCAATCGATGAATTTGAGAGGCCCTAGAAACCCCACACGGAAGCCGTCGGGTTCTCGGCGTAAGATCGACCGTGGAATCGATGGACCGACGACTTCATCGTCCATCCGGCTCGAGATTTCCTTACGAGTCGATTCTCTCAAATCAACCTAATACATAGATCACAGTCACCCGCAGGGTTCGATGAGACGGACGGTGCTCCAGAGAGAGAGCTGATTTATTCACCAAAATTCCAGGGGGGTTCCACGAAGTGAATAGGCTTTCCCTGTCAATCGGTCATGCGTAAGTCTAGAAGATCCGCACAAGGATAGTGAGACCGAGGAGAAAAATTATCAGTAGAATAGTCTGAGGACTGAGCGATGGCGATGCGATTGTTTTCGGCAGAGGCCGGATCGGTCGGAGCCCCTTGAACTGATTCTCGGGCGCTGACAGAATGGCGTTCCGAGCTCCCGGCCACGAATAAGGACCTGTATGGAAAGGCATTACCCTTAGAACTTTCGGTCGAATGATGAATGCACTAGCGAAGCATCTAGCTAGCGGTCAAATCCATACCAACGAGTCTGTATTGATAAGGGAGCAGAGGTCCGAAAATGCATCTATAGAATAGGTAGGGATCCGTCCACATCATAGTGCACCAGTCAGGTTTAGCTTTGATATCCTCTGCGAGCATATCCATATATTCCATTTTGTTGACCATCGCGGAATGACGATCCGAGTCGCTGATGAACTTCGATTTGATGCTTTCGATATCCTGCATGACAGCCCTACGGCGAATCACCTGCAAGAGATCATTCTCGGAATGCGATTCTTCGAGGGATGAGCTCAGAAGAGGCTCCAGGATCAGGCTCAAGGGAAGCCGAAGCGTCCTAAGCGTCAGGTTTTCGAAGCTCGGCACAAAAGTGACAAGAAAGTTCCCGATAGGGACATATTCGCATCCTCCCGCGACTGAGCGGATGAAGAAAACGCACCTTCGATGATACCAGATCGATCTCCTTGTTGAACACAGCCATTGCGTGTCGTGCCTGCATTTCGAACATTTGTCCGAGATTCCCCGCGGCCTCTACCATTCCGAGGAAAGCTATCGTGTCTTCGGTGAGGGAGTACATGCCCTTGTACAGCAACAAACGTTCAACATCGCCTGCCTCGTTTTGCTTGCCATAGATACGACTCTCGATGAAAGGAATATCCGGACGATATCCTGTCGCCACCACGACCTCATCGATGTTGACTTCGTACTCGGAACCCTGTATACGAGAGATTGGATAGAAGCAGTGGTTCACCGCTCAGCGAACAGCGAGGCTCGACTAGAGTTTCTGGAGGGAACGAATAGTCACCTGGAAAATCACTCCGTTTTCCGTGAACCTGTTGATCGGAGGCTGTAGAAGAATTTGCTTCGCCAGTAAGGCTCTTGGGAGGAGGTCGTTGACTGTACCCTGTTGCGAAGCCGGTGAGTGCTCCGGTGTGAAGCCTACGAGATCATGATTGAAGGCGTCTTGGAGCTGCGGGGAGGGAGAGCTCAGTTCGACGATCAACGATCGAAGTTTCTCGGCACCGAAGCTTTCCGTCGGACTAAGCTCGAGAGTATGCATGATGCCTCATACTTGTTTATGAAAGAGGAAGTCTCCGATTCGTTTCGGTAAAGCCTGTGCGAAGCGTCGGAAGAAGCAGAAATCGACCGGAATTCCCGATATGTGGCTCGGGAGCATCCAAGTGCCGCGGCGTATGCTCGCGTGGACCTGGGAATTTCCCAGCGGATCACTCGTTATCTTTCGGATAGATATCTGGGAAACGCTCGGGAAAGCTCATCGAAGAACGTTATCTTGCACAAGGAAGTTTCCGGGGAAGACTTCCGTTCCAAACCTGATCAGCGAGTCCCACCAAACTGCAAGCTACGTCAGCAGCGGAATTGCCGAAACCTACGACCAGGACAGCCTTCCCTCGATAACCATCAGAGTTTTTATAGTGTTTCGCATGGATTATCCGACCTGGAACAACGCATCCGGAGCTTTATATCGATCGCAGACAGAGATCAGTTGTCCGGTGTCGACGCTCACAGCCTTATGAGTCGTGACCGATCTCCGAGTTCGGGGACTCCACAGCTCGCCCCAGCACGCTCGAGGAGGCAGGAATTCTTCTTCCTTCTTGTGCCCATGATCCAACAGCGGGGTTCATCGGGACTATATTCACGGGCAGAATGTACGACAAGTCGTCCTCTCACCTTTGAACAGATTTCGGTCTCGGAACTCGGGCATTTTTGGTATGCTGTGATGACCGATGCAAACCATTATCGCATCGAATTCTTCCTCGCGAAAGCTCCCAGCGCTTCGGTCGAGGTCCTTGACGACCACTTTCCATCTCGCGTTGGGCAGCTTCTCGATCTGTCTCAGAATTTACACACTCAGACTCGTTCAGTCTGCTCGGAAGAAGCCTCAATGTCAAGCTCAAATGAACTCGATCATCGATCTTCGGCGGCCAAATCGCTACGAGCCGCTATCTCGCGTACCTTGTGAACCGCATGGTTAAAACGAATGCGTTCCGTCACTCCAAAGTGCTCCGCGTAATCTGTTAGATACTTCAACATCATTTTGTGTGGCAGATAAGTCGGAAAATCAGGGCTGGGCGGATAGTCGCTGAAGCTGCTCATTTCTTTCGACGTATTTGTGACGGTGAACTCCATGACCTGGAGTCCAGATCATTCTCATATTATATTTTCCAGCATCGCGTCGCTCGGATTCGGGAGGATCACAGCAAACGACTCTCGACGTCGAAGATGGAAATTCGCAAACGTGTCCAATACTTCAGCTAGCCTTCGACGCGGAATGAATATTCTGCTCATGACTTCAAGAGGGGGCGCGAGTGATCACTAGGAGCACCTCGAGATGCAAAGACTCTGAGGGTCGTATTCATGCTCGACTAGAGGTACGTCGCTGGAGCATTCGTTGAGTCGACGGCCCAGAGGAGCCGACGCGACGTATCGGCCTGCCGAGACTCTACGTGGGGTTGTATTGGGATGTAGTCCTTCGCCGAGAAACACGAGGATTTTGGCCCTGTCCTGTACTCAAGTTTTTTTTTCTATGTCACCATCGACAGCGGAGGGGCACATGCTTCTCAGGGGCAAACACCCCACGCAGTCAAAAGCAGCTCATGAAGCAGGAAACGACTCGAAGAAGGAATATCGATTTCACTTCGAAGGGAGCAATGAGTGAAACACAGCTGTTGCGTTAGTCTCATACTGACCGTTGTTTGTTCAGTTTCGTCGGGCCGATACCACCAGATTCCTCCGAGAGATCTAGATCTTTCATAGCAAACGATCTCCGAATTTTCATCGCTCTCTTGTATAGCAATTTTTGTCGCCACTATTCCAGCTGTACCCGCACCGACGATGCAAATTCTCCGTCTGGGCGTTCCGAATTCCGGCATTGTGGAAACTGATCGAGGCGAAGTCTTCCGTCAGGATCAGCTGATCAAAAATCGAATCGAGTGAGGATTCGTGAGAGAGATGTTCGCCGGCTCTCGATCCTTCAAGGGATGATCATGCGTCCGAAACCCTGCTCCCCTGAGAAAGTGTACTCTCCTCGTCTTCAGGGTATATCAGTCTTGAAATCTGTACAATACCTGACTGAAGGCCGCTGTGAGATTTCATGCACACTGTGTCCCCAGGGTGGAGAACATCGCGATGGAAAACATACGGTACCCCTGATTCACTGCATCGTCTTGAACTGACGTCTATCTAAGCCGAAAAAATCGATCGAATCTTGACCGGGAAACGGCGTCGCTTCCGATTGATACCGGAACAGACAGTCTCAAATAAGCTTTGTTTCGATTCGCTTCAGCAACGAACCGCCTAAAGAGGTGGAAAGAGACTCTCGGAATGAGGAGGTGCATCGAGATTAAGGAGCCGACCGACGACGAGGTGGGATCGCAGATTGAGCAGCTCGTCGATTTCTGGTCGCCGAACAGGGGACGTTTGCATTGAGACTTAAGATATGCTTTAAAGTAATCTGATGCTATCTCCCTCTTACCTTGAGTCCGCCCAGCCGGACGTGTCGGGTAAGTGGGTCACGGACTCCTCGCTCCGTCAAAGATGTCACCGATATCCAGTGTTGTAATGACCCGATTGAGGAGCCAAATACGCAGCGAGCTTAGATTCCTCAATGAATGGTCTCTTGATGTCGATCAGAATGAGAAGCAACTGATTACCCGAAATAGTATGCTCTCCCATGTAAGAAGGATTCCCTCCGTGTATCAATTTTCTCTCTCTCGAGCTTTCTCTGCTAGCATCACAAGAGTCCTCCCAGCTCTGCTCCGAAAATCCCTCCGGAAGGGTGTTCGAATATTCCTGCGCTATGTCATGCGATAGCGTGTATACATAATTCTCACAAGAGCTTTCTCCGTTAGCATGCCGCAACAATTTGGTATACATACATAGCTATACTCCTATCCGAGAAAAGAAAAATGAGTGAGGGCTGGAAACCTCGTGGAAGGAAGTAAGAGGCTCACTCAAGAAGATGCTTTTGGGAAAAAGAGTAGGGAAATCTCCGCCGCTGCTGTTTGCGAGTTTCATATAAGAAGCCGATTCGGTTTATTTAAGTTCTATTACATCGCCTGAGAAGCTATTCGTTGCTTTCGGCACCCTCGAAGCCTCACAGTTCCCTGAGGATATTACGCGCTGCCCTCCAACTCAGTCGCCGGTGTATCGGGCTCATCGTCGTTATAAATGTTTTCAGCCATCTGCCAAACTTGCATGATGTTGTCTTCGGACACAGAACAGATGACCCACGGCTCGTTGGGATTCCACGAGAAGTCACTGATCTTGGCAGTGTGTCCTCCGTGTATGAAGAGGAGCTCTGGGGGTCCGTCTTCGGCATCCTCGGCACTCTGTTCCTCACCAATCTTCGACAGATCCCACACGTGGAGTCTCCGATCGGTACCGGAAGATGCGAGAATGGTCTCGTTATGCGGAGACCATTGAACTTGGAAGATTTCGTCCTTGTGGCTTTCGAACGAATGTAGTTTTAGCTTCAGATTTCGAAGATCCCAGAGAGCTACAGTTTTGTCTGCCGATCCAGTAGCTAGAATGTATTCGGAGTATGGATTGAACGAGAGACAATTCACTTCGGCCGTGTGAGCGTCGACTGTGTGGCTCGGTCTAGAAAGAAGAGTATGTTAGACATTTCACATAGGCTAGGATGTCCGCCGCCATTCGTGTCACGTTCCAATCGAGAACGTGCTGTGGAGATCATATCAGAAAATATTCGCTTCAACCGGGCTCAGATCATGGGACCTCAAGTCTCGAGTCGACCTCGGGCGCCTCCAGAGACGAGATTCTCAGACGGCCTTTTGATCGTCATGTATGTCTTTCACGAGTTGAATCCGAAATTAGGTCCCGTACTCACTTGTCTGTCTTGGAATTTCTGGTGTCCCATATCATGAGCTTTTGGTCGTCAGCGACAGATCCGAAAAGACTCTCGTGCAAAAGGTGCCAAGCAACATCTTCTACTACGGCGACATGACCGGTGAAGATGCTTTTGGCATCTACGACGTGACCGTCTCTGGGCGGCGCATTGATGTCCCACAAACAAATTGTGTGATCATCTGAGGCAGATAAAAGGTGTCCATTGAGATTCGGATTCCAGGAGAGACCGTACCCTTCGCGTTGATGACCGCGCAGCCTGCAATGAATGACTTAAGATTTCAAACCCTCCTTCCGGCAAAACGAATCCTTGGCTTTCTCGAATTCGGTATCAGATCTCCTATTAGGTCGCTTCAGGAATTTCTGAGCATCAAACGGAGATCGAGAGCTGAAGAGCCCTCCAAGACCTCGACGCTTTTCTCACTCGGCCTTTGGTCATCATATTTCTCGTAATAAGACTCTCCGCCGAGTTTCAAACTCTTCGAAGATGTCAATGGCTTTTTTTCTGCGGAATAGGAACTATTGGTGAAACCTAGAGCCTAGAGGATGGATAAGATTTTCCCCTCGGCATGGTCTTGCAGCCGACATCGCATTTACCTCAGGTCTGGCTGGCACTCCCCAGAGGGGTCGGGCTTTGAGGGATGTTTCGTGTAATCGAATATGAGCACGTCGCTTGACGGGGTTTTTGTGGCTATGATACAGGGATTCTGAGGCATGTAACGCGCGCGGTTCACTTCCCCCTCGTGATTGATCTTAATTTCGATCTCGATCTTTCCTGATACTGATCCGAAGCCTCCGAACTCGCCCTTTTCGGAGTCATAATGGGTGGCGTCGAACTGAGCATCTTCTCCAGGGAGTTGCACCTGTAAATCACATCGTCAACTTTTACACACCGTGATGGAAATAGTGTTCTCGAGCTAGGCGCAGAAGGGAAATGCACGTCCCGTATATTCGCGACAACACAAGAGAAAGTTCTCACCGAGGCAATTAGAAGATGATTCTGCTCATCCGACGTATGAGTCCCAAGAATAAGACGATGAACAGAATAATCCTTGCCCTCGGGTTTGGTTATGTCGGGCAACCACTGAGCGGTCAGCGACGGCCATTCCAAGGCGTGTGTCATGACGAGATCGTACAGGAAAGGAGTGTTCTTCTTCCATATTTTATACTCCTCGTTGATAACCCGCTCCTCCACTGAAAATTATGTACCCATTAAAAGGACTCTCTGGGTCGGCCTGTTCTCGTGCGGTTTCCGACTCCCGGACCACGGGGAGCGTTGGTGCATCGAGGAAGCCTCGTCTAGATCGTTCTCGTGGGCCACGAGATGCCCTGATGCCCGGAATAACTGCTTTCCTCGACGAACAATACAAGGATCGTTTCCCCACCGTTGCTCAGGGGAAAGCAATATTGGCGCCACATTTAGGCCTAATAGTAACCGGCCTATGAATGACGCTGTCAAGCATTTTGAGGTAAAGCGACAGACGGGAGACGGCTGTCATTGTCGAGTGAACAGAACGATTCGAATGTCTTCGATCCGCCCGGAGCGGCTACAAATCTAGCGCGAAACATCAGAAGGCACCTCAGAATTATACCGGCGGAGTGCGGTCTCCATTACTCACATCAGCAGTATAGAACATCAACAAAACAGAAAATTATCCGCAACGTGAACTTGGAAGGTGAACTTACCAGCGTCTTTGTCGGTCATAGTGGGGCAGGTAGGGGCAGCTTATTCTCGCGTCAACTGATTGTCCTCAACGACACTTTTCTCGAAAAATACAAATCGAGGTTCGAGCGTCCGAACGCGCCAAAGCAAGCTGTGAGCATCAAACGGATCCTCGCACCGAGCTGAAACCGAAACCACTCGACGGGTTCTGCTCCGAATAATTCCCAGACTGTGTTGCGGTCCGGTGAAAAATGGTTTAATTATCCCCTTTGGTGGTGGAAAACTCAAGCTCCTAGACGCCGCGCCTGACTCCGCGGTACGGTGGGAAGAAGCTTCCGAGCGAGCTGCTGAAATAATGGTGATCAATAGCTCATATGATGACAAAAAATATCGATGATCTTTGCCTGACAGCAGATCGGGCTACAGCGTCAGCTGTTCCGGGAAATATGCACAAAATCCCTTTAACATTATGAGTTTTGGAGAGTAGCCCGTCACGGGGGGCAGACGAGAAGGAAACACTCATATCAGCACCGGTCGTAGAGCATTAAGGCTCGAATCAAGCTACTCCTGCGTCGGATCGACTCCGGCGGGATAGCTCGATTCAATCGTTTCACGAAATGCGTCCACTTCGCGCTTCGAGCCTGAATTCCCGCGAAACGTGTCCGGTCCCTGAAGACTAGGAGTGCGATATGCGAGAATCCACTGAGGAACCGGACCGGACTAAGCAACTCTTCGCCTCGGCGAATATGACCAAAAATCCTGATTCGAGTGCGTGTAAGGGCCTCAGACACTAGGATCGCGAATCTTTCCTAGCTTACGGCATGTCCTCGCAGCCATCGCTGTGGGGAGCGAACAATTGAGCGATCAAGGCGAAACCGATCAGCAACCTTCGCTGGTTGCCCTCATGCATCGAGCATGAGAACCTCCTCGAAATGAAACTCGCGCGAGATGAGGAGTGACATGTATTTCGCCGCCGGCGTTGGCGTTGGTTAATTATTATTATCCTCATAAGCATTCTCTAGGGCCTGGTCCTTGAAACGGTTCTCAGGTCCGCGAACCAAGCAAGCTGAGTCAGAGAAGAATCTACATATAATTGCGAACGTCGTGCTGAATCAAAGGATATGATTATATTTGTCTCAGATTCTCGTAATTACGCGCGGTGGGTAAAAGGACAAGAACTAATACCGTTTATATAAAATTATTATTATTCCGGAGTTTGTCAGGAATGACGAACTCCGAGAAGTTCCCTATACAAGAGAAGGAGAATGTTTCCAAGACTAGAATATCCACTTGACGAGCGTTGATGGCTTTACATCTACACGACACTATCTTCTGGATCTGACCGCCGAAGTTGCTCCATGAATTTCAGTAAGGGATCATACACGAGCTCCCTAGCGTCGACGCCGAATACAAAATCTAGGTGCACGAAATGGTCGTCTGGGACTGAGTAATCCCAAACAACGGTACGCAGAGACTTGCGGAGCACGGCGACATCGTCTGGGTTACCGAAGTAGTCCCCTAGAAAAAAAAACATTTCGTCATATACACTTCCTCTCTGCTGAGTATTTGGGACTAGGTTCTGGACCCATTCTGGTGCGGACTGATTTCCCGATCTGGGTATCAGTCTCGAGATCATCCTTGTATCCCGCAGAACGAACTTCGAAGCGCGGGAATGTGGTCCTATCTCCGTACCGGAGAGAATTCACTGCTTTCTTCCTCTCTGAGCGAGATGAAGACGTCCAGTATCCGACTGGCCAAGACGGGAAAGAAATGGAAAGAGATTGCAGCTCCCTAGAACTCCGAATTTCAGACTTCGAGTCAGGTGAGGTCGGAGTCGAATTCTCTCTGGGGGAACTCACCTGTGCTATGGATCAAGGCAATGGGCGCTGTGATCCGGAGAGTCTCATACTTTGGAGGAAGCTCCGACCCGTACCTATGGGGAGAACGGGTGAGATCACAAGCGAATGCTCTTCCGAGGGGGAGAAAATTCGAGAACCAAGCCCAATAGATACGAAACCTTTTCCGATTCTCTTCTACACCGTAATCGAATCGACGGAAATTCGAGGCTCTGATGAACTGCGCAAATTGTGCCACGTTCCGTTTGGCAGCTCCCGCCGGCAGGTGGGAGAAGTAGACTGGAATCCGCGTCTAGAAAGATATCTATAGTGTATCTTATCCCTTTCCGGTGGCTCCAAAAAAGGCTCCACTTATCGCTTACATCTCACATACCGTATTCAAATGCTTGAGACTGACTCCGAACATGAGGAAAGTCGGCAGACCGCACAGAAATCTCCAAGGTCGCTCACAGAAAGAATACATGAGCTGTTTCCGCGTAGGTGACACGGTCAACAGTGCTCCGTTGGAGATCACATTCGAGCCGAGAGTGAGAATCTCCGAGAAGGGTACCAAGAATCTCGCGGGTGATCTGATGAATGTCATGTTGCACACTGGTGCTATGGCGGCCATCAAGCGGATCTGATATATCGTGGGGCTATTATTATCAACCAGAACCCGCGAGCAGTCCAAGCGGAGTTGGGAACGTAAACGGCTACGGTGAACCGCCGAGCTCTGGATCTCTCAACGGATTCACCGAACTCACTTTCGGATTATATTCGGGCAACTCGGCTAACATTGCGAAGGCTGCCATGTTGCCCTGCGAGAAACCCGCGTAGAAAAGCGACGTGGTCCCTGTCGAGTTCAACACGAAGTCTATGAGTCGCGGAATGTCGTACAAGGCGACTTCGTCCATGCTAGAGGAGGCAGAATCGGTTAAGATCACACCAGCGAGAGATCTTTGTTCTGGTTTTTCTTCGGGCATCGGAGCAATGAATTAATCGGAGTGGTTGAGCTCTCTCAAAGACTCACCTGTAAGACCAATAATCCCGGGAATTTTTCGGCTTGGTCGTGTGCGTGTTGGAATAAGGAGTACCTCTGAAGTTCCCGAGCCAGACATCGTAGCCAGCGTCCGCGAGGATGAAGCCTGCCCAATGAAAAGGTTTGCCCAATCCAAGAGATTTCAGAGCTCTTGGTGCGAAACGTTATCGGAGCTTTCGTACTTACCCAGGCTTTGATGCGGATAGTTGATGACCCATTCGGCGGCCGATGAGAATAGTCCATGCACCAATAGAACGGGCGTTCCATGTCTCGGAGCGTGAGCTACGGTATATTTTTATGTCAAATTTGGCCCTGAGCGCTCTTGATTCTTGAGAGTCCAAATATTTGGAGCGTAAGTTCCGTACTTCCTCAGGCGTATACGCACCCCGGACTCCTGATGGTATCCGTTGGAGGGTGAGAATGTAGCCGTCTTTCGTCACCGTAGAAAACTCTTCACAAGGGTAGCCCTGGCCTCTTACGAGCTCCGCCTATTCAGATAGGACTAGGTTTTGACTGAGGAAGAGCACAAACTTCGCCCGGTTCGGATTCATCGATCAAAAACTCCCATCAAGATCACAATTCTGGGCTCACCGGTGTTTTGAACGCGTCATCCTGGTGCACGCGGCATGCGCCGAGAGGAATCCAGCAGAGGATTATTAGTATTGTTCGACGTGAGCCCATCGAAGGGCACAATATTCTTCGGCACTTTGACGGGTCTCTTCCGGCTGAGATCATCCCGAGGGAAATTGCCGCTCCAGCCACCCTCAACTCATTCCAGGAGCCGACTCCGTGAGGGTTACTCCTCCGAGATGAGTTCAACTCTCACCGAGTAAGATAATGAACAGGGACTCTCCATGGCACGAGGAGGCAAATTTGATTTTCTTAGGCGATTGAATGAGCAGCAGACGCGCAGAAATGTGGACACTGGATCGAAGACCGGCGCGGGTCCGGAAACCCGGAACCCGACGACCGACGCCGACGTCTTCGGCGGGTAAGAGCGAAAGCGTACGGACCACTCTTCTGGCCGGCGGACACTGCGCTTCCGTCATCACTCCCGTCGAGCTAGCGTAACCGGACAGCCATCAATCAATTTCCTCTCCGTTTCTTCTGAAGGTTCAGGGGTGCGGATTGATTGACATGATTTTCGGGAAGGGAGCCCTGAAGATAGCAGCTCCGATAAGAGAAGTAATCCGAGATGGTTGACCGAGCAGAGATTTTTTTCAGGAAACGAAGGATCAGCGGAACTTCGATAGCTGTCGGCGCTGAAGCACCGGGTCTCAGATCAGGATAATACTCGCTTCCACTCATGGTTCTGATTAGTTCCACATCTAGACTCGAAGAGCTCCGCGAGCCGCTTTGACCTTCGAAGAATGTCGTCCGAAAGTCTATCCTTGTAAGAAATGTATTTTGGCAGCTCTCCATCGCGGCAGATCTCATTGGATACATTTAACTGCTCTGTCACACCTTCGGCTGAGTGTGATAACTGACCAAGACCCTCCTCCTCGGGCATAAAGTACGCTTCGGACGAAGTGCAGCCGTACGAACGTTGAATTTTCCAAGAAAAATCTGCTGATAAGACGATCAATTTTTTGCGAGCATATGATTGTTATCGGGATATGCGGAAGCTTCCCTGGTCGCAGAATTATGATCAGTTCAATCTATTGCGAAATCGTCTTGGAACTTCTCCGGAGTAGCCGCGGGAATGAACAATCGAACGTTTCGCCTTAGACGCAGAAGCCTCGATCTAGACGTACCGCTGCTTCGATCCTTCGAGATGCTAACTGTCGGCAGCAAAATTCCTCGCTCCGCTTACACCTTGACACATTAGACTAGGTAATCGTTTTTCCACCCGTGCGCCTGGCCATTCGGAATGTCGTCGGGGATGTAAAACCAATCGAAGCTGCCTCCTTCGCTCCTTCAGAGGCGAGGGATCGCGAGCTTGGGAACTTCGGAGTTGCGGAGGCTATACTCAAGAGCTCGACGGACTTACCGCGGCACATCTAAACGTGTCCCAGGCGAAACTCAGATATCACTGAGGACCCGCGTGAATGCTCGCGCTCGGCAGCGATCCTATATCCTGCGAAATCGCTCACGGGTTTCTTCGATTCGACGCTCTCGATTCAACATCCTGCGAGCCTCGGGGCTCTGAAATGTTATTTGCTGGACATTCCACCTGATTCGATTAGCGAATAGATGATCTTCCAGAATCGCATCTTATTCCTCTAGATCAGGAGTTCTTAACCTTTTTCGCCCTGCGGAACCCTGGTACGGTTCCGCGGAACCCAAATGTTGGTTTCGGACTCTATCTTTCCAAATTTTCTCCTTAATCAACTCAAAAGCTTCGACCACGATCGCATGAAGTATCCTGCATGCATTAGAGCTCAGGAAATTCACTAGAATTCGATAAAATGTATAAAAGTCTGAGCAGCCGACTGGGCCATTCGGCTCTAGTTAATCCGAACCGGAACCCCTGCATCCTTGAGTGATTTCACGGTAGCGTCTACTCCATGCCATTGATGATGCATTGATCGTTGACTTGGACTACATCTCATTGATGCGAGGTCAAGGGTCAAGGCCGTGACATGACTCGTAATCAGAAACGAAATTCAAAAGCTCACAAGTCAACGTTAGCCCGTATGGGCCGGACACTGGCTCTTGTCGGTATTTATCACCGGATCAGATGCGGTACTGGGGAATCGGTATCATGGCGCTGTGCCCTTATAGGGACGGAGAGCACCGGAAATACCGAAGCAGCCGACGTGAATGATCACACCTGGCCACTCACGAGCGGCATATGAGATTTTCAGCGTGGAATCCCGATGACCTTCCCTTCTCGCCGACATCAAGGGCGAACGGGATCGAAACTCATCGGACTCCTGAAAACTTTTCCCGCGATGGGAGTCGCCCGGGTGAGCTCTCACGACTCTCGGAGGGTCTCAGAATACTCATGCTCGGTAGTTTTGCTCGGTAAAAATGGGTGGGTATTTGCGCAAGAGAACAGCTTCTGGGTGTTGCGTCCATACTACTTCTGGGTTCTGGGTACTTCTGCTGTCGAGCAGGTGAACAAATTGTCCTTCCTCCCATGAAATCCCTCCGAATCGGTCGTTCCGACCACGCAACGGCTCATGTATTCTCACAAATGAAAGATTCGTGCGATGGCCGAAAATGACGTAGTTGTGAAAGCCCCCGGACAAGACATCTCTGAGTCGCCACGTGTAGAGACGAATGCCAATCATACGACAGAAAATTGAGAACTCCAGCAGCAACGAATAAAAATCGCCACATTCCAGTTTCTAATATTCGCCCTCGCCGCGGAGAGATTTCGTATGCGGAACAGAGATATACTCTTGAACTTGCAGTGGCATGCTGCCTCATCTGAAGCAGACTGTTAGGAGCAAGCATTTGTGGATGGCATTATTTAGAGTCCTCTGAATTCATCATTAACTGTGCTCGATCTTTCATCTTACGGTGACAGCCGTGGAGAAAGCGCTGCCAAACGCCACTCAAGGCTCTTTAGGTTTCGTGTTCTGTACGGCTCCAGGCCTCTCGGAAACAGGCCGCCGTCGCAGAGGAAGGAGCTATCGGATTCCTTTCCTCAAGCACGCTTAACGTGAGTGCGATTGAATCAGGAATAGGCTAGGTTTAATGTGAGGGCAGACTGTCGAACTTTGGAAGCAGTGCCAGTCGGTGATGTTTCTGGATTCTTCAGGCATGACAGTATTTTGATCTGATCCGAAAACGAAATTCGAATTGGCGCTGGATTCATCAAGGCGAAAATGAGACAATCAATAGCGGACCCGATCTCAAGAGTGCCGATTGGCTGTCCCGCTAAAATCCTAAAGTTGAGCGGGGACATTTTGAAAGGTGTGACATGTCTGTCGAGCTTCGCTGACACAAAATAAGCTTCATGAATCATCAAACCCCCGGCCTCGGCGCTCGTGTCACAAAGAGCTGGACGAATCACATGAATGTCGCTTGTAAGACTCCAAGACTTCGATAGAGAACGGACGTTTATGCGTCAAATAGTACTGTAGTACTATTTGACACTACTACAAAAGTCTGTTGTGTTAGGTATTCTCAATCTAAAAAAACATATGAAAAATCAGCTGAGACGCGGTATATGGCGAATCGCAGATTCCCGCGAATAGCATCGCTAGGAAGAAACTCCAAACGAGCCGGCCGATACAATGGGGCTCGACAGGCTCAACTGAAGAAGTTTCATCGAAGGACGAGGACTGATACCGCGCGGCCTCAAAGCCGGTATTCGGTCTTTCCCCGTTCTCCCTTTCGCTTCATCCATGCCGGCTCGTAGGGGAGAGTCCTCAGGCGCTAGTGGCGAGAAACGCGCTCGCTTGCTTCCTTCCTTGCCAAGTCTGTCTTTGAGCTCTACTCGGTTCCGCTAGGCGATTCGCTGTGGGCCTCGCTCGCCAGGGACCTCTGTGGATTACTCGCTGCTCGTGTGCTTCACTCCCCCCGGAACTCCGAATGCTGTCGAAGTGAGAGGCCGGCTCAGCTCGGATATTGGCCTTGCCAGCTGATCGTGGGCGCGCTTTTCCGAACTAGGCGGAGATGATCCGACCAGTCGACAGTGATCGTCAGGCCGGTCGAGCCAGCACGGCCGCGACCGGCACTGAAGATGACATCCAAGACGATGGACATCAAGAAGAGACTGTTTTCCTCGATAGAGAGCCGGTTCGTATTACGATTTGAACCGATGCGATTCTACAGATGATTCGATTCCCCGAGGGAAGAATCCGTTCCCACGGCGGCTCCGAGATGGATCGGCTGGCATCAACATCCAATGATTTTTCCCTTGATACTCTGGAAGGTGGAAGAGTTCAGGACTCCGGAAAGCTATTATCGTGGAAGATGTTACCCGCATGGGATCAAATGGACTGAGCTCAGATCCTAGCTGCATCTTCCGGCTTCGGGTTTCTTCACAAACACGTCGCCGTCAGTGAATCCGTGAATCATCTAGTTCCAACGATCGTTTGAATCGGATCAGTAATATTGCGAGAATATCATGCGTCAGGCTTGTACGATCTTGTCATATTCCTGCGAAAATCGAGATTTGATTCGGGACTTGCGTATTCCACTTGCGTCGTGATCTTGACAGTGAGCAGATCGACTAGACATTCCTCGATAGCTAATAGCCTCATCGTCAATTGATGTTTAAGATTTTCTCCCGCGCGAATATCTTGGATGCAGGCATTGTTCACAGAGATGTGGAGCCGCATTCCGGGCTCCCCAACCATCACAATTTTGTGTCAACCATAGAACCAGCGTTCCATTTCACCGTCCTACCTTTTCGGCCGCGATATAGGATGACAAAACTCATCCTTCCAGATGGATGCACCACAAGCCGATGTTTCTGAAGTCGTTGGGAAGTTCGGACGTTACCACTTCATACTGATCGTGGTCAACATCCTAAGAGCCATACCGATCGGTTGGACGTTGACGTCAGTGGATTTCTTGGCAGGAGACGTCGATCATTATTGCGCGGCTCCTGCTCACTACAACGGCTCGGATTGGGAAACAGTCGTCAATAATCCTGACATGAGATGCTCTAGGTGAGGGTCTCACTTTGATCCGGATTCGATAACCGGATGAGTTTTTGATGAATGACAGCGGATCACTCCATTCCAGATACCATGTGGACGAGAGCGGAACATTGAATGTCTCGCATCCTCCGGAAGCTTGTAGTTCCTGGAAATATAACGAGACCCAACCATCGAGTGCCGTGGTCGAGGTTCGTATTTCCTTGGGGAGCGCTGTCCATCCAGGGAAGGAAATTGTAATAATCGGAACGGGATTTCGCTCAGAGCATTTCTCCATATCATCCACCGGGACCACGAGCCGTGATTTCTTACTTCCAGTGGGACCTCGTCTGCGAGCGGGCATGGATGAGATCCGCTATACAGAGTGTAGCCTTCCTCGGTCAGCTAATCGGAGCACTGGTCTTCGGAAAGCTCGCCGACAAGTAAAGCCTACCAGACGCGCGATATAATTCCAGAATTTCATCAATCGATTCCCGGAAAGAATCGCGACCGAATCTTCTGTTGCGACACTAAAACCTCCACTCATTCCAGATACGGGCGTTTGCTGATGTTCGACGTAGCCGCCGTAACGATGCTGATTTTCGGTGCGGCCGGAAGCTTCGCGCCGGTCGTGGAAATGTTCAATGCGATTCGGTTCCTGCAAGCAATGAGCACGGCGGGACTTCAAACCCTTTCTGCAGCTCTTTGTATGTTTCTCATTAGATAGCAGAGCTTATCGAGAACGAGCTTCCAAACGGAAATGGAAAGTCTCGAGACAAGGCTGTGCTTCGAAATAGAAATGATCGGCTTTCCGCAGATTCCGAGGTGGCGCTCCCCGCTGATCGGAATTATCTCCATCTTGGGATGACTCTGGGACTAGGGATCACTCAACTGCTCTTACCGGCAATGGCTAAATGGTTCGACAACTGGCGCTATGTACAACTCGCGACCGGCTTGAGCGCAATCGCCCTTCTGCCCTTCCTTCTGTATGTCCTCAAGTCCATAGCGATACTTTTGCTGTCTTCTGGAATCAGATATTCGCAAAGGTCGGGCTTACGATAGTCCCGTTGAGTCCCGATGTGTTCTTCCAGCTACCTGGAGGAATCTCCCAGATGGCTTTTGTCGGTGGGCCAACACAAACGCGGAGAAAGGGCGTTGGAGCGAATTCTGCGGAAGAACAGGAGCGACGTCACGGATCTGGCCAAGAAAATGCCTCAGCTGATCTCGAAAGCCTCATGTGGTCCACCGAGCGCCGGTCTGAAGGATCTCTGGCCCCACCAAAATGTCAGGCGGAATCTCTTCACGATGTTCCTTCTTTGGTGGGTACATTTTTTCTGTTGAGTTATCATGCTGAAACTCGTCAATGAAGGCTTGCCGCTCGTGATAGACGGAACTGATTGTACGAGACCCTCCTCAGGGCCATCAACAATTTGGCGCTTTTCGGAATTACTTACCTCCCGTCAAAACTTGGAGGGGATCGCTTCTTCAATTTCACCGCTGCCAGCTCTGCTGAAATCCCCGCCGGCTTCGTTGGTCTCTACGTCATTCGGAAATTGCGGCGTCGCAATTCTCTGACTGGTATCCTCCTGATTTGTTCGTCAGCCCTCTTGGCTACAGCGTTGATTCCGATGGGTGAGCCGACTCGTGGATTAGGATTTGACTTCCCATATCGATGGATAACGGGGCGGGGGACTCCCTAAAGGACCATTAGCGACCGGAGAGATGATCATAGAGTCGCCGCGGACAGACCGGGGTAAATCAACCGAAAATTATTGGTCCGCAGAATTCGTCTACATTCGGGTTGCCTGTATGTTTGTAGCGAGGTTCTGCGTCGTTATCACAACTGCGACAATGTGGGTTTTCACAATGGAACTTTTCCCGACTTCGATAAGGAGCTTCGCGCTCTCCCTGTGTTTCTTCGTGGGCCGGACCAGCGCGGCTCTGGCGCCTTTCCTTCGAGATCTGGTAAGCCTTTGACGACTCCTCCAGACTCTACCAGAGACTAGCGATTCGGATCAAACCATCCCCTCGGAGCTACGGGAGCTGTTAAGCAGTCTCTTGAAGCTTCGTCACTTCCATCTCTTTTCTTGATCGCAGGCCGATTACTACCAACCAGCACCTTTCGCATTACTGGCGATCCTGACGGCGATATGCGCCGTGCTGCTGCGGATCACTCCCGAAACCCTCGGGAAACCCCTACCCGACACGATGACAGAAGCCGACCGCATCGGCAAAGAAGATAAGTTGTCGAAGCTCGGAGTGTGAACTGAGAACGCGATTTTCGGACGGCGTCGTATACTCCCATCTGAGCACTATTATTTCACTCATGCTCCGGAAGCTCTCCGGGGCGGTGTGAGAGTCTGCCATCGGTCGACCAAGGAAGGGACTGGGCTCAAGGGCTAACTCCCGCTTCGACGATGATCCGTTTCTGCCTCTCGCGGAAGTTGCCGAAACTTGGTGAAATTATTGTCCGCCTCCCAGATTCTTCATTTGATCCATATCCCGATTTCCGTTGAGCACAGGGCAATCTTCGGGGTCGGCTTGGGGTCGCAGATCGTCTGTATCGGATGTTCGGGTCGCGCATTGATAGATAGGACTATCGAATCATTGCGGGAAGAGAGGTGGAGTCATCGTGATCTTGGGGTGCGCCCAGAGGAGATTCTCTGGTTCAGACAGAAACAGCTTTGTACAGGTAGAGGATAAGTGAAATCCTGTGAGGTAGATCCCGAGGGGCTCCATCAAGTGTATTTGACGGTTCCTTCGATGCAACATCAACGATGAGACTAGGTACCCTCCAGCAGGAGGAGAGGGAAGGAAGCTCGAGACATTTCAAACGGACCGTTTCTCAAGTACCTGATTCTATGATGAAAATGCAGACCATCGTCATATGACGATTTTTTTCTCTATGAGGAAGTCTCAATAGGAGAATGTATGAAATTATGATGCATCCTATCGGATGGAGCACAAGCCCTGTGAATGTTGATTTCGAGATCCATATTTTTGTGGAATAAATCGTGAACCAATCTCCCCGAAGCTACGAGGCGAAATCACTGACTTTTTGACTTCATCCCCAGAACTTATCCATTTTTTGTAATAGTGCAAACCTCATTCCCAGGCATGGAATCGACCATCGAAATTGTTTCCATAGGCAGCGCTTCGTTCCTAAAAAGTCCGGACACCTTTGCGAATGATTCGACGAAACTTTATTATTATAGCCGGTTCCTAAGGCGGCAACTATCGCCGGTGATTTCTCAGCTCCATCGTACTTAGATGATTCGACCCTCGTCACCTCGCGCGTTCCAAGCGAACTATATGAGCATTAATGTGCTGAGTTGTCTTCTGCGATGAGTTAGATCGAGGCTAAAATGAGGCTTCTCTGTTTTTACAAATCCCATGATCCTTGGCTCCGAGCCGGCCGGTCACCACTCACTGTAAATACTTCCGGATTTCCATCCTCTGGGACCGATTCTCACGGGAGCTGCAGCATCGTCAAGGTTCAGATCGACTTTCATTGTCGGATCGATTTCTCGCTAACAACAGAAAGTTCTGCCCGCCCACATGCGAGTCGGCGACCATCTCCTCAATGATCAGAACAACTTCATGGCGAGTTTCCGGGCCCTCTCGGAAATCTCTCCAGCCTATACAACGTAGTTTCGAACAGAAGAGTTAGTACATCTCTGCAACAGCATTGGGACATCGTTGCTTCTGCCCCGAGATCCCATCCACGCCAGCATTGGACATCTCGACGCGGATCTGTCGGTCAGAATCTGTTGCACATTGATATTAAGATGAACGAGTGGGTAGAGTCCGGATCTCCTAATAGCGGAAGAAGACTCAATTTGGCGAGAAGTCAGCTCGAACTCATGAGAAAGCGTTCGGGATTCGTCGGCATTCTCCGAATATATTGGTGAGTACTCTGTAACTTTTTCGATGAGTCCGTTCCGCCGAGAGTCGTGTCCTCGTTTCAGGCCTCCATGCTCTATACTAGGATTTATATACAAAATATGTACAGTATATTCCGATTTCTGCTCCCAATTCCACGGCGCGCCGCGGCGTTATTGCATCCGTCGGTTCTGCGTTCGATATTCCTCATCCTGAGCAGTCTCGTTCCAATGACTCGGAGTTGACGATGGATTCCACCAAACTCCTCCAATAGCGTTTGTGCGATGTTCATGTATCATCTTCACGCATTTCTGATTCGACTCTGTTCTTGTCCTTGGTCCATTGAATCGCCTTCTAGTCAATATCCGTAGGGAGTGCTGTACTGGGATCCGGGATGATACGGTGGGTAGGGTCCGGGATAAGCTGCGTACCCATAACCGGCATATGGTTGTCGCTTGTCGGGATAAACCTGCGGTACAACTCATCGTTAGTCCGTTTCCGGTCGAGACTCTCAACTAGCGGATTCGAATGCACGGAAGCATAGGCACGTTCTCCAGCTGAGACTCTCCGTCGCATTCCCTCAACGAGACGGGAAGCTGGATCGATTGACGTCAGTGTTGTCTCATCGATCCTCCCGATCTTCGATAACACTTATTTAAACTCGTTCCAAGCCCACGGCTGCCGAGAGGCTCCTTGACGCATTCAGTTATTTGGATGATTCCGCAAGAATCAAGGTGGGTGCTTTTCCTCTAGGAGAATCATTGATATGTACCTACATCTTTCTGCGGACTTTTTCCCCGTTCAAGAAACCCAATTTGATTTCCAAGTTGCCCCTCTACCAAACCTTCTTGCTATTCGAATGTGACGATGACAGAAGACGATGCCTGATTCTGTGCCTGGAGGAGGCTAACTGTCGACGCTCGAAGGAGTTTTCTGACACAGAAGCACGGAGGTCGCACTCCGAACTCTTGTGATTCTCGCATAAGTCTCTAGACCACACTCACAGGCATTAGATACTGCATGTTTTTGGCTTGCTCATCGTCCTTCTCTCGTCGGAGGCAGTGTGAAGAGCCCAGAAAGAGGACGCCGGTAAGGAAACTGAAGGCGACGCCGACCCAGGCAAGCATGTAGGACCATCCATAGTAGAAGAGGGTGACTCCAGGACGACGGAGAATCTGCGGGGAAGGGATCCTGCTTCAGTTCGAGAATCGCACACGGAAGGCTCGGGAACATGTCTCATGGCGAGATATTACATAATATCTGACAGAAATCCCTAATCGATAGCCAGGAAACATTTGAATGTCCGGAACCACCTGGGCGGAAGGGTTCAAAACGACTACGGCTTGTGTCCAAATCGAATAAGGTCTATGATTATATTCGGCCCGGAGACCCGGTTGAATCTTTCGGGTCCGGTGCTATCGTTGAGAACGATTGAGAACGATAGCTCTCTCTTTCTTTTTTTCGTGGTTAACTGGCAATTGAGTTTGATGATCTTGGCCCGCCGCCCGTGCTGGCGTGGACGTCAATAGGAAATCGGAGAATTCAATTTAAAGAGAAGCCAGGGGAAAAAATCGGGCGTTTGATTCCGCTCCGTCGTCAATTTCTTCCTGGAGGCGCAGCTCTTAGAAGTTTCACTTCAATATAGATGAGATTCGCCGGACGTTCTCTTCTCGGAACGAATAATGAGATGGAGCGTCCGAAATCGTCTTCCCCCTTCCTAACGACTTACCGATGGCCAAGCGTAGTAGCTGAGGTTATCATGAAGCTTCTTGTAGTCGTAATATTCAACTCCGTGCCACAATCCCATGGCTCCACCTGCGATCAGCGCCACCAATATCTGGAAAAAATCGACCCCCCGGGTGAGCAAGGCATGTCAGACCTCACGCCAGGCTTCCGTTCCTCGGCAACTAGAGACGGAGGGATTACGGAGACCGCTGTGTTTTCATCTGGAAGATCTCCAATCGACGAACCTGGAGAAGTCCAGTAGCGATGATATTCGAGTAGGAACGCTTCCAACAGCCGACGAAGCCGGTCAAGAAAGAAAAGAACGAGAATATGAAGGAGACGATGAAGAGAGCAACACATGTGCGAGCCATATCTGAAACAGAAAATGTCGTTTGCTCGAAACTGAATATTGCAAGTGACCAGGATGAATGCCAGAATACGTGACGAAACCGCTCAGTGAAACGATTCTTCAGCCGGCAGCGATCCAGAGATTGTCGGTGGCGGCGGATTCTTCGCTCGAAGGTTTCGGGCTATCCCTTCGAGTGAATCGGCGTAGCTGATCCTACTCACTCAGACAACTACCGCCTATCGCCGACGAGAAAAAAATTCATCTCCGAGATCTCATCAAACAAGATCCCGACTCTAGAGATAATATATGATCTGATCTCTCCGAGACAAGAGTATCTAAAATAAAAATCATGTTCATATCTGATTTATTCGCTCATGATGATAGTCCTCGAATTCGAGCGTATCATTCGAAGCGGCGAAGCATCAAAACTGGGTATGGGTGTAGGATATATCCAGGAGACGCCTGAGCGAGAAATGTTTCGGAAATGTTTCAATTTTCATTCCGCGTACGCTATGAGAAGCAGTAAAGAGACTCGTTACTCCGGCGAAATAAGCACCGGTCCTTACAGGTCATCGCAAGGGTCACTACGTCGTCGTCCGAATTTCCCGATCGTGCCACAATGGGATACGGAGGCAAAAGAATGGAAGCCCACGCGGATCGACTCTTGGCCAACACCATTGATGACCGCTGAACAGCCGACGTCGGCTGCTCCTCAGTCAGTGGGTGGGTTGAGCTCTTCGACTAACAGATGGAAAACTCAATCATCGCTTAGAGGTTGAAGCCGCGGAAATATTCCCCGAGAAGGAAAGAACGAATTTCTCAGCTTGAGAACGCCTGACGAGAGCCCAGTAGCTACGTATTTCCGCCACGATAAGGCAGGCGAGACATGATCGAAACAACTCTGGTGAGCCGGAGCTAAATCGTTCGGGGAGTTTCACTTGGGAGAGCAAGTTTCTCAGAAAGGGATAGCCTCGAGCGTTCGATATCCGCTCGACTTCTCAGCAATCGAACATTTCCTGCATAGGTGCGGTTACTTACGGAGTCGTTCCCAACGTTGTTCGGAGAACTGATCAGATACTTCATCCTCGGGAATGTAGTAGTTGATGTTGACACAGTCCGTCTGCAGAGGTGACATGTAGGTAGTCACTGGAAGAGACAGATCAGTGATGAGATGAAAGCTCAAGCGCGCTTCGCAACCAAGCCTCTACAGAATCATTCCGACTCTCCAAGTTCCCCTGTTAGTTCCTCATTGAGCACGAGTCGGAGCGCGCCTCGGAATTCACGCTCGGGGAAAATATCGAGGATCTATTCGGAACCGTGAAAGAACATTCCACGGAGAAGCAGAGATGGATCTTGGGTCTTCCTGGGCCGGGACGCATTCGATGCGGAATCGGAAGACTTTCGATGGATTGGCGCCTAATAAATGGAATAGTTGCGTGCCGGAGAACGATATTCGGAACGGTGACATGGCGTCGCATCGAGCAATCGAGAAGAAATTGCTGAATTCCGGCGCGGGATGAAATTGGTTAACAACCACGCTGGCAGAGAGCAGCGTAGCAGTCGGGTGAATCAAGGCGCGAACGAATGAATGGACGAACGCGCGAGCGAACCAACGAAAAATTTGCGTTTGTCTGTGAGAGTCGGCGGATGACAAAAGACGTTCGCTACGGCTGCTTTCCAAATAAAAACATCTTCGACTGAGCGTCAGTTCAAAAATCCACCTCAAGACTTTCGTAACCGGTCAAGCATTTGGCCTTCGCGGCTTCGGGAGAGCACGGGAAACGTATGATAATAATCAAACTTGGTTAGACGGAGACAATGGATTCACTGCTCTTCCGCATCGCTCGCGTACGATAATTTAAAATACCTATCCAAGCAAGATGAGAAGACGAAGACTCCTTCCAGCAAAAGACTCCGGAGTCAAGCAAGGCATTTATGTTGATTCACGGAGCAAAACTCAGATCGGAAAGCGAATATTTATCGGCCACGGCGAGGTTGGGCCGGATAATTTTCTATGATCGCGCACGGAGATTTCCCGGTTGATTAAGCGAAATCTGACGGCGCGTCTCAAGGTTTCCGGGGACGGCTGGTTCAGATAATCATGCCATATGGTAAGCACTGTCGGCAACAATGACAACGAACGAGTATCTCATCGCCGACGAAACCGGTGACGATCGGACGCCGCGCCGGCCAATAGACCATAACTGTGGTATGTACAATGCTAGAACCCAGCAGGAGGCGCACGTCGTCGTCACGCGAGGGCAAACCCACAGAAGCTGTCTTTGGAAAAAAAAGCGAAATCGTATCATCGACCAATCGCGTCACAGAGGGTCCTCCATGGAAAATGAATAGATGAGCTTTCGAAAGAATCCTATGCTGCCCGAACAATTCGGTTATCCACGGCAACCCGATCGCAAGCGATACGTCGGGGAAGCTTAGCGATATCAGCATTGCCCTGACTGAGCTCGCGCACTGCATCCACACCGACGAAGATCATGTGCCCTGAAGATTGGTTCTTCAGACAAAAGCGCTCGATTCGACGACGCGATTCCTCTATGTTCTCCCTCCCACTGAAACTGGACAGATCCCGAGCAGAAAGCTCTCTGGATCTGCAATTTTTCTTATGATTTATCGCCAAGACTTGTTAGTTCACTCCGGGTGATGAGAACCCGCGGGGTCCCTGCTGAACCCTCATTGAATTTACGCTCTTGACGGCGAGGGATCTTTCCGATATGATTCATTAGAATTGCCGCTGGTGACCGTCGAACGCGCTTGACCGTATGCGTTTGGTCGCCGGGCACTTGTGAGCAGACTTGGGTCTGGAGCGAATTCTCACATCTCGAGCAGCCCACTCAGGTCAAAGCCTCAGGCACCCACGTGACGATTTGCTTTCGTCAGAAAGCAAGCCACAGAAAACCAAAGGGGAAATTTCCGGCTTTGATTCGGAAAGGACTGATATTCGGAATTACCTCGCGTATTCCAGCCACGGGATAATCGTCGACAGGCATCAGACCGGGCGCCCGCTCTGGCGTCAGGATCATTCTCTCCAGCTAACAGAGAGTTTCGAAATCTGATTTCCAGGAGGCACCCGGAGCAAATCATGTATTTTCTCAGACCATAATCCGTCAACAGACTTGTGGAAAATTGGTACCCTTTCGAAGTCGCTCCAATGAGGAATGTCCCCCGCGTCGCGTTATGGATCGAGCCCGACTTCCTTGGAACTCTCTCACAGACACGGGAAATTTTCAAGACCAAGATCCTTGGACACCATTGTTCCAAGACCACTCCGCCCGTGGTCCCCGTTCACCATTTACGTTGACCGATCGATTGTGTTGAGCCCGATTCTCTCCTGTATGCGCTTCCCCTTGGGAGGCATCAGTTTTATTCACTTCTCGCCTGTGATTCCGTTTTGCTCTATCTTGCCATTATCGATGATCGAAACTCATTCTCAGCTTGAGGTAAATGACAACAATCATTGAAGCATTTCCTGAGCTCCGACGTCTCGCCTCCGGCGCCGTCGAAGTTGCAAATCAAGTCATCACGATGCCGCCAGAAGCATCGGACAGCGCTCCACAACCGCTCCGAAGGAGCTGACCGGTCGCCACACTATATAGATCCCGAACGCGGCATTTTTTCCGCCTGGATCGAACGATTCTTCCCGTGCCCATCGTCTTCCTCACAAATTATTGTGTCTTTGTCGACGACGGCGATGAAGTATCTCAGTTCGAGGAGTTTTTTTGCTCGCCAGCCCCATCCCGCATTTGTCGGCTCGTCGCTCCGTGCGATCCGGACGGAAGTTCGCTTCAAGACGCAGAATATGAAACCGAAACGCAAATATCAAACGCATTCCGAGAAACTCCGTCTCGGACGTGTGCGATCGGACGACAGAACCAAAAAGAGCAAAGCAAGTCAAGCAGAGCGTGCGGTATGCTTTGATGCCAGCCGAAACGATGAAGTCGATGATGAAGTCACTACTCAAACATGCAGTTTCGGTGCGGAGTCAGGACGAGGCACGGATCGTCCGCCGGACACGGGCCAAAGCGTGGCCGGTCCGCTTTGGATAGCTGATACTGAATGAGAACACACTGCCGGGGACGACTCGCCCTTCTCTACGACGTGGAAAAACCGAGCGTGAAAACGGACAACTCGTCTGTGAGAAGAGTCCGAGACAGTTTCGAACATTTTTGAATGCTGCCCGCGGCGGATAGCAGGCTCCGATCGCCACCGAGCTCTGGGCGCCACTACCTGAGCCGACCGAACACGCGGATAGGATGGGAGCAGAAACGACGCCGGGGAAAAGAAGGAGTTTACAACTTCCGCAAACACGAAAGTTCTGTTATAATCGGTTAAGTGATAGCGATAAGTGCGCGGTTCTCCTCGACTTTGTTTTTTTCTGCTGCCCCACTTGTTTTCGCTTCTGCCTCGAAACCTTGAGCTGAATTCTTTCTCGATTCCTAGGAGCGATTGAATTTTCCGGAATTAGCTCCTCTATGACGCTACCGAATCGACAACCGGTCTGTCGGATTTTAAACCATGGCTCGGGTCATGTGATGGAATTTCTCGATAACGGTACCAAAGGGGAAAGGGTGAAGCGGAAGATAGCAGAATAAGATGAAGAAAGTTCATCGCTCGAGACTCATCGAGACACGGGTGAGCCACGTAATCCAGTACAAGTCTACGAACCCAGAAAGTAATTGATCGAGGCGTCAGGGCTATCTATACACTCTTGAATCCGAAGAGCGGTTGCTATGGTCACTAGTGACTCAGAGCCGTCATCATCGAAGCCACAGTGTACACCCCACTAATGGGTGAGGTGGATAACGTCAGCATGTTTCGGTGAATACAGCTGTTCATTCTCCGCTTTCTAGTGCTTGAGCCTATCGGGCGGTGGGAAGGATCAGGATCCCAGTTCATCTGATGCCCGCACAGGCGCCGGGCTCCGTCCTTAGCGATTGCTCCGACTAAGAATTCGCAATCGACGGTGGACAAGTGGTTCCTACAGAAATCGGCGGCCGTCGCTTGAACGGTCGAGCTGAAGCATCAATTAATCCGCTCTCGGAGGTTGACCGGGAGGACGTACATAACACGCCTGCACCGAAGTCGCAAATATCGAGTGTGACCGACGACAGACCGAACGAGGATGGGTTTATTGGACAGACTCGTAGTTTTTTTGAAAATAAAAAAGCGTCAAGCATCCGTGCTCGTCGTAGGGCTCGACAACAGTGGCAAATCGACTATCCTCAACCATTTCAAACCAGACGAACAGAAGTCGATCGAAATCGTCCCAACGATCGGCTTCAGCGTGGAAACTTTCAAGATTAAGAACCTCAACCTCACGGCTTTCGATATGTCCGGTCAAGGCAGGTACCGGAACCTGTGGGAACATTACTACCAGGACGCTCAGGGAATCATTTTCGTGATTGACTCGACGGACGCTCTCCGCATGGTTGTGGTCAAAGATGAGCTCGAACTCCTCTTGCAACACAAGGACATCAAGAACAGATCGGTCCCGATACTGTTTTTTGCCAATAAGATGGATCTCAGAGACGCTCTGTCCAGCGTCAAAGTCAGCCACGCTCTCGGTTTGGACTCGCTATGTACAAAAAGCTGGCACATTTGTTCGTCGAACGCCGTGACGGGAGAAGGCGTTCGTGAGGGTCTTGAATGGTTGAGCGAGCAGATACAGCTCAATTTGAGCAATAACTAGACGGAAGTTCTCCTCCGTGTACGATGAGGTTTCCTCTCCCTTCTGACTGTGCACACCGACTGAGAATTCGATGCGCGGCTCGTCGCATACGTATTCAGTGAAGTTTCGTGAATTGGCCGGCCGATGTATTGAACTCGTGGATCTACTCCGAGGTTCATCTCGGAGCCGATCCGCGAACCGACCCAAGGAAGACCATGGTCCAATAAAGAGCGATTCGTACGCGCGCCATCGATCGAAAAAGTTCTCATTCTTGCTAGATTTTGACAACAGTCTACTGATTTCAGGAGAGTCAGCTCCGCAGCGGAATTTTCCGGCTTACTTGATGCTAGAGCGGAGGTCGGCCCGGGCTGAACGGAACCGCGTAAATATTTGCACAGATTTCAGATTGTATAAGGAGCAGAATCCCGTTTACGAACTTCTGCGAGTCGTGCATCTTCCCTTATCTCGGAGCGGCCAGAGTTCGTTCGTGTCCTGGGGCTTTACCTAGATTGCTGATATCTGGGTCAGTCACCAGTGGACCCGGTGGCGGCGTTCTCGCGGCCGCACCAGCAGCAACAGAAGGAGCAACGGCGGCGACGGCAGAAGTAGCGGCGAATCCTTTCCACAAAAATACAGTCGTCGACGTTCATCGAATCGCTTCAACTTGAGAAGAATTACGATAAAAATAGATGGAAAAAAATCCCGAAAGTCTGGGGGAAGCAACGTTGTTACTACTACAACTCGACGTAAATCTATTCTACTTGCTCAGTCGGCGGTCGACGTCGACCATGATAGTCAACTTCATCATCAACGCAGCGACATCCCAGACTTCCTATCGTCTATTATTGTGAGTCTGTATCGGAAATAGCAAAGGATAGAATCAAGAACGTGGCCAGAAAGTATTCCCGAGACGAAAGTCCCCAAAAGAAATGGAACGTCGTCGGGCTCCTTCCAGTATTCTCACTGCCCTCCCTCGACTCTCAATCAGCTGTATTCTCCCATCGATAAACATCCCGGAGACCCGGAGAAAAAGAGATGCCCGAACTGAACCGAGGTCTGGACTTCTATCGCCTGATCGAGACCCTGTCCAGGGAGTAATTAGGAAGAACGCGCGTGCAGATAACGCCCTCATGGCTCCATGGTTTTGCACTCGTACCCTTCTGAGTACAAAAAAGCATTACGTGGGAATCGGGAGCGGGACGGAATCCTGCTGGGGAAATTTCTTTCGGCGGCGGTGGCGGCGCCTCCACTACCACCTTCGTATCCTTCCCATTCTCATTATCGTAATGAGAGAAACTTCCAAAGCCGGCGCTGCCGCTGCAATCACGGGGGTGGGAAATTCGCAGGATTCCTTGATGGAGCGGGTGTGACTCTCGCTTTGTCGCGGGAACAATCCTGCCTCCCAGAGATGAGCGTCATCGAGTCCCGATAGATCTTCTCTGGAAGCAGCGCGTCGCTAGAAGTCCCAGGGGTACCAAATCCGATGAGGCTTTCAACGCCGCACCAACTCGTGGATATGCTTCCCTGTTCCGAAGTTTGCGTGACTCTTTTCCCCCCGATGATCGACTGGCATCTATTATATAAGGCGTCTATTGAGTGCTGCGACCCATTTGTGGCCACAACCCGTAAGCTGGGTTCCATCGGAACCGGCTTCCGATACGTATGCCCACCATACAAATTTTCGCTCCCGTCCGACGTCTAAGCCAATCCTTCCCATGGAATCGTTCCAGAGAAATCGACTCAGACGGCGAATCGGTCTTTCTTAGCCTTCAGATCCTCTTAGATGAGAGGGAGCTAAAAACTCTCTTGAGGATTCCCCGAATACACGATCATACGGAAGTTCCAATAAGAAGTCGTGGCGACCCGAGCTTCGACGAAGTTTCCAGCACCGATCAACGGTTCCCAGGATGCGAAGTGAAAGTCGAGCCGCTTTAATCCGAAGCTCCCGACCACGGGCATGGAGCTCGGTGGGGATTAAGTGGACGACGACTAAACGCCAGAGAATCGAATGGGTCGGTCTGCTTTTCATGAAAAAAATCAACACGAACCGTCAGACGAGCGGACTGGCTTGCGGGCTCTCTCGTCGATGTAGGTCAGACGAAGGGGCTCAGCTCCGCGAAGTCGTCGCTCTGACAGACGCTCGCGTCGCGATACAGTCGAAGCCGACCAATATTTTTTCCCCGAAGCAGACGGCTATCGACATTCAGAGCCATAAGTTATGTTCTCCGATAAATCCGCGAGGATTGCTTTCCGTCAGTAGTACCTTCCTCGCCTCGAAGACTTCGCTGGGGGAATCGAAGACATCGCTTCGTCAGGGCCGAAGTAAATGAGCACCACTCGCTAATTATCGCTTCAGGTGCAATATTCCTCGGAAATACTAAAATTCCTACTCCACGTCTGGCCATTCGGACACGGGCTCAAGTCGCCGATACTGTCAGAAACAAGAGGGTCGAACAGAATCATTGCGAATGCATGTCTGTTTGATGAGGTCACATATTTTCAAGAGACCTGGAGGTTGTTACGTCGCACACTGGTCGCGGGAGGTCCTCAAGGTCGGCTATTGTAGCTCGCGTCTTCATTCAGTCATTCGCTCACTCATCGGCGTATTGTTATGGAAATCGGGACACTGGCTTTGATCACAAACTGCTCGGGCGACCGGCTGACTTGGTCTCAAAACCTTACTTTCATCATTCCTCTTTTTGTATGTCGCGCAGAGAATTGTCCGGCGAAGGTCGCGAGCGTCGGATATCCTCGACACAGGTCTCTGATTCTCGAACCCCATCTCGGGAAACTCATCCCGAGCTTTCAGCGCTTCAAGGTTCCGAAAAAAACCGAGCAGGTATCCACTCGTAAACAATTCCACGAGGGAGCCGCGGAGGCTATGTGAGTGAACATATCGATGCAATCGTTGCCAAGTCTAATTTACGTCCGATTCGAGAATTCGATGAGGGTAGAGCTCGAACGCCAGTGAAGTCGAACGCTGCCCACTAGCTTCTGTGATGCCCCGACGAAGAACAAGTATTCCTACCGGAGCGTAGCATTCCGGCCGGATATCTGATAATGGGAGTAATCTGCTGTCCCCTCGAATATCAGAGTTTTGTAATGAGGTGTTGATCTGAATCGTCCGACGGGTAGGAACGTAACAGAATCCCGAGAAAAGTTTTTTTTGCTAATTGCTCGATCCGTCGTTCTTTTTTTCCGTCTTGCTCCCAGCAGAATCAGTGAAGCTTCTCTGAATTCCTTCTGCTCGCTCCAGAAACGCGCAAGGTCTTCGCCGCAGACCAAACGCTCACTCGCTCACCGCGGGCGAGTCTGTTTTTTTGGTTGCCGAAAGCTAGAATGATTTGTTTCTCGCCATCTGTTCCTTAATGCACGTTCCGTTTATAGATCCGTCCGGCGGTGGATTGGGCTTAGTTCGGCGGACGCATGCAAACTCGACGGTTCCATTTGCGACGTTGAGGTGCGGGAATAAACCTCGGCGAACAAGAGCATTGGATTCTAGTACCAATACGAATTACTCGAAGCCTGAGAGATCTCTCCTCGGATTGGTATTCCAGCTGGGGTTCATCGTAGAGGAACTCGCAGTAATTGCTCCACTTTCCCTGTTGTAGAATGCTGACATCGCGATGCGACCGTAGCCACCTCTTGGAATCTGAACTCAATCCAATCGGAGAATTTCTCTTCACCGCTTCATTAAGGTGTAAAGATTCGGGCCGTAACAGAACTATTCTGTGCGATTCCGGTCGTGTGTAAAGGGAAGAATGTTCAACTGATGCCGCTCAGTCAGCGAAGTTCTCCCTCGTTTTTCTCTAAATGGGCCGCGTCCCGGAGAAGAGAGATTATGTGAGATCAGGCGGTCGGATCGTCCGACAGCATCCAGCTTCCGATGCGCGACAGCATTTCAGCGGCACCAGTTTCAGTGAGTGTGATTAATATTTCTGGAGACTCGCGTGGCTCCTTCAGTTAACGGTGACGCGTCCGTTGCTACGAAGAGCAAGAACGGAGCGAAAAAGACGGGGAAACCCGACAGAGGTTATTGACACAGGTTCGGCCAGAGACCGTCGCACAAACGGCGGCGACGGTGATGGCGACTCGAGGAGACTATCGCGATTCCCATGAAGAAGCGCAGAGGCACACAAACCGTCCGAGGAAACGACGGCTCCGTTCAGCCGAGGAGAGGAGTCGTTTGATTGAGTCCCTCAGCTCAAAAATAAGACTGAAAGTTTACGATTACGTCAATGGAGCGAAGACTATCCGGTACGGAAACTCGACCTCCGCCAGCCGCCACCATTTGCCTTTGCTCGAGACTCGCGGATCGTCCCGGAGGGCACTGATGGTTTGCCAGAAGAGGTCGTGGGGATTTCTGGCACGTTGATTGATGAAAGATACCATGATCCCTGGCATTCAGAGTCGGAGCTGTCCAGTATTCGTGGCAGATTGACGATCCGCCAGCAACGACCTTCTCGCGAGATCTTTCAGTCTGCCGCGGTCCGCGACATGACGAGACGCATGGAGAGCTGCGATTTTTCACTGGAATTTCCCGCTTGGCTGGAATCAATCGCTCTATCAGAGTAAGGAGCTCATCAGACCAGGGAGGGGTCGCATCATCGACAGCCGAGGCAGCTTTCCTTCCGAAGGCGTTATATCGAGTAGAAGATCCGTACAAACATTCGACAGCATCCATGTGACAGTCGAGCCCCGCAGCCGAAGGCACATATGTTCGGGTCCCGCCTCTAGAAGTGACGAAGACAGATATTGAGGAAAGTCTGTTGAATAAACAGCGGATGGCCAAATTCACGGGAAGACGCAGCACAAAAAAAAACATTCGACGGAAACTCTCCGTCTTGTGCGATGTGTGAAATTTCTTCTGAACGGTTCTGGGGAGTAGTACGGCCTGATTTTACTTTCTGAATCCGAGCCAACGAAAAAATCCGCTAGCCTGCCGGTGGGCGATCCGATCTGCTCGCACTGACTCCGACCATTGCTCTCCGACGATTGAGAGAGTTATAGGCCCGATTTGATCGTCTTTGGGCGATATTGGGTGAATCGGAGAGGTCGGTGATATTCGCCCTTCTTGCGAGCATCCAGAAACAAGATTTGGAGCAGAGCGTCCGTGAAGAATTCTTGGTATGCCTCGCTAGAGCTATCAAGGAATCCGAATAGTGACTTTCTGGGCGATACAGAATGTCGGGTCTTTTGGGAAAGCATCGGAAAACATTATCCGACGCGAGAATCTCTCGCTCGAACAAGGAATTGTCCGAACCCTTGGCGGCGCTGTCCGCTCCACAAGGAGAATCTGTCAACGTTTTTTGCTGGCTCCACAACGATTCCAAATGAGAGGCGAACGTGTGAGGTTTCGATGAGCGTCCAGACAATCAGCCCGAAGCTTAGCGTATCCACGTGATGGTCGAAGAGCAGCCGGCGTACCTCATTTCAAAGTGGATGGGCCTCTTCTCGAAATTTTTGCCCTCCTCTTGTGTGGCTGTTCGGTCGGCGGGGTCGCTCGTGGCTAACATTCAACTCCCGTCAACCTGTTCTCGTCGATCGAGTTTTTCATGAAAACTACTCTCATCCGTAATCGCTACACCGTCGAATTTTTTCCCCGGCTCTAATCAATCGGCGTTTTGCAACTCGGCCGCACAGGGTTTTTACCATTGGAGTTTCAACACAGATGAACGGTGGATCCTCCGTCACCGTTTCGATGTGTCAGCTTTACACGGAGCTCATCCAACCGAGCTTGGAACAGTCAAATGTCGATGATTCCCGAACGGGGTACTCACTTGTTTTGGGTCGCTTCTCCGGGAAACAGACACGGAGAAGACCGACGTCTCGAGAGAAGTACTCCATTTGGGTTTCGAAGGATCGATACTCTTCGCTGTCCTTCTGAAGGGTTCCCCGGACCAGAGTTCTGTTGACTCTGATCTCCATCCACGAGTCGGTACCGAATGCCACTGTCAGACAGAGGAGACCAAGGACGGCGGTTATGGTCGCCAACGACAGAGTCACGGCCGAACAACACATGTCGCAGAGATGTGTCACACACAGAGAAGAATTCACAATTAACAACACGCGGCCGTCGTCAAGACCGACCGCTCAATAGATTCCTGCGTGAACTACTCGTGCTCGATCGGCAACTTCTTGTCCCTAATTTCGGTATCTCACTGTCGCCCTAGAATCGCTCGCCGAACGAAGTCACCGGCAGCTGGCTGTTTGGGTTCCCTGATGGAAGAACGACGACGGCGCCGCGACGTCTTCGCCGGACTGGTTTCTGCTGGTGCCGCCGCTACCGCAACAGTTGGCATCGAGGAACGGAGGAGAATTAAAGCCCCATCTGACGGCCGGAATGCGAAACTTCGGTCTAAGATACCGAAGCTTTGCCGGAGAAACGGCCGGTTCGTTCGTCGTTTGACGGCAGGGAGGCATGAACAAGCATATCGCTAATTCGGCCGGAGCGTGCTCGACAGCCGCAGAAAAAACGCTCGTGACGACGGGTGCTTCGCTCAGGCCCCAGCTCTGTTTCGGAGCTCGTCGAGCGATGCCACGAGGAGGCAAATTCGGCATCGAATCAGCATTCATGCTCCTTCGACCAGTGGCTGCAGAAGAGGGACAGCGATCGGATACGCAGCCGGAAGGCTTAGGGTCATCTTCTCCCGGGACTTTTGCTTCTCGCCGACAACTCTAGACCAAAAAGAAGGCGCTTGTCGCAGGAATCAAGTCTCTTCGCGTTAAGAGTCGATTAGAGATAAATCAACTCCGGGATTCGGGATCCTGAAACAGGGAATGTTGCGCGCCCGCATCCATGGCAAGCGTCTATCGGGGAGAATGGATTGAATCTGGAAAACTGCGATATCTGCCCGGAGCCTTCACATGTCGCCAGATGGGAGAGATAACCTCGATGGGTGTTTCCATTCCACACATGAGAATGTGTGGAGACCGTATGCGGTAGGTCACGAGCAGGAGGTACAGGTAGCCCCAAAGGACGCAGGAAACCGGATAGGGGTCTCCTACTTGATGATAGTCACGGAGTACACTCATTAGAGGAGAGTCTGGAACAATCTGGAAGGAACATGAGACGAACAATATTCTCAGGGGTCACCGCTAATAGAACGTAAGAGGAGACGAGACATCAGGCCGCGACGGCAAATCTTGGAAAACCGAAATTCTCATCCGCTGCTCGCCAATCACTAACCGGAAGTGCTCCAGAGCTATATCATGTCTGGCCGGCACGCAATCATCGAAATTGGGATAGTAGAAATTCCATTAGAATCGATCTGTATGTACTCAAATTAAAGCAAGTGACCTGTCTCGATTCGAGCTTGTTTACGAGTAGGCGACATTCTTCATGAGTTCTCGCGGACGTTGACTTCGTCCAGATGCTCCGTCCACGGAACTCGAACGCGATTCAGCGTGGGACTCGGCTAATGTTCAATCACCTCTGCCCTCGACTCGTTTTGAGCTACGTCCTCATGTTCTCGACTAAGAATGATGCAGATTCGCTGTTCGATTAGCGTCCGGCGCTCTCCTCGAGTTTCGACTCGGGAAACTCCCGGGAAGAAGCGAAGTCTCCATCAAGCAAGGTTCGCCGCTTGATCCCGTCTCCTGGGTCTGATCTCGAGAAGTTCCGATCTCTACCGGATTCCGGCTCACGCTGGTCTTGGTGCAGACGCTCTTCATGGGGCCGCCGTCACTGACGTATGACGGCAGCAAGCTACTAAGTATACGGCACGGTAGAGAGTGACTATCTCAGCTCTGGAAACGAGAGAATCTGATCATCTACCTCCCTGTGTTGGATGAGTGAAAATTCAGACACCAGCTTTTCCTGACATTGGAAACCGATGAACCCGAATTCCATCGAGCAGCTCCTTCACCTCCCATGCTCCGGTCCATCGCCGGCCATCGACGATGCTGCTCGCTAAATGATCACAGCGGAATTTATGATAATGTTTTCGAAAATTAGAACGAAGGATATGGCCTCACTTCCTCCGCCGCTGACTGAGATTCGCGGATGCCTCAAAATTTGTCACCAGAAACTCATGTCCCAGCCCTGTTCCGAAATCCGTCGCATTCCCGGCGGTGCGGCAAGTTCTGCTCGCGAAATGAAGACGAGGCCTGCTTGACACGGAATGACTCCGATGTCGTAGTCAGGAGCGATGACCATCGCGGAAGCAATAATGGCGTCATTGATTCTCGCTTTCAGTTCTGAAGCTGGCGCCGCAATATGACAGCCGGCACCTCCGAAGAATGTACTTCCCCCAATGTGATCAAAAAAATCTCCGGAGCGATCTGTCGCATGACAAGCAATCGCTGTGTTCCTGGTTTTCGATTTCCGCCGCCGAATGCAATAAGCCCGTGATGAATCCATCTCGCATGATTCTCACGACAGACCCTCATCGAAGACTCTACCGATCGAATCATCCACCACGATCATGTTTTTGGTGGATTCTCAGCCGGGGATACTCGCTTCTCACCTGTCAATCATTGAAATTAGACGATAAAATAATTCGTGTCGAATACTCTCAGTTGCATACCCCTCGAGTCACCGAATGCTTAGGCCGGTCTCCCAACGGGCGTATTCCCGGCAGGAAACGACCACTCTGAGCCCTTGTGAGACAAGGAAGCATCCGAGAGATTACACGGATATCTCGGATAGTTCGCAGCTTCCCGACGAGCTGCTGGTGACCGGAGGAGGCTGAGCATCTCACGAACCCAATCACGGAGGACTGCGTGCATATTTTGTGCGTCAGCTCCGCCCGTCTGGATTGGAATGATACGGGAATGATAATTTCCCCCGGTGACGAAACTGTCGCCTGCGATCGAATCAGTGAACGGATGTCTTCTGACATTTCGCGGGGTTCCCGATGAGTCATACATGCACGTAGTATGCCGTACGGATGGGAACCGTCTTGGAGCTGATCCACTTGAACCCCTCCGTACTGCCGAGATTGGGTCGAGCTAAGAGCTCCCTCTTGAAGACATCATCCTTGTTGCATCTGATCTTTTTTTTTATGCGGAACAATGACACGAGCTCGAGTTTGTTTCTCCATGATTCACTATTTGCGTAGGTTGAGGCCCCTTTGTCGTAACCGATCCCACGCAGACAGCTTAGTAGCCGTGTTCGAGGGAATTCCTGTCACTCAGGCTGAGAAGATGGAATGACATGCACCTGAGAATCAAAAAAGAAGTCTGAGGATATCTCCTCCTCACCTCCTAAAGCTTGCGACGCGAGAGATCTCGAGGGCCTGTTACGCGAGTGCTAGACATCGGATTTCGATCGGCCGTTGCCTCATGGAAGCACTAGCCCAGGGAGGTCGAAAACCTCAACGAGAACCCGAAGGAAAAACTGAGGGAATTCCCACGGAACCTCGTAGGCCCTAGGAGACACAGAGGGCCAAATCCTTTTCGAATCTCTGTACCAAGCGATATTGAGAAGCTGATAAAGGCCGCATTCTCGATAGTTGCGCTCATGAACCGGGGCTTCCTCGAGCTCCATGAGAGGCAATAAAGCCATACCTCTTCTCTCCTGTCCGAAACCGACGGAAAAAGGGTGAAGAAAATTTTCATCAACTGAGTTGTCTTTTTATTGCGAAATGGTTTCAATCCGAGCGGAATCCGATGATCATGCTCCGAAATCAGACATATCAGATACCTGAGATATCGGATTGCGATCCAACGCCCGATTTGGAGTCCCCCATATCGGTTTCGAACAGTCTCGTCAGTCAACGCAGGTTGCATTAATTCGGGTGACACACGCGCCGTGAGCGAATCGAAGTCCTGATTGTGCAAATTCAGCCGCTCCCCCGCGACTCGATGCCGCAGCTTCAGTCGATGTCGTCAGACGCTAGTCCACTCAGCCTTGGAGAGAAACAATACGGTCGGATGAGATGCCGTGCGAGCACTGTAAATCACTGAACTCGAAGCTGAAGTTTCGATCTTCAATAATAGATATTCGCTGGATTCCTAACAATATACAAAGTAATTCGATCGCCCCTCCCGGGGAAGGTTCTTATTTGTTGGCTTTCGCCGCAGCTTTCTCTTGCAGCTGTTTCTCTCTGTTTTCGGCGGTTTTCTCGAGTAGTGCCTTTCGTTGATCAGGGTCAAGATCCTGGTTGATCTCAACAATGACGCCGGTTCCGCTCGTTTTCTTTCCGTCTCGGAGCGTGAATCTCTGTCCCTTCTCTAGAGCCATGGGCTTTAATAGTTTTATGACGAGTTTACCGTCCTCGCCGGGCATGAGCATTTCTTTGTCAACTAGCGTACATCTCCCCGAACAATCCCATGTCTTTGAATAAACTTGTGGTTGGTAGTTTTTGAGAATAGGCCTATTCTTCCCGCCCTCCTCTTTCTTTAGGATGTAGATTTGGGCCGTGAAATGATCGTGCTGGGCAACGCTCCCCGGAGCCACTATGGCCATACCGCGGCGGAGCTCGTCGCGTTTGATTCCTCTGATGAGGGCACCGAGCTGATCGCCGGCCTCTGCCTTCTCCAGAATTTTGTGGAAGGTTTCAATGCCGGTAATCGTGGTCTTGAATTTCTTGTCGAAGCCAATGATCTCACATTCGGTGGCTTTCTTGAGGACACCTCGCTCGAGCCGCCCCGTTGCCACGGTCCCTCTGCCAGGAATAGAGTACACGTTCTCGATTGGCATGAAGAAAGGCTTATCGAGATCCCGGACCGGGGTGGGGATGTAGCTGTCGACAGTGTCCAGCAGTTTGTCGATGGCCTGCACGCCGAGTTCCGGATCCCTATCTTCGACGGCGGCGAGGGCTGAACCGGTGATGATCGGGGTTTTGTCGCCGTCGTAGCCGTGTTCGGAGAGAAGTTCTCGGAGCTCGATTTCCACGAGTTCCAGCGTTTCCTTGTCGGTAGCATCGGCTTTGTTGAGGAACACGACCAGGTGTTCGACTCCAATTTGTTTTGCGAGGATCAGATGCTCTCGGGTCTGCGGCATCGCTCCGTCGGTTGCCGCTACGACGAGAATCGCTCCGTCCATTTGGGATGTTCCAGTGATCATGTTCTTGATGTAATCGGCATGACCGGGACAGTCCGTATGAGAGTAATGTCTTTGCTTCGTTTGATATTCGACGTGAGCGACATTGATCGTGATACCGCGCTCCTGTTCTTCAGGGGCATTGTCGATGTCTTCATACTTCTTGGCTTCGGCAAGCTTGCGCGAGGCGAGGATCTGAGACCACGTAGAAAAGAGCTCGTGTTAGCGTGCTGCTCCAGAGGATGGCAATGATCCCCGAGGGCAAGCCGGAGAGGATTTCTGGAGACTTTATCGTGAATTGGAGACTGTGATCAGGAGTTCTCACCTTGGTTATGGCTGCGGTCAAAGTCGTTTTTCCGTGATCCACATGGCCGATGGTTCCTGCGACGAGAGGAGATACGAATAGTGAAGTATCGAAACTTGCTCAGTCTGTCTTGCTTTCGAGAGGAGAACTGTCTGATACGGCGCGGGGAGGAAGTGAAAGTCGCTGCCCTCCTTTTAGTCGAACCCAAGGGAGAGCGCGGAATCCACGCTCGCAAGCACTACATCAATCATTAATTCCATGTGCCGGAGTTAGGGGTGGCTTTCTGAACGAAGAGTGGAGTCGATGTTTTCCAACGATAGTGCCACAGTCCCGAGCTCGCCCAGAAGCGCCGGTTACGCGCACAAGGGCACGAGGCCGCAAAGCCGACACTCACCGATGTTGCAGTGCGGTTTCTCGCGCTGGAATACGGTCTTCTTAGCCGGTGCTGCTTTCACGGTACTCTGAAGCCTCGCCACCTGAGTAAGCAGAGGCCTCGCCCGAACAAGCCGGGAAAATCCGATCGGAAATGAGACCATCTCGGAAAATAGCTCGGACGCTCACACACACACGAGAAGTTGTTTCGACTAGAATCCACGCAGAGTGTCGGCATATACCGAGACCAGTGATGATGAGGAAGGAGCGCGATCTCGGAGATGAACTCAAGAAAATGTGAGCGGCGCTGGCTTGCGACTCGGAGCGAGCGGAGATCGACGATACTCAACTTCGGTGTATATTAGGGAATCGAAGCCGGAATTCACACCGTCGAAGAAGTAAAATACAAGTTCCCGCAGCAGCTCCGACGGCAGACGACTCTCGGATGGACGCTGATTAGAATGATCTTTGCCTAAGCCGGATCTTGAGAAGATCCAGCTAGACTTTCTCACGGACATCAAGGGGGGATTTGAGTAAGTTCGACCTTCTGGGAGCTTGCCAGATACATCCATCCAGGTAGAAATTAAGTTCTGTCTTCATCTCTGTAGGAGCGGAGCGATAGAGATCGAGAGTATCCGCTGTGTCGTCGCATCTCATACGAAAAATATATCTAGACCTCTCATAACTTCTCAACTCACTACTCACAAGTCGAAACCCGCATCATGCGTGAATGTGAATCTGAAATGGTGAATGCGAGTTTTCTCGAGCAGGCTTGGAGACGGAGGGAGCCCGTGGATGAGAATCGACATTACGGATCGTCGTTTCTAAGACTCTGATGTCCGCGAGTTTTCCAAAAGGTCGCCCTGAAACTTACTGAGTCTGGTTTTTATTGGGGAAAAACTCCCATTTGAGATCGCATCGAATGTCGCCGGTCAGCACAGCCGCAAGGGCAGTGGCTGAGGGCCACTGCTGATCCACTGGTCTGCCGAGATTCATAGCCGTGTCCTTGCTGAACGGATGAAAGATTCTCAGCGGCGGAGCTTTCAAATCTCGCGCTTCTTGGTAAGGAAAGGGGGTCGGCAGAGTCAACACAGGACACAGGGTCTAAACAGGGTCTAGGTAATCTTACATCACAACAAAGGCCGGCGGCCTTTTTTTTGAGGGAGAGGGTGAAAACAGCTCAGATTCTACCCGCTGAATCAACGGCGCATGTCTAGGTAACCTTACATCACAACAAAGGCCGGCGGCAGTTTTTTTTGAGGGAGAGGGCGGAAACAGCCAGCATTCTAGCCGCTGAATCGAAGAGTCACTAGAGAGAATCGGAAATCGGATTGATGTCCGAACTTTGATTTCTTCGGCCCATATATGACGAATACGGAATTCTCTATAGCAAATGACGTGGAATCTGTTCAGCTACATGGTGGAGACTATACCAAATCGATCAGGAACGTTTGTGAATTTTCATACCGATTCTCCCAACATACCCCAATATATCGCTATTCACCTGCTCTGCGAGGGGGAAGCTTATATCCGAGTGATGATACCGTCAACTCATATCCTCACTCCCATATTCGAAACCCCTCGTGAAAGCCGACAAGTTCCTTTCGTCCGAATCTCTGATAAGTCTCAGCAACGGCGATGACGCGACTCAAAGGAAGGGTTTATCAAAGACCTATAGGTATAGAATATATAATATATCGTCGACTGCAAATGTCTTCCTCTTCATCTGTATCAACCTGAAAGGCGACCTCGTTCACCCTCTCCGGATCGCATCGATCTATGACTGCGTCTGGGAAGACCCTCAAATGGCCCCTCATTCCGGAATCGATATCTTTGCGTTGTACAGAAAGCATTCTTAATTAAAGTTTTTCATCAACTTCTCACATCATTGCTCAGTGACCGCGCGAAAGCGACCCCGGGCAAGGGTCGATCGAATACCTATAGGTATAGGATATATCGTCGAGATAACATGTCCCACTCCTCGCCCGAGGAGGAGGTGACCTTTTTAACCCTTTTCGGATCGAAGCGCGCGATGACAGCTTCCGATAAGAGGCACTCTCCTCAAGGAGGGGCTTATCAAGCACCGATACGAGATATCTTCGAGATGAAGTTTCTCCCTCCTCGCCCGTATCATCCAAGTCGGTAACTTTGGTCGCCCTTGTCGAAACAGTAGGAGTGTCCAGTGTCCCACCGTATGCCATTTCGTTAGTGTGCAAACTCGAGCGATGCAAAGTCCAAGTGAATCCTTCGTCCGCGTCCCCGGGCGACTCCACGGCCAGGATGTGTGGTGCCACCTAAGGGGAGCGTACGCAGTAGCCGGTGACCAGGGAACTGGGGAGTTCTTCTTCAATATTGTTCGTCAAACACCACGTCAAGTTAGTTTGAACTGCAAGGAGTACGAAGCGATGCAGGTTGATAGTCGCTTCGGTCCTTTCATTGACTACATGCGATCTTACTGGATGGAGACTGTCGGTCCTGCGGGGATTTCTATTTTCAGAGCACCATGTCGAACGAACAACTCAGTGGAGTCTAACAACGCCGTTCTCAAACGCACAATAGGAATTCACGGACCAGTCTGGGAACTCATCGGTAAGTGTCTGAGGACCCGAATGGTGTGCTTTATGGATAATGGAAGATCCCCGACTAATTGTGAGTCTTTCAATTTCAGCATGCTTCACGGAGATGGCGCAGCACGTCTATGTCGACTATAACATCAGTCTCAGAGGAGCGTCGGCGATCCGCTCCGTGCCCAGCAAGGTGACGGTCCTCAATGAGGGAATGGTCAACTCGGCTTGGAGTCGTCTGGAAACAGGACTCATCACCCCTCGGATGCTGATTTCAAGGCTGAAGTACAGATCGGGTGCCGGTGAGTCTTTTCCCGATAATTCAAACGCGGAAGTAGAGGCTTCATTGCTTACTTGACGGATCTGGCAATAATTCACCCTTCTCGTGATCTTCCAGCCGACGTCCGCGAAGGCATGCTGCAAGATGATCCCCCAGCTGAAGGTGAAGCCCTCCGAGAAGAAGAAGAAGAGCCGATCGACGAGGATGATTTGGACAGCTGGTTCGCAGAGCGTATGGTGCTAGCAAATGCCGTCGAAGACGGCCTACCTGGTCCGTCTCATTCCGGGAATCCCGTTATCAATAACGTTGAATGGTTTTAGGTAGTCTCATTGTTCAGTATTCATACTGATAGGTAGGAGTGTCTCTCTGGTCTCTCGTTTATGTTCGCTCACTTGATTGTAGATAAAATCTCGATTCCCCTGCACCAACATGCGTATTACTTATACAGTAGCAGAGCTATAAAAGAGATCAAAAAAATAATCTCAATTAGTCTGGCATTCATCGCCCGAAAATCTCTTCTAAACCAGTGGTTCATGACGGCTCCTGTCAGCTGGACATAATTAGGAGTATTCCTCATCTTGCACTGCGATTATATATGTACTATACAGAAGTATGGGGAGGCACAAGGATTCGATCTACAAGAGAGTGAGCGATCATAATCAATAATCGAGATCTAGAGAAGACTCCTCCAACATTCGGTAATTAGTATTGACGACTGAGATCCTAGCCACGAAACCTCAGCCTCATTGAAGATCGGAGGATCCTCTACGGGATGACACGGACCAAGTTGGTCGACTTCTCGAGAGAACAGGACGCCATGCATAAGTTGGAGGGGGGGGGGCATATCATCTACTTCTTCTCAACATATTTCAATGCAATTTGTTATAGTTCTCCGATCCACCCTTGCCTGGGGTCGCTTTGGCGCGGTTGCTGAGCAATGATGTGAGAAGCTGATCAAAAACTTCAATTAAGAATGCTTTCTGTACAACACGAAGATATCGATTCCGGAATGAGGGGCCACTTGAGGGTTTTCCCAGACGCAGTCATAGATCGATGCAATCCGGAGAGGGTGAACGAGGTCGCCTTTCAGGTTGATACAGATGAAGAGGAAGACATTTGCAGTCGACGATATATTATATATTCTATACCTATAGGTCTTTGATAAACCCTTTCTTTGAGTCGCGTCATCGCCGTTGCTGAGACTTATCAGAGATTCGGACGAAAGGAACTTGTCGGCTTTCACGAGGGGTTTCGAATATGGGAGTGAGGATATGAGTTGACGGTATCATCACTCGGATATAAGCTTCCCCCTCGCAGAGCAGGTGAATAGCGATATATTGGGGTATGTTGGGAGAATCGGTATGAAAATTCACAAACGTTCCTGATCGATTTGGTATAGTCTCCACCATGTAGCTGAACAGATTCCACGTCATTTGCTATAGAGAATTCCGTATTCGTCATATATGGGCCGAAGAAATCAAAGTTCGGAAATCAATCCGATTTCCGATTCTCTCTAGTGACTCTTCGATTCAGCGGCTAGAATGCTGGCTGTTTCCGCCCTCTCCCTCAAAAAAAACTGCCGCCGGCCTTTGTTGTGATGTAAGGTTACCTAGACATGCGCCGTTGATTCAGCGGGTAGAATCTGAGCTGTTTTCACCCTCTCCCTCAAAAAAAATGGCCGCCGGCCTTTGTTGTGATGTAAGATTACCTAGACCCGTCTAAACATGTGATTCTATTCGGGAAGTTCGACGCCGCAAGGAGCTCCCCACCGATTCACCGACATGTTCCTGCGAGATCCGAAGGCCATGTCCTAAACTTACGCTCCCGTGTACATTCTTAGTCGCCCGAGCCGGGAAACTATGTCCTTATAGCTCCTCGAGTATTTTCCGTTGATCGCGCGGAGCTAGATCCAGTTGTCGTTTACTTTTGTGGTAGTCTGCTAGAGCGGCGACTTCTCCCTTTTTGCTTTTGCTTGGCTGCAGAAGGAAAGAGAACAGCTCACTGAGCCCAATCTACACGTGCGGGTCCCTGTGGAAGTCTGTTACCAGCAATCCTAGATCGCTCGGGGTAGCCCAGCTTTTCCAAGATGAAAGCCGATAAAATTGTCATCAGCGAGGGAAGGATCCCGCTCAGTGTTCTAATCACGTTGGAGGCCGTCGCCGCTGACGTCCAGCTGGAAACGGAGTGGATCAAAAATGACGGTAGGTTTCGGCTGCTCGACAGAAATCGCGATAAGAATCAAACGACCCATGTACTGGGCCGTTGCCAGCTACGCGATTTGTGCTCTCCTCTGGAGCACGATTCGAAGGCCTTTGATATCCATGTAGCTCTACATCAGCATTCGCGAATTTCCCCGCGAAAATTCAGTCACTCTGAATCCAAAACTCGTTCGGAGTCGTGAGCGCAAGAACGCTGAAGAGGGTCTGAGATGCTTTTTCCAACATCGTTAGATATCCACCCTGTCCTAGAAGCAATCGGGTATCATCCGATGTAAGTTCCTATCTCACTGTGTCTCATCATATACGAGAGACCTTACCGACTCGACCGGACGCAGGCTCTTGTCGCATAATCCCGGGTGACGGTGAGGCGCGCGAGAGCCGCCTGGATCTTTCAACGATGCTTCTCATTCAGATGACGTCACGTTCCGCGAGAGTTCAGGAGGGAAGCGAGTTCTCAAGGGGGAATTCGCCTTGTGCCGCTATCTAGCCAGAAAAGCCCCGAAACGGCAACTGTACGGCAGGGATGCACTCGAAGAGACGCGCGTCGACTACTGGCTCGACTTCAGCTCCGTGAGTGGAAACCTGAATGAAGCAGTCTTATTTCTGAACCAATAGAGGTTCGTGGAGATCACCTCCGCGCGGATGCTGCGGCTATAAATGGACTTTCTCAAAATTTTAATAATTGATTTATAGATGCCTGGGCACGGCTTGGAGGAAGTTGACAGGAGCTTGGAACGGTCCAATTTCTTGGCGTCCCATTCGCACGCTACTATAGCTGACTTCGTTATGTACGGATATGTGAAGTCCAGAAACGCGAGAGGGATTTCTATCGGCGTCAACACGAAGAGATGGTAAATCCAATGAGAGTGAATAATAATCTAAGACCTGAGCTCCCGAACCTATCGATGCTGAGTAGGGGGAGCGAAACTTCCGTTCTTCGATAACTTTCAGGCTGCAACAGCTGGAGGCAGATGCGTCTCTCCTAAGCGCTGTGCGGAAAGTACAGAAGATCAAAGCGGATTTCACTTTTGGAGATATTGGCGAATCGAACGGGACACCCCCGAGCGCTAACCAGGATCAAGGGAAATTCGTCGATCTGCCCGGTGCCAAAATGGGTGAGGTTGTCGTGAGGTTCCCGCCTGAAGCTTCCGGATACCTCCACATAGGTCATGCGAAAGCCGCTCTGCTGAATCAGTACTACCAGCTTGCCTTCAAAGGTGAGTTGACATCGTCGAGGAAGAGACCTCACGCGAAATCACTGCGAAGGGACTTTCGCTATTTCGGTAACGACAGAATCCTGATTCATCCGATATTCAAGGTAAACTCATTTTGCGATTTGACGACACCAATCCCGACAAGGAGAAAGAAGACTTCGAGCATGTCATTCTGGAGGACGTCGCCCTACTCGGTCTGAAACCCGACCTTTTCACATTCACATCGGATCATTTCCCGGCGATCCAGAAGTACTGCGTCCAGTTGCTGAAACAGGGCGACGCGTACGTCGATGACACAGATCCCGAAACGATGAAAAAAGAACGAGAAATTCGTCAGAACTCCAAGAACAGAGATAACTCTATCGAGCAGAACTTGAAATTGTGGGAGGAAATGCTCAAGGGCACAAGCCATGGCCTCATCTGCTGCGTCAGGGCCAAGATCGACATGAATTCAAACAATGGCTGCATGCGAGACCCTACCATCTACAGATGTAAGGCGGCCGTCCATCCTCGTCAGGGTGACAAATATAAGGCCTATCCAACCTACGACTTCGCGTGCCCCATCGTGGATTCCCTGGAAAATGTCACCCACGCGCTGAGGACGACCGAGTACCACGACCGCGACGAGCAATATTTCTGGGTAAATGTCACCTTTCGAGCTTCCCTTCCGAATCCATCCGGAGACAGTCGAGTAGTGGAACATCGATGGAGGAAAACATCCGACCTCATCTGTTCTCATTTTGTATTCCGATAGGTTCTCGAGAAGCTCGGAATGAGGAAACCGCATATCTACGAGTACTCCCGACTGAACTTGACAAACACGGTGCTGTCGAAAAGGAAACTCACTTATCTGGTCAATGAGGGCTACGTCAATGGCTGGGACGATGCCAGAATGCCCACAGTACGGGGAATCCTGCGTCGCGGTTTGACGGTCGAAGGCCTCAAGGAATTCATCATCGCACAGGGCTCATCGAAATCGGTTGTCACGATGGAATGGGATAAATTATGGGCTTTCAACAAGAAACGGATCGAAACCAGTGCGAAACGCTTCTTCGCCGTCAACGCGAACAACGCGTTCGAAGTTGAGGTGCGCGGTCTCAAGAGATCGACAACCAACGCTCCATGGCATCCCAAAGATTCTTTCATGGGATCCCGCAAGGTCGCTGTGGATTCCTTGCTGATCATAGACCACGCGGACGGACTGCGAATGAAACCCGGAGATACTGTCACTTTCATGAACATTGGAAACGTAAAAATAGAGCGGAGGTCCATTGCGGAAAGGAAGGTGAGTGAGATATATTGTCGAGAAACTATTCGTGAACATTCTCCCTCGTGAAGCTTTCGTGAGGATTTTCGTCTTGAGAAATCGATTCTGCCTCGCCAGATCGCAGCGACGGCCGACTTGGAGAATAGAGACTACAAAAAGACGTTGAAAGTCAGTTGGATTGCTAAGAACGCTCCGCAAGTCCCGTTCACCGCGAATTTCGTCGACAATGTCATCTCAAAAAAAGTCTTGGCACCCGACGACGACTTCAAGAATTTCATACGCAAGGTACGTCCTTACACACTGATCGAGGTGATACACATTCCGTAGCCCGCTTCCGTATAACAACTCGAGCAATTCTCGCCGACTCCCTCCAGGTTTCGTTCGTGGACGTTCAAATGATAGGGGAATCGAGTTTGGCTGGCGTGAAGAAAGGGGATATCATTCAAATCCAACGCAAAGGTTTCTTCATCTGCGAATCGGAGCCAGACACCCGGCTCTCGGGCAATACAGCGACTCCACCGACGATGAGCTTCAATTACATACCCGACGGGAGTACCAATCTCACTTCGCTCCCGTTCGCTGCGCGAGAGCTCTTCGAGGGTAAGCTCGAAACGCTCACGGATTCGAAGTCTGTTCTCGAAAGTCTATCGAACAACGAGGGACTCATCAATCATTGGGAAGTCATCAAGGAGGAGGCAGATCGGATTGCCAAACTACGCACTCAGAAATGTGCCTCCAGCGATCTCAAGGCTCTAGAGGACAATCTCGAGCAATTGAAGACCGAGTACAGCACCTGCTACGAAAAGGATTGGTCTCCGATCAATCCCATACACGATAGTGGGAAGAGCGCCCCGACAGGGGGACCGGCAAAAGTGGATGCGAATCTTCTGTGGGGGAAAATCCAGTCCCAGGGGGACAAGATCCGGAAATTGAAGGCTGCGAAGACCCCAAAAGAAGACATCGATGCAGAAGTTCAAGTCCTACTGCGTTTGAAGGAGGCTTACAAGAAGCACGCAGGAGCCGATTGGGATCCCAAGAAAGCTCCAGAATCGGTAACTGCAGCAACCGCTTCGGAGAGCAACGCGCCGGACGGTCTGTGGGAGAAGGTTCAAATCCAGGGCGACACGGTGAGTTAGACCCAGACGCGTATCATGAGGGGTAGGGATCGAGTACAGAGCGCGTCGTCGCCACCCCCCTCCCCTACCCAGAGTGTGCCCCTTACCCCTTCCTGGAAGATGTTCCGCCTTAGCCGCTGGATAGAGCCCCGAGATTCATGACGTCAGAGAGCGGTAGAGAGAGCACGAGTTTTTCCCACCTTATGAAGTCGATTTTTCTGCACAGGTCAGGAAACTGAAAGCCGGTAAGGCTCCGAAAGATGAAGTGACCGCGGCCGTCCAAGTCCTGCTGTCGTTGAAAAACGAGTACAAGAAAGTCACGGGACAGGATTGGGATCCCAATTCCAGACCGGCATCGAAAGCGGGTCCTCCATCGGCTGTCGTTGGGACAACGGATCCGGTAGCTGCCTGGGAGAGAGTTCAGGCTCAGGGGGACAAGGTTAGGACACGATATCGTCTCTCGAGGGCTGCACCGTGGTCAGCGGGAGACGTCAGAGTCGATTCCACGCTGAGGATTCGGGAGGAGCCGTATCAGAGGCGAGCACGACTGACCTGGATGCGAATGAACTTCTGTTTTTTAGGTCAGGAAATTGAAATCTGATAAAGCACCCAAGGACGAAGTCGCCGCTGCAGTTCAAGTCCTTTTGTCGCTGAAGAATGATTACAAGCAAACTACGGGGCGAGACTGGGAGGCCCAATCGAAACCTTCAGCGGATCTATCCGCTCCCGCTCCCAAGGCTGCCGCAGGGAAAACCGATCCGATAGCTACATGGGAGAAGGTTCAGGCGCAGGGAGACAAGGTAGATATCGAGATCCTTCCCTGATTCTGATGCAGATCGCCTCGGAAACGTCTGCTCCTCATAACAGTCTCTCAGACGCGAGAATTAATGCGTATGCCGGAATGACTTTTCTCGAGAGCCGTGATGTTCTTCCGTAGGTCAGGAAGTTGAAGGCTGACAAAGCTCCAAAGGAGGAAGTCATGGCGGCCGTTCAGGTTCTGCAGTCGCTAAAGAGCGAGTACAAGCAGGTTGCGGGTCACGATTACGACCCGAATGCGAAACCCTCACCGAGCGCCGCGAACCCCGCCGCCGCATCTCTCGCCGTCGCATCCTTGGAGCAGTCCGGCCACGCCGCATTATGGGAGGAGGTTCAGACGCAAGGCGATAAGGTGAACGAATTATGATCAGGCATGGGTCCTCCGATGTCATTTTTTGTACCGATTTTCTGAATTTGAAACCTTTCGCTCAAGGTGAGGAAGCTGAAAGCCGAAAAAGCGCCGAAGGATCATGTAACCTCAGCCGTCCAAGTTCTCCTGTCCCTGAAAGCGAAGTACAAAGAAGCCAGCGGTCAGGATTGGGACCCCAAGGCTAAGCCGACGCAGGGTAGGTGACCGACTGATTGGCATAGTAGACATCCAATAAATCTTTGTCCTCGGTACCTGGTTTTTCCTCGATTGCGTTTTGTGATTCTCCGCTGCGGCCTAATCCGCATCCACTTTCATGATAAACTCTCTCAGTCGGTCTCCGGATCAATGGTCCAAGCTATCTTCTAACTTGAGAAGCGAGGTTTCCCCTGGACGATATTTCCTAGCTGACTGAGCTCATGGGCATATCCAGTAGAGGACCTCGCTAGATCATCTCATCGAGCCGTTTATCGATCGGGCTCGCCCTGTGTGACGACTGTATCCCGGTAGCGCCAGCTCACAGCACGTGGAGGAAAACCCTTTCCCGTTCAGTTTACGTGTCCGCCGCGGTCGATACAGGGGGCTGGCGCCATTCCGAGGAGGCAACGATCGGGACACGGATGCTCTTCTATAGTTGTCTCGGACTGATCATCGTCGCTCCGAGTCTCCCGGAAATCAGCCGGTAATGACAATTCCGAGTTGAATCTTCTGGTCCCGTACTATTCGGTCCCCTGGCCGAACTTGAAGCAGACGACACTCGGCGATTCGGGACATCGGTGCTCAAACAGCTGTGAAAGGAATTGGGATATCTACAATAGAGTGCCTGAGTGAATCAACTGCTTGCTCAACGACCGGTGGACAGATCGATTCCGAGACTGGGCATCTGATGGCTCGGACCTAATGAGGAGAAGGAAAACATCCAGCTCAAGCGATCCTCTAGAAAGACGACCAACACGTGGGCCGGTGCTCCCTTCAGTGGGTCTAACAGGATTGTGACTGATGGTGTAATTCGATTCTTGCAGGAAGTCATCCAAAACAGACGAAAACTTCTGACAGTGCTGCAACTTCGGCGCCCGTACCTCCACAGTCGCTACAGGTGGGTCCAAGGCTACTCGCGGTCATGCTGCTGTGGAGCTTTCCTTTTATGACGCTCAACCTGGACATGCGTCCAAAGTTTGAGATTGCTTCAAACTCCGGACAGCCAGATGCTGGGAACTCCAGACAGCCAGAAGCTGGAAACTTCAGCCCACCCCCCCCCCCCCCTCCCAGCCCCTGGAAATAATTATAGAATCTAGAGACTTCATCAAATGCATTCAATTCTCGGTGCCGCTGCAGGGTCGGCAATCACTCGCAATGGACGGAGACAGCATCGATGCTCAAATCAGGAGTGTCGGAGACAAGATCCGTGCCATGAAACTCAACAAGGCTCCGAAGGCCGATGTGGAGAGTGAAGTTCATACTCTGAAGGAACTGAAAACGAAGTACAAAGAGACCACTGGCACGGATTGGGTTCCCGCAGGCGGCGCCGCCCCCAGATCTCAAACCAAGTCGGCGCCGAAGGCGAAGAAAGCCCCAGCTCCCGCGCCGACTGAAGATGGCAAGAAGCAAACCAGACTGTGTTTGGAAGCAAAAAAAGAAGAGAACCTGCCTGATTGGTATTCACAGGTACGCATTCCGTATGGCAGTGTCTTGCACACCCTTCCCCGTTTTCGCATAAGATTCTCGGGCATGAGACCTCCAACTGAGTTCAGTTCATCAATCGTTTCCCATTCTGTAGGTGATCACCAAATCCGAGATGATAGAGTATTACGACGTGTCTGGATGTTACATATTGAGACCGTGGGCCTTCGGAATCTGGGATAGAATCCACGCATTCTTCGACGAGAAAATCAAGAGTCTGGGTGTCGAAAACTGCTATTTCCCCATGTTCGTCTCGAACCAGGCCCTTGAACGAGAAAAAGCGCACATCGCTGACTTCGCCCCGGAGGTTGCCTGGGTCACGAAGTCCGGCTCGACAGATCTCGCCGAACCCATCGCTATCAGACCTACTTCGGAAACCGTCATGTATCCTGCGTATGCGAAGTGGATCAAATCCCACCGAGATCTTCCTCTGAAATTGAATCAGTGGTGCAATGTCGTCCGCTGGGAGTTCAAGCATCCGCAACCGTTTTTGCGAACTCGTGAGTTCTTGTGGCAGGAAGGCCATTCGGCGTTCGATAACCCCGAAGACGCCATCGAAGAAGTTCACCAGATTCTAGAGTTCTACGCTGATGTATACGAGAAACTATTGGCGGTTCCCGTGATCCGCGGCAAGAAAACCGAGAAAGAGAAGTTTGCTGGAGGACATTTCACGACGACTATCGAAGCCTACATTCCGGCTAGCGGTCGCGGGATCCAAGCCGCGACTTCTCATCACCTCGGTCAGAATTTTTCCAAGATGTTCGAAATCGTATACGAAGATCCCAAAACAAACAAGAAGGAGTACGCCTATCAGAATTCGTGGGGACTCACAACCCGCTCGATTGGTGTGATGGTCATGGTTCACGGGGACAACCAGGGTCTCGTAGTGCCTCCTCAGGTCGCTCACTATCAAGTAGTAATAATACCGTGCGGACTCACCGTCAATCTCAAAGAGGAAGACAAACAGGCCGTTCTTGACAGATGTAAGGAGCTATGTAAGACGTTCAGAGAGCTCAAACTGCGGGTCCACATCGACAGCCGGGACAATTATTCTCCCGGATGGAAGTTCAATCATTGGGAACTGAAAGGAGTACCGGTGAGGGTTGAAGTCGGTCCAAAGGACGTGACCAGCAATCAATTCGTCGCTGTCCGCCGGGACCTGATGAGCAAGGCAACCTTCAATTCCGCTGATCAGGTCGTTGCGCTTCTGGACACCATTCAGAACGATATGTTCGAGAGGGCGAGCAAGCAAATGAGCGAAAATGTGAAAATTGTCGAGAATTTCGCGGATTTCCTTAAATTCCTAGAAGCTAAGTGTATGTTGATGGCGCCATTCTGTGGCGATACCGAATGCGAAGACGAGATAAAGAAGAACTCCACGAGGGAAGAAGCCGAACCTGGTTCGCCGGCCATGGGAGCGAAAAGCCTGTGCATTCCCTTCAAGCAGCCCAAGACCATAAGCGACACGTCGAGGTGCATCAATACCGCCTGCAGTCGGAAACCGCAGTTCTATACTCTGTTTGGCAGAAGTTATTGATGGCTTATCATCACTATGAAATAAAATAAAAATTGATGAATTTGAGTTTATTCCTGGATCTCTTTTGAAAGCCTGTTTCACGGGGCTTGCTCATATGGAAACTCGAATGCACTGGAATTGTGGTCGCCTCGCATGGGGGGCAGCTCAAGCCTGGCGCGGGGCCCATCCTCCGCCGCAGAATCGGTCAATCCGTCGGGAGAAAACTCCTCATTCCATACTCTCGGATCAGAGTGAAATCGAAGCGGAAACTTTCCAATCGAAGTAATTTGCCGAAGGCGTACGTAGATAATGTATATAATAAAAAATATGAAGATAACCTCGTATACGATATGGATTCGCTCAGATATGTCATGTTCATATTGCGCTTTTCCGGGAACGACTATCCGCCATCCAGCAACTGCGACATTATGCGCTTTCGAAGAAATTCGGTCCGATTGAACCGTTATGAGTCTGGCTCCAGTTCGGGGAAGAGAGTCAAGCCTCGGAGGATATCTGCAATTCTCTTCAGCGCCCGGATTCGAGCTCGGAGGCTGATTCACGGAGAAGAGCTGAGAAAACTGTAGATGGCAGCGAGGAACAGACCGAAGCAAGTTCCGTACAAGAATGGTAGTATCGACGTGAAAGCAAGGTAGCTCTTGCGACGCTTCAAAATCCATTTGAAGAAGTCGATATTCCCTATCTTATAAGGAGGATACCTCCGTCTCCCGACAGCTTCCCCGATCCAAGAGAAGTCCCGCTGTAGAACGGCTTTCTTGTTTGAGAAACAGTCGAAGGAATGCTTTCCGTGGTATCGACCAATTCCCGACGACCCGACGCCCCCGAACGGGAGACCCTCGACCGACAGATGCACCATTACGTCGTTCACGCACGCGGATCCTGAGGAGGTCTCGTTGAGGAAGCGGGAGACGATGCTCTCATGAGCGGCGAAAACGTATGCCGCGAGAGGTTTGTCTCTCGCATTGATGAATGAGATAGCTTCGTCGAGGTTTTTCACTCGCAGTACGGGAAGGATAGGTCCGAATAATTCTTCTTGCATAACGGGATCGGTTGCGCGCACATTTTGAACGACTGTGGGAGCTAGGTAACGTTGTTCGATGTCCGCGTCCCCACCGAGAACAATATCAGCGTCTTTCAGAAGATCAACAAGTCGCTTGGTATGACGTTGAGTGACGATTCTCGCGAAGTCCGGACTCTCTCGAGGATTTTCGCCGAAAAATTCACGAATGATCTTGTGCGTGCTCGAAATGAATTTATCGTGAACGCTTTCGTGACACATGACATAGTCGGGAGCGACGCAAGTTTGTCCGGCGTTCACGAACTTTCCCCAAAGGATGCGTCTGACAGTCATTTCAAGATCAACATCGGAATGTACGTACACGGGACTCTTGCCCCCGAGTTCAAGAGTCACCGGTGTCAGGTATTTCTGAGCAGCCGCGTAAATTATCTTCCCAACCGAAACCGAGCCGGTGTAGAAAATAAAATCGAACTTCTCCTTGAGGATCTCCGTTGCTTCTTCCACCCCGCCGTTGATCAACAGGAATGCTTCCTTGTCCAGGTACTCCGTTAGTTTAGACATGACCTTTGACGTGTTCGGGCTAAGCTCAGCTGTTTTGATAACGGCACAGTTTCCAGCTGTGATGGCCCCTACCAGCGGACTTATCACCAACTGAACGGGATAGTTCCAAGCTCCGATTATGAGAGCCACCCCGTAAGGCTCGCTGTGCACGAAGCTCCGGTCCAGGACGGTCATTAAGGTTTTCGGGACGGATTCGGCTTTCATCCAGCCCTCGAGCTCGATATCGGCGCCCCGAATATCGTTGAGAACGAACTCGACCTCGTAGAGGACGCTTTCCATACGACTCTTGCCGATGTCTTTCTCCGCGGCGTTGACCAGATCCTCGTAGTGATCTTCGATGAATTGCTGAAGTTTCCGGATCTGATCTTTCCGCCAAGCGAGGCTTTTCGTTTTGCCTGAAACCATAATTTCGATTTTTATGATGCGGCTGAGGAACCACCGCGTCAGTTCAGGGTGAGAGTCGCTAAGTTCGTGGGAAGCGTCCGAACCTCGGAAATTTTGAGGTCTTAGCGGCCTGAGGTGTCCACCATTCGCCCAGAAGTGAATCTGATCCCTCTCCATCTGATCACGGTGCCCTCATACAAATCCGGAACGTCCCTACTCAAGACACATCCCATAAGGGCTTTTTGGGCTGCTGGAACCTTTGTCGGTACTGTCTCGCCGCAATAACGAGCCGGAGGCTAGCGTCAATCCAATGGAATGCGCAGGGCGGCTCCAATTCGAGCCACGGTATCCATTGAGACCTATGAATGAGAACCGCTCGCAGCAGCGTTTTCCCAGCTGGAGATTCGATCATCTGACCACATGTGGGTTTACAGATGCCACAGTTGTGCTTGGGGAATTTTAGAGAGAAAAGTGTTCACCAAGTGTTCAACTTCGGAAGATGAGCTCGACTCTCGATGAGAAGATTGCCATGACGAACGTTCCATCCGAGACTGAGAGCTGTTTAGGCGCAGCCGGATATCTTGAGCTCCCCGACCGGGTACTGGGGAAAGCGCGAAGGGGGAAAACATAGATGCTGTCCCAGGGCGCGATTCCGGAACAGCAAAAGTCGACCTTTAGGTAGAAGCTCGTCCGAGTAAGTACGCGAAGGGGAACAGTTGCTCAACTGAGCTCGGTGTTTTCGTCGACCGTACACGTGCTCATCGTGAGCTGGAAAAGAACGTACGGCGCGACGGCTTTCGAAGACCACGAAGCGGAGCAAGCTCGGTGTCAATGTTTCAGTTTCCTCTGTTCCGCGGCAGATGAGCGTGCAACTCTATGAATAGGAAATAAAAACTGCGTTCTCGACCAATTCATTCGGAATCTGTCTAAAAATGAACGCGATCTACGCTGGTCACGATATTCTGACAGAAATACCCATGGCACGATACGTCGAACCCATTGACGAAATCGAGGGTGTTCCGCTCGGAAACTTGTTCGCCTAAGTCTTGGTACAGATCGAGCTAGACAATCTCTTTCTGGGATTCTTCGAATCCATACTTCCTCTTCCGAGCGATAATTGAGCTGGAAACAAATAGAGGCGGACCTGCAGCTCCTCTGATTGCACGACGAACTAGATCGGCGAGCTTCTGCGAACGTCGATGGGGCTTACCGGAAGCGAAAGTTTTGCGAAGCACCTCAACATCTTCAGTATATCTGGTTTGGACTTTTTCGTGCTCTTGCAGCAGGTGGAAGGGCTTCACTCGTTCTACGGTGGCCATTGTCGCTGCAGAAGTGCAGACTGATCAGATTGCGATTGATCGTGGCCAAATGAATCTTTGATTCGGTCAAATGAGAACGTCAGTGGGGCGACGGTCGTTGAATCCGCCCGTGATGTTGCGGGATGGCAGAGACAGTCTCAGCAACAGATGACGGCACCAGATCCACCCGACACCGATCGCGGTGGCAGGCGATCGCCGACCGTGCGACGCGACTGTGGAGAGGGCCGTGGAATGAAATGCCGCTAGCGAGCGCCCTCTCGCGTTTCTTCCCTTGATAGCTCACGCATTTTCCAGTCAAGTCACTGCCTGCTCGATTCCCATCTACACCGTCCTGTCTAAAAGGATTGGAGAATCAGTATATCGATACAGTCGGTATGTTGAGCGTAGTGAATGCGAGAGTTTGCGCTAACGGGATGATGTAGACTCGAGGATACAGTCGGAGGGAAAGCGATATGTTCCAGTCATTTCCCAATCTTTATTCGGTAGCAACAATACGAGCCTTAACCTGAATAGATTAACTCTCGAATGGAGTCAAACCAACTGGTCTCCGAGCTCGGTGTGGAGAACCACTACTGAGCGACTGAGCGATAGCCCGACTACAGCATCGAGACCTCGATCCAGCGGAGCGGTGACTTCCGCTCCGAGTCATTACGTCATCGATCCACTTCGAGACTCCGAAGCCGGGCTCTGACAAGAAAAGATTTTCCCCTTCACTCGTCGCATCGTTGAAAGAGATGTCTTCGTTTTATTGTGTTTCTCTCGTTCCGCGCTCCTTTCACATATACAAAGTTATATCATCATCATCAGGAAATATAAATTCTTTCAAACGCCATTCCTGCAAAGGATCTGATGGCGTTCAATCGATATACGGGATCTCACGAGAAAAGCACGCCGCCGCTGAGCTGGTCTGTTTGGACTGATCCATCATAACTACAAGGGTGTCTGCGAATTCATGTTCAAACCTTGATTTCTTCACGCCGAGATCAATCCGCGGCATTCCATCGGACCGACACCAAAAATATCATGGGGAAACACTCTTACGAGAGTAACCCGGAACCCGCAACATAGGCGACGATATAAGTGAGACGGGAAGCCACTCGGCTTCCATGACTGGCAGTCGCTTAATTAATAAGGAGAACACCTCGTACAATCAGTCCGTGGATATTCCCGATCTATTGAGTCAAGGTCCCGCATCCAAGTCACGAGGATCAGAGCTCCTTCAGACCCGGAAAGAATAGAAGATACCGTTCATCACTCTCCCGCGATCGCGTGAGAGACTCGTGAAATTGTCCGGGGATCTCTCATCTCTTTCCTTATATTGGGAGCTCTCCCTCTTCGTTCGACAGCAGAGTCGACAATCCGATAATGATTCAAATTCCATTACGTATCGCTCTCCATGAACGGTTGGGGGCGGTTCCCGCGAAATATCTCAAATATTCTCAGTTCTCAGACAAAGTCACACAAATTGAAATAAGGCTAAAATTAGAACACAGCGATCCGAAGTCCTCCAGGGATGCTTCCAGCCGCGATTGCGGTCCTGAATGCGGAACCAGGTGATCACAACTTAAGTACTCGGGCCGATATTGATAGGCATAGCTCTCGCTTGCTTCTCGATTCCCCGCGAGTTTGTACAGGGAACTCCCCCCCCCCCCACCGGATGGAGAGTTCCCCGTCAGCCCGTCAGGTTCGGTCAGAGATGTGAGACAACGGCGGATGACGATCCTTTCTGTCGAGATCCCGTACGGTCTGCGTCGGGTTGTACTTTCTTTTTTACAAATATTCCAGAAATACAGAACCATTACACGAGGAAAAGCAGCAGCAGTCGTTGTGGTAGCGCACCGTTCGAGATAAATCTAAATTAGACTCTAACGTTCGCATCTGCGGATACTGACTCGCAGCTGAGATATTCGATTATGTAAACGTCGACTTTCTACAAGACGAATACATCCACCAACTCGCGATTATCCACTTTGAGGAAGGAACGTTTCGAGTCGTCACAACATTTCACGGCATCAAAACTCGAGTCAGGATCGACTCCCGTTCGTAGGAACGAAAAAGATGAAGCCCGGAGGAGACATCTCCATCTCAAAAAAGCTCCATCGCACATGGTAAACTGTTATTTACTCGCCAATCCCACACCGACACGACAGAGGAGTCACAAATGAGAAGGATGGAACAGCTATGACGAAATCTAGAGCTCGACATCTCGGATAAATATAGAGCACCAACAGTCACGAGATAAGGACGATGATCGGAGTCGAAACTTAGGAACTGTGGTCAGGCGTCGGGAGTAGTGTGCATTGCATTCAACTGCGTCTAGACGAAGTACGCTTACTCTACGATTATCACTTGTTAGGATCTGCCGTTTTCCATTACTCTCCCTAAATAATTCATCCGCTCAATCAGAGAAGACTCCTACTTTTCGGACACCCTATTATGAATGGACTCGAACCCACAAAATTCGAGGATGCTCACTCTGCCCCATCCATTCACAGCTTCCGCATACATTTTCTCTCGCTCCAACGACTACTCGTCATCGCGTAAGTTATGCCGATACATCGTGGGCATGGCAAATATTGTTTCCGATGATTACGTGGAGTAACGGTGTACGTAGACGTAGACATGTGCGCAGAAACACGCGCCTAGAGAGAGAAGCGACAAGAACTCTACGGTACGACGTGGGAAATGATTAATCGAGGCCTTGCTCGAGGAAGCACAACAATCTGATCTGGAGCATTGAACCAGGCGCTATCTGGACGCGAGGACGACACAGATGAACGACATCGAATATGAAAAGATGTATATGTATAGATACATGTCTGTATATATCTATGTCAGGATGTATATTGTTTTTATGTATGTGTATAGATTGTTGTATTGAGAGTTTCTAAACGTAGACCGTCAGGGTGAGAAAAAGTTGCTGAAGAGTCCGAATGAGTAGCAGTAGTTTTCGATTCACAAGTTTCGAGTTGTCTCACTAACAAGGTGCTGGATGGCGCGGTGTGAACGGCGAGCGATAGGACGGATGGATTAATTTTAAGATGATTCCATTCAGATTTTTTTCTTGGAGAATCAAATCACCGCAATCGCCCTGTTAGCATATTTCACGACACCGCGAGGCTGAGCTGGCCCAAGGATTTCAAGCTTAGCGCCCGCTCGTCCGCTAGTCGGACTGCCGGCTCGTTTGTCTCGGAGAGTCTAGGATTGTACATCAATGCAGAGTAGGAACAGCACAAAGTCGTTTTGGGCTATACGAACAGCTCATCGGAAAGCTTCGACTTACCTACGGATCTCTAAAATATAATCTACCACAAAGTCTGCTCTGTGAACTGGTCAATCTGATTATCTGATCAATCCTACGACAGCAGAATATAAAATGCAGGATTGAAGAGAAGCTCGCTCAGTCGCTGCTAAAAATTCGACTCACAAAGGCGAGACATTTGACATGTGACCGATACTGCCAGTGCTGCCATGAAGGAATCGGCGCCGGCGAGTAGTTCGCGCTTAGTTTCGGAGCGTAGAAGTGTCCTAGTGATGGACAGATTGACCATTCATCTGGAGGGCGCCGCGACTCCTCCTTCCTTATCGCAGGTCGTAGGGTATCTCAAACATCTATTGTAGCAATGTCTTCCGCAGCTTTAGGTGTACGATCATCGGGGACAGTGAGCGAAAGCGAATCGTCTTCATCGACGCCGAAAAATCTGATTAAAGTTGTGCGAGTACGGCTTCTCCATCAATCTTCAACTTCGAGGCAGGGAAAGATATTCAGGAAGAGCCGTTCGGTTGCCATCGATCATCACTCGACGGTCTCGTATATGTACAAGCTGGACACTCGAAAACTTAATCCCACTGGTGAGGTGACGGAGGAAGCTCAGACGGGTGTGCCACAGTAGAACTGCAAAACATAAAATCGAGAAATTTCGAGATGCTCCTAAAAACCAAGTCCCCCGGTCTAGGGGAAGGGGATCGAGACTATGCTCACCTTGCGAACGATTTGAATGCCGTTGATTGCGGATTTATACACAGCGGTACTCTCCCTGTCGTCAGACAACGTTCGGAGACGTATTTATGGAGTTTTTCTGCGCCAGAAAACATGAATTAGTCCCAATACGTTATCATCCGGCTTGCCTAAAGGATCGTGGTTCTAGGCTCCATAAAATGAGAAGATTCGATAAGCATAAAACGAGCCGAGAATCTAGCGAGGCGGGAACCGCGCGCGAACCTTGACAAGTGTCTCTCACAAAGCACCGAAATGCCTACCTTTGACCTGCATGACCGTTTTGAGTGAATTCTCAACCGAATCGTCGAAAACCGCCAACGCGCTGGGTTCGAACTCCATGGCGTACTGTCTCAGACCCTGCGGTGTCGTCGTACAGCATCGGCACATGCACGAATGGTATCTTAAGCGACCCTCATCCAGGTAAGGATGGTTCAGTGCCTCTGTACAGGTTATTCTCCTTTCGGGGTTGAGCATGAGCATCTGCGTCAATAGATGCACCGCTTCAGGAGTCGCATACGAGCCGAGGGTGTACAGACGTTCTAAAGAGGGCTGTTTCTGCGGCCGTCTCAGCATGTGTGCTCGAGCTCCTTCGCAAGCGTGTTTCAAATCCTCAGCGCATGTGGGCGTTCCGAGAAGATCGGTTATCAACTCCAGCTGCTGGATGGGCGTCTGTGCTTGGAAGAGGATTCGTCGACCCAGGAGTTCGGCGAAGATGCAACCTACAGACCACATGTCCACGGCCTCATCGTAGTGCTTGGCCCCCATCAGCAGTTCGGGGGCTCGGTAGTATTGCGTAACCACCTGAAAGCAAGTGCTTGGTCTGAGATGTCGATCTCGAGTCACGAGAACCCCATCATGGAGTTCAAGGAATCACACACAGAGGGAGCATGTGTGATCGAGAACTGCAAGCGTATTTTTCCGATTTCGCGTAGAACCAACACGTTGTCTCAAGGGAGAAGCAAAGCTCAGACACCACGACTGAGTAGATTTTCAGCGAGTACTAAAGAGACGCATCTCAGAAACTCGAGCCGAGGATGGCTCAATATTTGAAGATTTCGGAAGCTTACCTCCTGCGTCATCGCACGCCTGCTGTCCGGCTCTATACAGCGGGCTAGACCGAAGTCGCAGATCTTCAAAACGCAGTTCGAGTTCACCAAGAGGTTCCCAGGTTTTATATCTCGATGGAGAATTCCGCTACTGTGCAAATATTTGAGGCCCCGCAGAATCTGATAGAGGAACACCTTGACGTGATCTGTCGTCAGAAGTTGGCCCGAAACTATTATTTTGTGCAGGTCGCTCTGCATCAATTCCGTCGTCACATATCTGTGAAGAGAATTTTCCGGTGAAATTAGCGAGAAGACCATACTCGAGACTTCTTGGATGATCTCGGAGTTGCGGTCAGCACTCTTCCATCCTGTTCCCGAAGCGGCGGATTGTCGCGATACATCTGACAGCGATGGCCGACTTACATTTCTTGGAAGAAATCGATGTGCGGGGGTTGCAGGATATCAAGCGCGGAAAGGACATTGTCGTGTTTGAATGAGCAAAGCATGCGAATCTCCCGGAATACTCGACGACACGAGACGTAATTCTGGAATACATTGGGCATCTTCTTGAGGGCCACCCGTTTCCCATCGCGGGGGTCTGTCACCGACCTGAAAAGAGTGTGCTCGGTTTTATCTCCAGGCTGGAAATATTTTTCCGCGACCCTCATCTGCAGTCCGATTGCGACGCCTCAAACGTTAGAAGATAAATAATTATAGGAATGATCCGCTCCACATCCCACCTGACCTCAGCAAACCACGGGAGCGCGGAGAGACTCCTTTTCTCTAGAAGTCAACAGGCGGAGGTGAAACCTCCCGATTGCTTCGGAAGTCTCCGGAAACGACGAACAGACAAAAAGCATCGGAACGGCGCGGTCAGCCGACGAATAAATCACCGAGATAATCGAGTGACTTCTTCGAGGCTCGAAAGTCGTTTGCAGTCGACCGACCGTCGCATCGAATCGAGTCCCGTTGTGAGAGCCGAATAAAAAGCAACGGATTGACAGCGACGATGAGAACAAATCGTCTTCCAAGAAAATATTCCACATCTCGATCACAGACACCACAGCCTAATCGGCCGAAGGCCATCACCGGTGAGGCCAGAAAAGCTTTCACGAGACCCTGGCCGAGGTCAAATGGCCACAGCACGCCTAGAGCGGCCTGATATAGTGTGGTATGTTAGACCCGGCAACGTGCCCAGGTTAGCCTCGATGTTTCGAAATGGTCATCGACACCCTATTTCGGCCCTGCCGTTCTACCTCAGCGGGAAGCTTCGTCTCAAGGTCGGACGTTGCCCCCGTAGCCCGTCCGCGGGCGTCAGAGTGGTGGACACCACTTGAGATCTCCTCGAGAGGTTCTGGGGAAAAACTACGCTGGGTTTAGGGCTGAAGGCGACAGAAAAAGTCGTTCATTATCGACGCCACCGCAGTCATGACAGCCGTCTACGTGATCGCGGAGCGCGAGTTCGTGCTTGAATGAGGGTTTCAGTCACTCAGTTCGTCTGTCATCTCGTCTTAGAGTTAGCGAGGCTTACTGAGAGTCGACACGGCAGACTTTGACGTCGAAATGCTGACCTCGGAAAGCCGCGAGCTGAGGTAATTTTCCCAGCGGCGAAGCCAACGTTCAGGTGTTAAGGAGGACGACACATCACCACGGCCTCACGGTCACGTATACGAGTTCTCGTGAGAGATGAACCTTTGACGTCGGCGGCTCGCATCTCTCGCGAGGACTGCGGAGAATGTCCTGTACGTAGAGTCTTCTATTCATTTGTATTATGAGCTCTTTCTGACCGACTGATTATCGGTTTCGTTTTATTATCGTCGTTCTCATTGATCCCGATCTCGGGAGTAGAGAAGATTCGAATGACGACGATTAAACGCATCGGAATCGGTTCCCGCAACTGTTTCGTTCATATTCGCGAGCGGAATATCCACGGAGAGGACGAATAATCCGACCGGATAAGCCGCGCGGTGAACACATCATTCTGCGTGGAGACTCGTGCCTCAGGTAAGGATAGTTTGGGACTTTCTGCCCTCTATTTTCTGGATACCTCATTGTACGATGGCAACCAAGGAGAGATTTCGAGTCTCTAACGGCCGCGTGCCCTACCTCACAAATTGCGATTTGTGCGAAAAATAGCGTACTCCGAGAAAATTATTTGTATAGGTCGAATCGAGGCCGGAAATCATTCACTGCACCGCGGCACGCTGCTTCACCCGGAGGTAAAGTCCGGAATTCTGCTGCTCGGATAAGTCTCTCCTCGGGCCTGTGTGTTCTCCTGAAGTTCGTTCGACCGCTCAATACGTACGTGCTGCGAGCACTGGCGTGCAGCGAGCCGGCGAAGCTGACAGCCGCCCGGCACAGAACTCGAGCTCTGCTGCCCCCTCACCTGCTTCTCGTCTCGAGCCGAGATTCGGATAGTGATCGGTACCAGAAATTTCAACATCTCTGAGCAGGTCGTGCTCTTAATTGCCGTTCCACGATTCTTCATCGATCGGAACCTCCTCAGCCTAGGAAGATTGGCGTTCCGATTTAATTTCAGGCTCGAGAAAGCCACCCCTCGGAGAATGCCGCCCAGGGTAGCGCGTACCGAGACCCGGCCCCAAGTCCGCACGCTCCTAGTTGCAAGCTTGCCAGATCATATTGCCGATTGAAAACTGGCGGAACAGTAGAAAAGAAGAGCGTCGATGACGACCAACATCGAGTTGGATCGAGGTGAGCGGTGAATGGGGTCGCGATTCCGAAGGCTCGAACACTCGCCAGCAAACCTTGAAGCTTCCCCCTAACCTGTGCCGGGGTCGACTCGCTGCTGGGATTGGACGATCCCAAACGAGTGAGCAGGCTCGCCTCGCACTACAATCCGCGCTGAGAAAGCATAGTGTGCTCATGCAGTCTCACCCAGCCCGCAGAGACCCAGCCAGCACTAACAACCCAACTCAGGAGCAGCTCGGCATATGGCTTCATCTCCGTGCTTGCTGGGTACGATGAAAAGACGAGGAAGCAGTCTCGAGAGAATGATTCACATTCCTATGATGAGTGGAATCGCCGAATGAATGGAGGCTAGAGATACTACAAGAACAGGGCGATCAACAACCCTGGAACTTAATCCGAAGCTTCAAAGCTCCCGAGACTTCATGGGTATCGCACGAAAGATTCCGCTTAATTGAACGAGGCGGCGGATTTCTCTAGAATCGAATCGGAATTAAGTTTGACGACCTAGGACCTGCTGACTTCTACCCTGCGAGAACATCGAGCAAAGATTCGGGCATAATTATTCATCACATATCCTCCGGAAGAAGATCGGATGGCATCGTCCTACACTCTTATCGCCCTCCTCAACCGAGATACAGGGAGAGAATGCAAAGAAAGATGGAAGAACCATCGATGAGGTAGCTCAGGAGATCCCGATTCGGGAGCATTCTCTTGTCGACTTTGGAGCGAAGGGGCTAGCGCTGGGAAATTAAATCAACGACAAAATTCTGGAATGCATCCGAGAGAACAAGGAGCCTTCCCGAAGTCCTCAGCGTTTGTCTGATCTTGATTATAATCGCGCTTGAGCGGATCTATTGAGTGTCGGCACTGTGAGGAGCGGGGATCATTGCTCGGGCAATAGATCGGATCGAACTCGATGACATTCATGCTCTCGTCGACCGATCTCATCTCATATAGAGTATCTCGTGACGGAAATGTAGCGTAGGGCACGAAAGAGATTATCTTCATCGCAACTGATCCAGGAGGAAACAAGTGATTGTTTTCAACTTTGACAGCGGGATGAATAATGAAAATGCAGTCCCCGCATGGTGAGCGAAAAATTCTGAATGCGACCTCGATTCGCCCACCGTATGAATTCTACCCAGAGAGACATTGAAAACAACGGAGATCTGTCTGGGTCACATCTTGACCTTGGTCAGTAACACTTAATAGCGCGCGGCCGACCCGAGTGACAGTGAACTCTAATTTTAGGCGGCTCTGGTATTTTCACTGTGAGCCGGATACTTCCGACTTTGGGGCTCCCGGATCGATCGCTGAGCTCGCATAGGTTTGCAGGTACTCGTTCCGCATTCGATGCAGATACATGGTCTGAGGGAAACGTCATACGCGCCGCCAACCCCATAGACGGCGATAATGAGCTCGACATCTGCGAGAATTCAGAATATAATAGAACCGCGATGAAGTCGGCCTGCCCGATACTACCATCATCGCAAGGAAGCTCGGATACCATCAGGGGAGTTATGAGCGCGACATGGGTTCAACGACGAAAGTCGACTTCATGACTGATGAGTACAATATCGAGCCACCGCTAGGATCCTTAGCATCGGGACGTCTTCATGAAGATGCTACGGGATAGCATGAATCTCAGTCTATAGGGAATTTTCGGGTCGAGTTCTTGGCGGATTTCTCGGTGACGCCGATTATTGGATGTTTCAGAGAAGTTGGGGACATGATCGCCAGAGCATCAGCTCCTCGTCGGTGCCAAATTCCTCGAGGAAGCTCCTTCATGATTTATGACGGATGGAATTTCCTGTATAGCCCAGGAGCTGGCTACTCCTAATCGGGAGCTTCAACCATCGTTTCCCGCGGAATATCTAACAGAAAGTAAGATTTTGTCCAGCCGCAAGGTCGACGCGAGCTGGTGCGCTAGCGGCAGCTATAGCAGCATCTCGGGAGCTGCATCTTCACCAACACCTGTTACCCGCAGGTGGCTCCGCTTCTCGGCTCCTCTGCTAGCAGCCGGACTATCTCATCAAATGAAACCTAAGTCTACCATCTCTGAGCTTACCCAGCTACCTTACCCAACTACAGTTATCTTTCGTTTCTATATCCTACTCACCAGACTACTCCGAAAGCTCCGTATCCGATAGGTCTCTCAGGTTGTTGGATGTCAGAGGGAGTGGAGGCACCTACAGCAACAGCTGCAGAGTTGCTTGTCGCCGTATTCACTGTGTTATTCACTACATGATGATGGTGATGCTGTTGCTGGTGATGGTGCGGCGTTACGCCATGGTGATAAAATTGTTGGTGTTGGGAAGCTGTTAGGATAGCAGCTGCTGCATTCAGAGTCGCTTGTTGAGCTCCCACGGCAAACATGTCGCAGCAACTGCAAATCTGCTACGTGAGGGGTCCACAGTGTTGCAAGCAGTGGTTCCAGTTCTGGGGAACGAGGCAGCTAGCTGGTTAGCCCGCGAAACGAGGAGTCGCTCGCACTCTCCGACAACAGCACGATGGGGCACTGCTGATGACGCTCGTTCAACGACGACCAGCACGGATCGACGAAGTGAAGAAGTGACTGTTCGACTGAGATGGTCGACGATCAGTCGGTTCGCATTGGGCGAGCTTTTTATCTCACTGTGCACCGCCAACCTGACGCGAGTACCCTGATGCTTGTGAGAGTCGAACGACGAAGCTAAGTTGGAGTGGCATGAGCAATCTTTTTGCTTAGCCCGGTGGTCACTTGTCGCTCACTGGCCTGTCACTCCGACGACAACGTCTCCCGAATCATTCACCGCGATGGTGTTTCCTCGTTGCTGCTACCGCTTGGCTTCTTGCGGTGGCGGTAGCGAACGAACAAACCAAGGCTTATTCCTCGTTCCCAGCTGCCTTTGGCTGCTGGTGGAGCTGCTGCAGCAGAATGCAACCAAACGACGACCGGAGAGGAACACACGAGCGACACTAGCGACCCGTGCGTATGTTTTGGTTAGCCAGCCGAGTCAGCTGCGCCATCTGGCGGCGACGATTGCAATCTCCTCAATTCTTGAAATCCATATTAAGGAACCTTGATACTACTCGGACATGAACGATCGACCCCGCCGGACGATGAGAACGAAACTCGAGACTGCTAATGTCGCCGGTGGTTAGGATCATCGCTGGCGCCTCGAGAGCACCAGGGCGCTTCTTCACACCTCCACACTTCGTCGAGACTCGAGTCATGCGGTCCGGGCGCGGAGCTGGCCGTGAGGCTCACAGTCTTTTTGACGGGGAGACCGTGCTCGTATTTTATCCCCGCGGAGAAATGTGGGAGATAAAGCCTTCTGAGGTATCGGGCGATTCTCCATGAATGACTCCGTGCAGCCTGAGATTACAGCAGAAGTGTATACAAGAATATCGCGGGATGTGTGGACGTAGCAGAGAATGCTCCCGAGGGTATCTGAAGAGAGAAGTCATACGGGAAATCAAGATGTATGGTATCATCATACGACAATGGAGTTTTTTGCCCGCCAAAGAGTATCGTAGATGGATATGGGAGTATGATGGTGAGCGAAGCTAGGATTGGCATCACGATCCTGCACCATCGTGTCTCGAATGCTAACGATTTCCGTCCTTCTAGAATCGTCAAAACCATTGTCAGGTTCCCCCGCTCTCTGAAGTACTGGATCAGGTACCGGGTCGCTGTTTTCACTGCAGCCTGCATAGAGGGTAGGGGTGGGGTTCGTTTCGCGCAACCTCTCCAAAGCTGTCGACCTCAGAGAAAGTCCGGGCGAGAACGGTTCTCTGGCATGAATTCCGCAGGTGAGAGTAGGGGTTCAGAAATGCTAATTCCAGGTGAGGGCTTCTCTCGAAACTCACCTCTTGAGCCTTATTGCCCGGATCCGCGTCAAACCCCGGTCGGCTACCGACCTCGCCTGAACTTCTTGAGTTAAGACCACGACACGGCGTTTTCTTGCGGAAAGCGGCGGTCAACAAAAACCCTAAGTCCAGTCGTTATTCAGCGGCTGCGCGAGGAAATGCGAGAAGTGTCTCACGGGCAGGGAAGGTTCACAGCTCGCCCGCACAACGCCGACACCTCGATGAGATGTCCTGTTCTCGTCGAATCGAGCCACCACGCTCGTCTCAAAGATCGACGAGTTGAGGATCTCGCATCAGACAGTCGAATGATTCTTGAGGTGAGGAGGGGAAAACGCCAATCCTCCGGAAGACTTCTATTCGGAAGTGTCTGCGGACCGTTTGGGAGACTTCCGAATAGAAGTCTTCCGGAGGATTGGCGTTTTCCCAAATTGGGACTAAATGTGCTCCCTTCAGTCGGTCTTCCGAAGGGTCGTTCCGGAGTCGGCGTTTGCGAGTTGGAGTATACGAATGTATGCGCCCCACTCGACGGACGTAGAACGAGAACTTCATCGGGCTTCTCATACGACCGGAGCATCGCTTGGCGTGTGTTAGGTACAAACCCTGGGAGCACGTCAGTCAAGCTCCCGGCAACGACCGGATATTATATTAGGAATACATACGTGGCTAGCTACTCTAGTGTGGCGAGAACAGTGGGGGGTGTTGGAGCCAAGGGTGAAAGGGAAAAATTCAGCCTCTTCGCTGGCCTTGCTGTCGGATATGTCGAAATAGAGACCTCCGGCGTGTGGGCTGGAGAGGCTGTCCTGTTTTCTGAGGAGATTGGCGACTGCATCAAATCTCTGACGGGGGAAAATCGGTCGATAGGGTTCCAGCAGGCGCCCCCGGAGGAAGGCCCTCGCCTCGACGAACTCTTTCATATGTGACGATCACACCCATTCTATTCCCTACCATGAAGCAATAATAATTCATGAATAAAATAATTATTTCGTCTCGAGTAGTTTGAGGTCTCCGGGCCGTGGAGGTCGCACACTGACGAAGCTCGAATGCCTTCCGAGAGTTCCGATCGAGACATGCGTTTCATAAGAAGTCCCGGTTGCGGACTTTCGAGATTTGAGGGCGCCTCATCAGATTCGGATTCGTATCAGAGGTTCCGGCGATCGAAAGTGTGGATGTGTGACCGTCTCTCCCCGAGGACTCTGAAGAATGTCCGGCGACGGGACAGAGAAGGACGACTTCCGGGGACCTTGTTGGTGATTCATAACTGATTGATGTTTATTACGTCAGAAGATCTCCAGAAACTCTCTAGAGGCTTAGGATACGGCTTGAGACTTATCATTACACTAAATATCACCTAAAACTTTCCGTCAATCCAGAGAATGAAATTTATCTCCTCAGGCCCGCATGCAAATGCATCGGCATCGAGTTTTGAATACATTCGAGTTAGCATGTATGTTGTCGTTGGCTAATGATTCGACTCGGATAAGGAATCCTTATACATATTATATCCTTCGACAGCGCACGTGACGCATTCCCTTTGAACTGATTAAGATCGTTTTTCGCTAATCAATTTGTACTCTTTGTTCCTTTGTCGAGCCAAGGGATTCCCTGCCTCAACTACGGCATGCATTAACAGTTCTTGGCAAACGCAATATTTTCTGATAAGTTCTCAGGAGCTTGGCTCCCCATCTCGCGCGAAGAAAGCAACTCCGTACATATTCAGACGCGCGATCAAGCATCCCCGAATCCCCTCCTCGAAATTGCAACTTCGCTCACTGCCAACTTCAAACTGACCTCATCGGTACAGGCTTCCACTACAGTTTTGGCGTGGATCGTCCAAATTGGGTCTGTCGACCTGTTAAATGCTGAATTCTGCCGAAAAATTCCATTCAGAGGAGAACTACATTGTACTTCTTGGTCGAATGAAGCGACTTGAACGGCGGCGATGGTCAACGACGGCACATGCGAAGGTTTGCTCGCGCAAGGGAAAGTTTGAAGTCCGCTTTCGAAAGCTGGCACAAACTTGAACAGTGAACAATAAAACGCTGACATATGCTTCCGCTCTACCCGCTGCCATGGGGCTCCCCGGATTCTCCGAATCCCGAGAAGAATCCCCTCGAGCCATTTTTCGAGTCTCCCGTTGCAGGAAGCGTTACTGGCCCAGGAGATTCGTTGGTACTCTGAACTCCAGAGGAAGAGGAACTCGCGGGTTGTAAATGATGCTACGGCTTCCTCCTACTGCTCTAGATGGTTGCTTTCCCAATTCCTGACTGAATTTCTATTCCGTGTATCGTTCAATCTCACATCTGCTGACCAGTTATGTGTTTATGTAGCACACTTCATCGAATCTTCACTGGATAAAATCTTGTCTCGCAGGAATGGGGAAGTCTCCTCCTATATCCATGTACTCCATTCCGCGGGCATACAGCTAACCATACGCAACAAATTCCCACAACGATACATCCGATGGCGCTACCGCACTGGAATGATTTTCCTCGGAATGCGTGATCCGACCGAGGCGAGGATGAAGGTTGCGTTCGAATATCACATTGAACACTCGAGGAATAACGTAGGAGCGTAATTTACTGCCTGACTAGCGTGTTGACCCATACCGCCGCGATTAGATAGCTTGGCTGGTCGTCAATAGGAGCTACAGCTTCCGTTACGGATCGAGATTTTGCTCGAACACTACGATCCAGAGATTTCGTTGAATGCGAGGTTGGAACAATCGTCTTCTCCCTCATGGGACACAGGTTGACATACCTCAGCTGTATTCGGTACTAATCTGTATGGCCGAATTCTGAGATATTCAGAGATCAGAGACCAAGAAACTCGACTATCACAACCCAAATCTAGATCGGATCTACTCGATCGGACCACGTCGTCCAAGCGAAACGAGTGAGATCGGACCGAAACAAACAACTCTACGAAGAATGGCACTGGCGAATATTGCACTGGTTGGGAACAACAAGAGGAGCAACAAAAGCTCGAACGGCGTACGTGTGGCGAATGAACAAGGCAAGAAAAGCTTCAACGCTTCGAAGAAAGTCTTTCCGGAATCGGATTCTAAGAGATTCTCGATAACCTGCTCGAAGATTTCTATACAATTATTATCGACCCGGGACGAAAGCCTCCGCCGGAGATCTTGGTTCCGATGCCCCCACGCCATCGCCTATTCAGCTCTTGGGGCATTCCCGGCAGGCGTATGACTGTTTCAGGTATTGGATTTGTGACTCGGAGTCAGGTTCACTCCCGACGCTCCAGCGCTCGGACTACGCGGTGGCAGCGGATAGGAAGAAGTGCGTTTCGCCGAGCGACGTTTCTTAGGAAGACCTGGAAGACCGAAGCAGCCACGAGAGAGAACCATTCTAGCATTTCCTTGGGCTGGGCGACTGGCACCGGGGACGCGCAGGTCCGCCAGATGCTGAGAGTATCCTTCGGTCAAGGCCTGGAACGGAATTCTCTCATCGATGAAATGTTCAACGATTCGGCTCTCACTCAGACTCTCCGCTTTCTGGAAAACAGCCGGACATATCGGGATCGATATCGCGAAATGATTCTTACCGTGACGTGGGCTAGATGTTTTTTGCTGACTCGGCCGACAATGAAAGTTTTCTCAGGCGGGATTCCCAGCGATGAATAAACACTGATGTCCTTCTGAGATCCATATGCAGCGTGGAAAATTATATCAGCGTCGGTCTGGAGCTGCTTGAGGTAGTCCGTCTTGAGTTTCAAGGGGCCTGAGGAGATACCTTCGGCGAACGATACGAGCCCATGGGGGAAGTTGTGTTGAGCGAGCCATGCTACCACTCGGCGTTGTTGGATGTCAGGTCGACCTTGGAGATCAGAGCGGACGATTAGGATGAATGGCCACGAATGGATCATATGATCGATCCCCTCTCGGAGGGACTCTCCCTTCTGCTTACATGTTATGTAGAAAATCAGATAGCCTAGCTCTTGCCAATGTCGCACGACATCGACAGCTCCGGCGCGAACCTTCGGATCGCGACCCGTAACGGAAACGGAGGCCGTAAACGATCCGTCTATTGAAAACACGACGCATTCCGTCTTCGGTGGGAGAACGGCCAAGAAGAAATCAACGCTGGTGTGATCCCCTCTGCATAAAATCAAAATCGCGATCAATGATTGAATTTTCGGAGCATCCTGCAGCAGGAGCCCCTCAGTCCCGTGTTTAGGTCACGCGGAGAAACCGATTTCCCGCTGGGTTGACAGAGGGTGTCCCAGATACTGATGCTGACTCAGTCGGAGACGTCGGACTCACCGAACAATCATTTTGATGGGGTATAGACCGAAGCTTAGAGATTTCTCTTCGGGAATCCTATAGACGATTCTCCCTGTCTTATCCGTGTTCTCAGTAGCCAATAGAATCCATTCGCTCGAGCGCAGATCTCGCATAACATGTATGTCGACCTTTTCCCCAGTGAGAGCGACCATGTCCAGGGGTCCGTACAAGAAGCGCGCGTTCAGGATTTGAGGATCGCCTTCTTTGACCACGATGTCGTTAGCTCGGTGGTTGGCAGTAACATTCTGGGGAGAGGAGGAAATATTCCGTCAGGGATCGACCATCACAGAGGCAGGTGGGCTTTCCGCCTGGTTCTTGCAGAACTCGATGAATCATTAAAGCGGCTCTCCTCCTCATCGGAAGATGCCGGAGCTGATCGCTCTGGCGCTTCGGGTGGGAGTAGAATACGATCTTCAGCGAAACATTCTCCAGTGCAGTCGTCGCCACCGGACACGTATCGATTATTCTCACCCTGAGTTTGACGGAAGTTCTCTTTTTGAGCCATTTTTCTCTCGGCTGTCCGAACACGAAGGACGGAGCCGGCGCGTCTGCATCGATGCACTGTTGGACAGTATCGCAGCGAATCAGCTGGCGGAGTACGAAACTTGCCACGTCGTGACTCTCCCAGAACGATGAATGAAATAGATGGGGCAGAGCGTTGGTCGGAAAGTGAGCCAGGCCGTCTGGGCAGTAGAGGGCGTAATCGATACGTTTGTTCCCCCACCAACGGTTGTTGACTGAAAAATCAGAGCACCAATCTTTGAGGAAATCCTTAAACCTTGAAATCTCGCATGCGATACTTCGCTCTGGAATGCGAGTGTCTCGTCGCGGGATGAGTGTGTCGCAAAGCGTTTATTCAGGATCCAGATATCTGTGCGACAACATGCGCAAACTACAAGCATGCGATCAGGTGCTCTTCGGTCTCGAGTACAGCATCTTCAGCAAAGCATCAATCACGGAGGAGAGGAGATTCGAATCGCTCCTGCTAGGAGACTCGCGGAAGCGCGAGCGGAAAACGAGCGACAGGGGCACCGACGCGCCGGCCGTCTAGGCCAGCCAGGAAATCGCCATTATGTGAGGTAGCGACGATGAATCGCCATCATCGATCGAGCACTGTCGTATGCGAATGTATCTCACGTGTTTGAATGGTGCCGAGTGGAAGAGCAGAATCCGATAGACCCGACATCGTGGAGGTGATCGAAGCCTCGCTCGTACGTCGTCCCGGCTGGCAGGGACTTGGCGCCGGACTGCTCTTGCAAGGCGCTTCCGAGGCCTGCGGTGTCGTAGGATGAGGTGCCGGTGTCGGTGAGCTCTGGTTGTTAGGCGGTGCGGCTGCAGGTGTCTCACAGAACAGAAGCGAGTAACTCTGCAGGAACTCGACTGAGAAAAGACGCGACAATGTAAGCAACCTACGGATTTTCCCGTATGCGTCGACAGTGAACGGGGTAGTCGACGAGGAGTTAAGAGAATCTATCTCATTGAGAGATCTCAGGGGGAATCTCCTGCTATGGCGGTTCTCGAATCACCGAGGGGGAAGTTCTCAGGATTGTTCCTCTAGTTCTCCGCCAATTTCCGAGATCGTGGGAACCTTTCAGTACCGATCGTGAGTATCTCATGGGTGCGGTTTTTTGCTAAAACGTTGTAGATCTTGCACGGGTCATTCTCGGCGTTGATCGAACGGATTTCTAAACTTACGCAGATGAATCGGCTGACCGTCGCCTAGAGGGTATTTCTGGAAGCGAGGCACCGTGATCGGTGGGAGTTGAGAGAATTTGGCTGAAATCAATGGCTCGATCCGCACTGCCAGCGGATCCGTGGGATGGAACAAGTTGTACACCTGGGAAAGCAACATTCTCTCGTGACTTGGCAGGAACGATATCGAGCAGGCCGCTTTAGTCGGGAGTCCACTCCAGTCTATTCTACGCACCTGGGTGTTTCCGGGTTTGGCGATCGGGTTGGTCTTCTCGTCCCCAGAAACCATCTTACGGTAACTCAAGATGAGCGCCATCGGGGAGCCAAACATGAAGAGATCCGAGGCCTCGAAGTCGAGTTTCAACTCAGGGCCCCCGGAGTTGCTCCTTCGTCTCTTGCTTCCCGGCGTGACCTGGGCCGATAGGAGCTTTTGGAAAGACGTCGCATCGAAAAAACTCGATTGGGACGAATCTGATGTCTCTGGACCCGATAGCGTCATAGTGCCACCGCTTGCAGCCGTTCCCGCGCTCGAACCTACGGCAGTGACATTCCCGGTGGCTGATGCAGCTCCTGAATTCTTTTTCGTGACGTCTTCCCCCTCGAAAGTGGCTTCGTTGCTTATTGAGATCAGCGGATTACTTTTGCTTTCCTGGAGACTCGACTCGCTGCCAAAATGAGAGCCTGCTCCTTCTGACGAATGATTGGCTGTTCGGCAGATGGCGTCGAACGCCAGAACCGAGCCCAGACTATCTCCAATTATCACGACTTGTCCGTTGAAACCGAAACCTTCCGTTGATTTGAGAAACTCCTGATAGGCTCCGTTCAGAGCACCGATAGCATTCGAAAGATGGTCGTCGTATTCCGGCGTAGAGCAAGCAAATAGAGGCAGAGCCGTCATTGGAAGGGGATCTTGGCCGTGGGTGGTTCCGTCGAACGAGGGTGAGCTTTGAAAACCGAACGGACTGAGGTTGCTTAGTACGGCCAAGGCTTCGGCGCAGATTGCCGGACAGGGGACCAATTTCGTGACAACATGACCGTGCAGAGCAGGATAGTGCTGTCGCACGATTAGGTCAACAGTTCCCGAGAATGTGGCCAAATCTGTGGTTTTCGTTTGCGCTTGATCGATCCCATGATCGAGAACTGTTCCACCATGGACGACGAGGAGCAAAACCGACGTGGGACACGCCATCGTGGCGTGTTGATGGCCGGGTGAAGCTCCCGGAGAAGAGAGGCCTGACGTAGCGGCTTCCAGATGACAATGGTGTGCACGCTCTTGGGTCCTCCGAACGTGGGTGGGGGCAAAGATTGTCTCGTCAACTGGCACTGTGGAGTACAGAGAACAAGGAAAACATTTAGAGATACTGAGGGAGCAGGGGATGGGCGGAGGGTGCAGACGGCCGAGATTCCAAGCCTATATCGATTCGTTTGAGCTCGTCCTGCTTAAGAGAAATATCCATATGGGAATCGTATAATGGAAATTCTGAAGGAAATTCTCCACAATCATGATGGAAGAGAGATTAATGACTTCCGAAATATCGTCAGTCAGCGTAAGGGGGTCGACGCATATTTTTGGGTGGATATCTGCGCCGGGCACAGGACAGGGAATTTCTTCACCGCTTGCCTCGAATACGGTTTATGGAAATCGGGGAAGGGGGATCGCAACGGTTGATTATTTCGATCGATTCTTTATTATTTTTCTTCATGAATAATACTTTGGTTCCGGAGGCTCTTGCAAGGGATACGGCGAGATCTCATTTTTTTCCAATGAGCTTGGGTTTCTTGGCAGCGCATAGCTGAAGAGCTTGTCATATACGAGTTACCCTGTACCCGGATCGATGGCGCTTACCATCTCCCTGATGATGGACCATTTCGACAGAGCTCCATTTCGTGAGTGAGCTCCGCAGTTCCGGTGCGACGTTCAAAGGCCCGGGCTCATCGGCGTCTTCAGCATCGAAGAACTCATCGCTTTCGGAGTCGCTGTCACAGACAATTCCTTCCATTCGCCACGCCACCTGCTCCACCGTCGACTGGATAACATGACGCGAGCTCCGACGATTTGTTTTTTTGGCTTCGGCGGAGCTCCTATGCGCACCTAATCTGTGACCGCTTCTTGATTGGACACCTTGCAAATCGACAGGTTCACTCGAATCTGCGTCGATGGCATGGAGATCGACCACCGTGTTCGAGGCAGCTTGGTGCTCCGTCGGTGAATCTTCGGGATCGCCGCTTTCAGCCATTGTACGTGCCAACTCCGCTTGGGTTTCGGCTTCGATTCGTCGAACGTCCTCGATGGTCAGGCCGAGCCACTCGTCCTGCCAAGCCCACGCTTGCCGGTGAGCGCGGAGATTAATTTTCCGGAGGCCTGGAATCGTCATCAGATTCGAATTCGTTGAAACCCGAGGCTTTGCGATTCTAAGGATTAGGCTGTCGCAATGTTCTCGGGATTGAATCGCTCGCCGGAGGCTGAAATGAACTCACCCACATCATCGATGAATCTCTCAATTTTTGTTTGCATTCCCCAATAGCGAAATTCGACTCGGCACAGCTTGTAGGCGCACATGATTTTCCCGCTGTTCTCTTCGATCCAATTCTCGCTCAGAGGTCCCCGACCCGTTTTCTCCGACACAAATATAGCGGGGTCTTCAGACTCCACATAGTCTCCAGATGATAGTTGATCCTTGACGATGTCGATGAAGTCTGGGGAGGGGAGCAAAAGATCGTCGAATGATCGATGAACCGTTTCCCCTCGATTTCTCAAGTACGACCACGAGCCGCCGTCCCGTCGTGACAGCGAGATCAAAAGGAATCGATATGCTCCTGTCGATATGAGGAACGTGTTCAAGCTCGAGAGAAGCTTACCGACTGCTCTATTCCTCAGCTCGCTCCCTGTGAGCTCAAAAACGTTATCTTGGCTGCCGCTGTCGTTGAAATACTTCGTTTCGAGCTCGATGGAGAAACGATCCACCAGCGGACAGGAGTACCTGATGGCATCGGAACAAGAGTTACTGATGAGTAGAGCATGTTATCTGTCCTGAGCCTGATCCCGCCGGTCAAGGCACTCACAGATCGACCGCCGCCTACTACAAAAACTTGTCGTCCAGAGGGATCAGAGCTCAGTGCGGATATCTTTCCGGCATTTCTTCAGGTCATACAGGGAGTGATGGCCTAATCAGCTAGCGATCGTCCAACGAAAAAGGATATCGCAGCTCCGTATCGCTTGGAATGTACGCTGTCGGTTCGAAGACAGATCGAATAGATATTCAGCGAACTTACGAGACGTTTTCTCACCTTGTTTTGGTGTACGGATAAGCATTCCAAGCCTCTTCTTCGACAATCAGAGATTTCGGTACCAGTGCTTTTATCCAGCCCGGTAAATGACTTCCGATATGGTACAGCTTCCTCGTGTATTGGCCGCTGCCCCCGGGACCGTCTTCGTATGGCTCGTTTACAAGGATTTCCACTCCGCTGCCCCGGCCACTGCTCTCTTGACGACTTTTCTTCTGCTCGGAGTGAGATATAGAGAGCACAATTTAGTCTTGGCGTCATGGAATTGCAGGAGGTTTTTCGAATTGCTCAGGTCCAGGTGTGGAATCCAGAAATTAGCGGGACCCCCAGATCTGGTTACAGAATGACTGTGGGTCTCCGACGAATCGACAAGGTCGAGGGAGTCTCCGCGGGGCGAAGGTCGACCGTCGCGCGGGCTGATTGTGAGTGAGAGATGAACTTTCGGCTCGGGTAATCCCAGCTAATACCATTGTTCCTAATCTTTAATTGGAGAGCTCACCCCACTTCTCGGGAATTCGATCGGAGCGATTGAACAAACAATTACAACTCGAGCGTTACTAAAATCGAATAGAGGGCGAGTTTCATTCCATGAGCTCTTCTAAGTGGAATAGTTGGAATTTCTGACCCTATCTGACAGTTTCGTCATTGCTCCCCCTAGATTCCGAGCGGAGGCTGGACTAGAACTTCCATTGTTTTCGTCGAAAAAATAACAGGGGCTACTCACTCTGTCTCTGTGAGATGAGGAAATATTCCGCTTAGAGAATTCATGAAGAGATCAAGAGCTCACGTCGATTGCTCACATCTCGGACTACATACTCAATCTAAATCGATACCATATCGCAAAACTTACGGCAATCATGTAAAGTTGTGCCACTCTGTACTCCTCGACCGACAGCGGCAGCGGAATCCGATATTCCTTGATGAGCATTCTTTATTGCTTCGGTGGTGCGACCGCGATGTCCGAAGCGTTGAGGTGAGTAGGAACGATTAGGTCTACTGCTATGCGACCGGCCGGCCACAAGGACAGTAGCCCGCGTCAGTGCTCTGCATGGAGAGAGCTCGTTTCTAAAATTGAGAATTAGGGGAAATCCAGGATTGTTGCGAAATCGCATGAGAAACTTAGCATATTTTGATGCGGGTTTCGAGCTTCCCGAGGATGTCACCATCGGTCAGACCACCTGTGCGCCCCTCGTGGTTCAGCTATTTAATAACGACCGAGAGACACGGACGATTTGTGAAAAAGTATATACGGCAGAACGGCAGCGACCGCAGCAAAACAAGTCCTTCCCGAGTGGCGTTGAGCCTCCACCGAGGGCGCTAAGGTCAAATCTCGCAGTTCTCCGAGCGTGCAACCGTTGCCGCTTTTCCGCTCTAAGCCGAGCATATGCAGACCTCCTGAGTGAGAGCAGCGACTTCCGGCTGTTTTCCGGACCCAGACTGGGCTGTTGCACGAGCGGCGCTTCGTAATCATCCGATACGGATACGTAGCTCCCTCCTTCGAATACCGCTATGCGTTCTACGGCGCTACGAGTGACGAAGGTCGCTCCGTCTCCCCGATCCGACGTGGTCACGGAGCAACAGTCAAGGAAATTGCCGCCTTCTAATCCAGAAACGTAATCGGGATCTGCAGACGAGGTCTTACGCGTACCTCACTGTATCGAGCCGCTGCCGTATAGATCCGGGAATAAGAGACGAGGAAGCAACTCATTATCCCTAGCTTTACGGCTCGTCGCTCCGAAACGGGTCTCCGCTTGCCTCTATAAATAGTTAGGTACGTCGCTGCCCACTCGGCCCCCGTCCCACCTTCCCATCTCAAGTCTCAGCAGTTAAGCGTGGAATAATTATTTCGCACCGGAGAAGATTGCGGCTACGAATCGAAGCGTTCGTCGAAGCGCGATGACGTCGATGTTACGTCACCTGAGATCTGCTTCATTCTGATCAGAGATGGGATATCAGATGCTTGTTACGTCGTCGATCGATCGAGACGCTCAGCCCTCGGGTTTTTCGTCATGCTTCGGATGGACGAGCTCTACATCTGCCTGACTCGCACCCCGCACGGTACTCTCGAAGGATTGTTCCATGCGTTCCAGGAGCTACGAAGTTGAATGCGAGGCAGAAGGCAGGTCCATACTCGGACAGTGACAGAACGAACGGAAAGTTCACCACAGGAAAGTTTCGGCGAAGCTGCGTCACGAGGTTGAAGCTGAGGTCGTGAAAGCTGCACTTGCATTTCCTCGGCCAATGGAGAACGGAGATGAATGAAAACGAGTGAACTAGGGGAATAGGCTAGCACCAGCAAAAGAAGGATGAATGGAGAGAATGCGAAACAGACCAGGCTTTATCAACGAGCCACATGTACATTTCATATTCTGACACCGGACCTCTGGCATCTTAAGGTATTCCAATTGAATTCAATCGGGGTTGGATCGAACAGTAGTCATATCGTCACGGGTCCACACTATGACAACGATCGGATGAGATCCACTCTATGTACAATGTCTCTTTTCAGGAAGTGTCGACTCGCTGCGATCGGCGTCGATCCTTCACCATAAATAAGGGCTCCTCTCCGAAGAAGCGGAGTGAGTAAAGCTCCTGACTTAATTATCATGAGAACAATCGGGGCTCTTATTCGGGGGGGGGGGTCGCATCTATGCGGCCAGCTGAGCTCGATCCGAGCGTCTGTCTTTGAAGTGGCTTACGCCCAAAAATATGACAAAGCCTCCAGTGAGCACAAGGAACGGAAGCTGGCCTAGTCCGTGGCCGACGAACTTTCTGAAAACACTGCCGACAAGCGGAGCCACCGACTCGCAGGCGGCCACAACTCCATAGACTTTACCTAGATCTTTCTTCTCGACCAGGGTCGCGACATGGGCTCGAATGCCGGCGGGGGCGATGTTCGAAATCGTATGGAGAACCTGTCGAACGTGGCCCAGAGCGGGGGAATTTGTTGCGAACTGAAGCGATTGACCAATTGTCAAGAAGAGAAGACCGATGAAAGTTATTGTGTAGTTGCTATCGATTGGTATCATTCTGACAATGAGCACAAAAACCGGCATAACGATCAATAACGTGAGAATAATTATCACGCTGTCAAGGATGGCATTGTCCGGATCAGCGTCGAGAAAGAAACTCGACACGGAGCTTCGCGTCGTGGCTACAAGAGAGAAGATCACGACGATCAGGAACACCAACTCGTAACGTGTACCTCGCACCCTCTGCTGGACGAGACCCCTCACCGACGAGAACAAATGATGGTGGCTGAAGAGTCGCGTAGAAAGCAATACTGGATCCGATCGAGCGCCATGTCCCCCGCGGTGTCTTCGGTGTTCACGCGGCTCGTCTTCGCTAGCGTCCAAAACTACGTCGTGCACGAAGAATATCGAATAGAGCATACAGGTTCCGAAGAAGAAAATCGCGATCGCGAATATCGGGAGACAGTCGTGCCACTGGGCTACGACTAGAATAGCGACCAGACGTCCGACGGCGAATGCGAACATGAAGACTACTTGAAGTAGAAAAAAGGTAACGGTCCTTTTCGCGCGGCTCACGTTCGCGGCGACGTGGACGTAGACGCACATCAGGGCGAGCGGGAGTCCACCACAAAGAGTTTCCGCGAGGGGAGTGAGGATATCGTAGAATAGCGGTGCTTTAGGATATAGAGACGAGACCAAATTCGCGATCGTTGTGACCACGCTGCCCGTAATGCTGATCAGGAGGGGAATTTTGAAAGTGGAGAACTCGTCACAGCAAGACGCCAAAAACAAAACCAGGATCGAGGGGGGAACGAAAGCGATCAGACCCTGGTAGAAGAGATAGAGCTCGGCCGCATCTTCAGCTTCACTTCTCTGATGCTTGTGCCGGTGGTGTCGTGTCAGCATGCCGTCCAACGAGAGCGTCCGATTCCAAGAAGTCTTGTTCCAGGCCACGCAGAAGGGATCCGTGCTCTTATTGTAGGAGAGACAGGTTTTCCGTGCCACGGCGGAACCAGCGGCAGACCAGTTGAATGTGATTGCGAGGATCAATAAGAGGAAAAAAATGTGGACGAGAGCGGCCCTGCAGAATTTCTCGCAAAGTCCGTGTTGGCCGGCTTCGGCGTTAGACTCGTTGTCGGCTTCTTCACGAACTTCTTCGGCGACTGTCTCGCTTGCTTCCTCAAATGGTGGCGCTGATGGTTCATCCGTGAAGAGTCGCGATATCATTTTCCGCATTAACGGGCGGATGAACTTCTTTGCGCCTTGTGTACGGCCAGAGACCAGTTGAACGACATCGTCGGCTTGCATTTTCTGCAATCGGGGTTCAAAAAAGAACGGAATGCAAACAAATAATGAACTTATGTCAGACATGCGCGGTCCCGCTGGCAGCAGCTGAAACCGCGTCGTCAGCAATTTACGCATTCGGAAATTTCTCCGCTGACGCATGCGGGGTCCTCGATCCAGCGACTCGGATGTCGCGATTAGCGACGGCTTCCGTGGATCTGAGGTCTCATTCTCAGTCAAAGAGAACATCATTCGGCTCGACAGTTCCGCAGAGCTTCCGAGACGACAATGACCGCTCATGGCAGTCACCTAACAGCAAGAGAACAATCGCCCACGGACGAAGACTGTCGAAGTTTCTATGAGTCTCCGACCTCTGCCTCTATGGTGTATGTGACTGGTGAAGGAGACCCACCGATCGAACAGGGAGAACTTCTCCAGGACCTCCGAAAACGAACACTTTCGGTGCCTGTCACGATTTCGATCGCCACACTCGGGACAACTACGTGGACGCTCAAGGGCCTGCTGACGGTGCGTGGAGAGTCGGAAGTCAAGAGTTAGCTCACAATCGTCGACGCTCAGCTCGCTCAAGTGTAGTATCAGAGTGGCGGGAAGCGCTACGACATTCGATGACGTTTGGACGAGTCGACTTGAATGCGCTTACAGCATCAAAATCTCAGATTCGCAAGTGGCTAATGCTTTCGTCGCCACCGCTTTCGCTGTGAGTGAAAACATCGCGGTCTCACTGACAGATGTCAACATCCGCAACAAGTAGAGCTCGCGCCGCCCTCAGGCCCCTGCTCTCCAGGCTCCCAGCGCTTATCGAGAATCGCGCACGCTAGCGAGAGGGGCTCTTCACAACCCCTGATGGCGAACGGGCTGCCGTCGCGCTGCCGTCATTTTGGCATGAAAGGCATGCCAAAAGGCCTGTAGCGAGGTTTTTCTACAGGAGCAAACGACGAGATAGATAAACGCGCTCGGAATCGCGAGCCAGCTGACACTCGAATGCCATCTCGTTTCGCCACGGGAGCTCGTTCTGGCAGTCGGTTCTGAATACGATGATCAGAACGCAAGGAGGCTGGTCACGCACGAATGAACGCGAAAAGTTCCCAGGGAGGATCTCAACGATTTTCGCTCGTTCCAGCGGATTCTCCGACCACTTCGCTCGCGCAAGGCTCACCCAAGATGCTTATCTAACCAGACTGGACTCGTTCATATACTCGGCCGAGAGAACTCACCTCCAACGTCTGTCCCGACGGTGGGCGACAGCTGGACGAACACGGTGCTCGCTCCCGCGACTTGAGAACGAGGCAACAACGACTCTGAGAACACAATCGAACAGTGCTCGATGAGCTTCAGTGTGAGACAGTTCGGATCAGCTTCAGATGTTCCGTCGTGAAACGCGGCAGAGAACTGATTTTGACGCCAGCGTCATCCGACCTGTAAAATTCCACGGCACCGTCAGACACGAACGACGAGCTGAGCACCGATCGCTGTCGTCGTCGATAGCTGCAAGTTCGCTGCTAGTGTAAGCTGAACTTGCACACCACGACCGCTCTCTTCCAATACCCTCCCACCAGCAGCGGGCCGCACACAGACTGAACCCTTTCCACGACCGACCGGGAATCTGACCTTTAACATTTGAAACTCTGAGACTTCCCTCAGCGAAAAAGCTCGGCAGCCGCATTGCAAATCCTCTTTCCTCTCCCGAAACCCCATCCGTCGACCGTACTCACCTGTCGCGAGCCGTTTGGCGTGACTTTTCGAACGGTGGCCGATGCATCGGATGGCGCCAAATTTTGAATCGATGACAGCGCTGGATGCGGAGCGCCCACGGAGAGCTGCCGGAAGATCCGCGCGGACTCTACTTTCAGAACTCAACTCTTCGGGAGCTGCCTCCAATCGACGGGCTTGAGGCAGCGCAAGGGTAATCCCTCAAATAAAACGATTAGTTCTACAGATCGCTCCCTACTCTTGCTCGAAGTGAATTTCCGGGAACTATTCCAGGCAGGAGAGATCTCTCCCCCGCCATGAGTGGCTCACATGAATCGCCTCCCTTGCGCTTTCCGTTCCTCACCCACCTTCAAGAAGCGAGAGTAACGGAGTGCACCGGAGAGTGAACCGCGGCCAAACTGGAAACTCATTCGAAAAGCAAACGTTGCTTGGCCTTGTGATGCGTTTCGCCAGAGGATCCTGAGCACTTCCGAGCGATGCAGCGTCCGACCGCAAGTCCTTCGCGAAATCGGCATCCCTCATGGCTATTGTTGATATTGACACTGCTGCCGTATCCAGCTACCGTGCACGGTGAGCTTATATCAGCCCTCCGCTTAGCTATAAAATCTATATTTAGTTTCTGACGCCGATCCCGAAATACAACGTGTGTCAATAATTCTGCTCGTCCATTGAGTGAGAAGTAAGCCAAGTTCAGACTAGAATCGAACACTGGACGGCCCCGAATAGATGAAGAACCGCAAAAAGCTCTGCGGATTTTACGACGAGAAAATCCGCGCACTTAGGGCTTCCCTCAGGACGGCACCTCCCATTGATCGGACAAGTGTCGGCTGCATCAATTGAAAGCTTCAAAGCAAGAAGACATATACTTGCATCGCTCCGAGGCATGCCGTATCCACTTGCCAGCTGTCATGCTAGTGCATGGGCTGCCCGATTCCCCCTAACCGATTCGAGACACAATCTCGTGGTAATACGCAGGGGACTCGATCGAGATCGGTGTCGAGAGTTCCTGATCCACGCTATATCCGAACCACGAGCCGAAGCGTGCCGGATCTTGCTGCGAGCAAGTAGCCTGACACTGGAGGAAAGTTAGCATGGGTAGGAGTCTGGAGAGCTTCGAAAGGAAACCGTTTCCCGCTCCGTGAGGAGATACACGGTGCTGACGGGGAGCCCGTGCCGGGCGCAGAGACAGGAGTTCCCCGATCTAGACGGCCCAGGCCGGGGACTAGGTATTCACGGCCGGAATCTCGTCTCGCCCGTCTTCTCCCGAAAATATAATGATGAATGCAAATCAAGAAGAAGAGTCCCGACCCGTGAAATCAAATCTTATGTTCGATGACGGGAGTCTCGTTGTTCCTCTCCGGGATCCCTGATGAGAAATCGGTCCCGCTATTATTATCTTCGAGCTGCCAATATCGTCTTGGGGATCGAGAGAATTCCGCGTCCGAGGTCAGGGCTCCGGGAGACAACACGTTGCCACGATTCTGCTTAGCGACGCATTGAATTACGCCGATGGTCGTAGCATATGTCCCATCCATGATGGATCAGACCACCAGGAAGCATAGTCGGGCAGCTGCAACGGAGTCGACCTTACGCAGCATGATTCAATCTCATCCTCACGCTCCTTCATCTTCGACTCTCCCGTCGAAATTCCCGCAGGCTGCAGATCCGGAAAATCAGGGAAATATACCCTTCCCTCGCGAGTGATTCGAGCTCTACTGCTGATGACCGAACAACAAGCGAGGGGACAATCGCGTTGCACAGAAATTTCTCGGTGGTCGAAAATCGCCACGGTTCTCTTGAACAAGGACTCTTCTCAGACGGAGTTTACGGCCCCTTGCCCGCTCCGGTCGCTAAGCTCCTGGGAATCACAAGCGGGGTGTGCAAAGAGAGAAAACTACCGGAGAAGAGGTGCGCTTCGAGCCGTTCCTCCGACGTGAGACCTTCTGTCGGTTTTCAAGCTCGTCGAGATTTCTGAGGCCCGAAATCACTCGACTCCGATCGCTTGGCGCGGAATGGGCCAAGGTGTCCTCTGAATACGCGGGGTTCTCCGCTTGACAAGACTCCGAAGGGGGTAACAGATATCAAGTGAGGACGAAACTATTCACTAGATCTGTATTTCTGCCTTCCGTAGAGGATACAATCAATGTTTTTATTCACCCTGAGAGGGGTAGAGCAGTATACCTAGGTGAGGATACATATGCATACCTGAGAGAGAAGAGCGTATACGTACAACGAGACGGAGGATATTGTTCGGGGTGAGCGCTCGGGGACGTCGTTGCTAGGTGGAAGTTTTGCAGCCGAACTCGATCGGCATTTCACCTCTGAACCTTTCGTCGGCTGCGTTGAAACTCGCCAGGATCGAGTGTCATAAGCCGCTTAGGGCTCGTCCCGCTCGATGCTTCGCCTCGCGATCACTCCACCGAGGGCGAACTTCGACTGATATTCGAATCGCATAGCTCGGAGATCGGGGAAAATACCCTGTGGAAAATTTCCGCACTCAGTCGCTCTTGAACACATCTTCGTAGGGCTCCACCGAGTCAGAACCACCCTCTTAATAATCAGCGGATTCGGTCGTCGGAGTAGGGTGCTCGAACGAGCTTTCAGCGTTCAAGAGAGGATTGAGACTTCCCTCATATTCTCTCACGTCGATGCCGAAACGAGTCTCATTCAGAGCAGCAGGAATGAGCTACATTCACGACTTGCAGACTCCAACGAATGAGCGTTGAATTTACCGATTCGCTGAAAACAGCGACCCCGGAATAGAAACTCAACCTGTCAGGCTCTCGTACAAGTCATCCTGCGGGGCGAGGTGGATTAGCATAAGCCTGTGGTGCGGCCCTGAAGTTGAACGAGCACATTCTTCTCCCGATATGTATCACTATTTGCTTACCTCCTTCGTTCTGAATAGAATGACAGATGAACATCGTTCGGGGAATCCTCGCTCGAGTTCCCTTCTGCTTCTGCAGATCTTTTACAGATATTTCCCTGTTCTCATAAGCCTGCACGAACGACGGCTTCATACGTTCTGCTTTCCGACAAGGGGAATCAAAGGGTCAATAGCCGATTTTTGACAACGCGATGCAATAAACAAGGGGCCGCGCAGCCTGAGAGGAGCTTATATTGTCCCCGGTCAGATATGCCCACCGTCCCCTGCCGAACAGAGGACCATAACAACGCGGACGATAAAGTAATCTCGTGTGCTTGACTTACGTCCCGGAAATTCCTTTCCCGCGGAATATGTGTGGAGGGGGATCGATGAAGTTTACAATGAAGGGAGAAGGTGAAACTTCCGATTTCCGTGAGAAACGGTACATTCAGAAGACGAGACTTTGAACGAGCTCTGTGAGCTCGATGGAGAGGCAGTAGTACACATTGGGGGTTCACTCGCCGGCAAAGAGATCAATATTCTGCGACTTATGAACAAGCGTTTTCCCGAAGTGGTGTCTTCCGAGAGGAGAACTCTCGCGAGCACACCGATTGCCATTCTCTGGCAATTACCGGAGCGCTTCTGACACCAGCTAATCTCTCGTATGACAGAGTCTCGCGATGGGACGTTTTTAGCTGCGTCCGCAGGCTCGTTCCCTCTCTTGTGGCCGAATACTCCTCTGGTGCACGTCACGGCGATCAGCTCCCCGAGAATATCCACGGACAGAATGACAAGACGCGACTTTCGGAGTGACGACCGCGACACACAAGGGTGCAGGTTTCCACCCAGGATGAGCCTGGGCGGACGATCTCGCCCAAGCCTGTCTAGTTCTGCTCGTTCAACCGTCTGGTTTAGGACGTCATTTTGCAGAACTCACCCGATATGCCCGAGAAGGGCCCCGCCTGAGAGTATATTCTCTCCGCATCGAAAACCGACCGGAATTTTTTTTCTCACTCGAACCTGGAATATCTTTATTCATTGCAGGAGGACAGCAGCACATTCTATCGGCATGGCCGAACGAAGTTTCCGTGCACGGCGATCTGGGATCGCGTCTCACACTTCATTGCAACATATCCATCCACAGCTTGGAACAGTTGCAGGCGACAGGCATTGTATGGAAAAAGGTTGGTAGGTCTGCCCTTAACTGTTTCAGAACCGCCGGATGAATCCTCTCGCGCATCCTTGACCTTCCTCTTTGACGTGCGAGGATTCGAATGTGTCAAGAATGCTGTCATCCTCCTCCTCCTTATCCATGATGTACTACTTCCCTTCCAACTCTTTGCAAAATAAGGAAGCCCCCCATGGAAAAGTCCCATCTGGCCGTGTATCCTATGCCATATAGGGAGGGATCCATGGCGTTTCCCTCCGCTCGCTCACACGAAGTTTCCGTTTTGGGAATCGTGCAGAACGAAAAGCGGGAATATTGCACCTAGCTCGGGAAAATGCGAGATTTGGATGGAAATGGAATTTCGGAAACCTGGGGCATCCCCAATCATCGGAATTGTGCGGACGGCCTTGTACGGAGGAATTCCTGTCAGCGGCGCGCATTCGAATCGAGTTCATGCCTTGCAGGATGGTGAAATTATTCTGGGACCTCTGTCAGGTTGGAGAATTTCGAAACATCAGATCAACATATTGAAATTGAATCTGACGCAAAACGACAGCGGCAACTACACGTGCCAACCAGTGGGGCCTGAGCTCCGGAACGTCCCGGTCATGTCAGCCAGCCTGACGCTCAGAAGTAGGTGGTTGAATACTATTAGCATATATGCGCGCAGGCAAGCAGAGAGGAATTCCGCATTCATACATGCGGTAGAACCTTAGTCGTGTGACCCATTTTCGACGACGTTCTCGTATTTACATTCAGCACCTCCTGAGAAGTTGGCAAACCTCACCGTGACACCGTCCATCGTTTACACTTCAATAAGATGGGCGATTCATGGAGACGGTGGCTCTCCGATCACGCACTTCACACTAGTTTACCAACAAGTACTGCAAATCCGCGTCAGCTCGCTCGCGCACAATCTTGATTCCGAAGCTGTCTCGAAAACCTTAGATGCGGAGCATCATCGATCGACGCATCTGCCGATCCACATCAGTCCTGCCGCGGTGAGTCCCATGCCTTATGATCTCTCACGGCCGACGATTCCTGGCAGCGAAATTTTTCCATGTACTTCATTGACGATACGAATCACCCTTCAGAGACAGTTCTTCGTTTACCATTTGCGTCCAAATGCACTCTACATGTTCAAAATGTGGGCGACCAACCGGATCGGCCGTGGAGAAGCTTCAGTTCTGTACATATCTACCCACGTCACAGGCAATACCACTATACAAAGTCTCGGTAAGCGCAAAAACACTCTGAGGGGTTCTAGACGATCACAACGTCGGATAGACTGCTTAGTGTCCGTTCTGTGAGCATCTTCTGTTTCTCTGAAAACTTTCTTCTAATGAGCAGAAGAATACAGTAATATCACGCTGGCGACGGCGAAACCAATGAAATACCCGTCCTTGGGATATTCGGACGAGGATCTGAGTTCCACCGCATGGCTCATCGGTGTCTCCATGGTGAGTGAATGTCCCTAGGGAGCCATTCAAAACTTTTATTCGACCACTTCATGTCGGTATGATGCTACTTGGGGAAGACTACTCTGGACTTGGGGAACTTTCCCGTACAGCCTCGAACATTCCCGACTCAGGACCTCTTCCCTGGGAAGCAGAGAATGATTTTTGATCAGAACTCCTTTCGTCTCCTTTCCAGGTTTTATCGACAGTCGTCGTCCTGGCACTCCTGAGCTGCGTTCTCATCTACAAGGAGGCTTCGAATGGTAAGAGAGGATTCTTGAGCATTTGCAACATCCCGACCCGCATCATCCAGAACGCGGCGATGAGCGCGAGAATCGTAAGGCGGGGGAAGCGCGAGATCATCGCGTTCGTCAGGAAACAATCTCCCGAAAATCGGGTCGGGCTCGAGGGGCTTTCCGATGCTCGCCAGCATGCTTCAGTGCAGTCACCCTGAGTCTTTGACGGAAGAACCCCGACAAGGATCAGGGGTATCGTCGTCTGAGGGAAGTGACTCTTGTCGGTGAGGTGCAGTCGGTCTGCGCCGCCGTCAGTTCGCCGGAGCCCAGCAAAGAGATCCTCAAAGGTTGTGCCGCGTCCGACGATCTGCTCCGTGATATCCGACGACGATTCATCGGACAGCTCTGGCGATGATGGAATGATTTCGAGTCTGGGAAGTGATTTGGTGCTCGGCGGGTCAGACTTACCTTTCGCACTGCATCGATCTCGCACCTGTAGAAAGTGATCCTCCGCTGGAAGGTTCGAATCTCTCCCGAGAGCACGGGCTTCGAGCTGCGAGGAATAAGCAGACCGGTCGACAGGCTTGGTCGCAAATTTTAGTGCGCAGTCGACTGTTAGCAAACACGATTGGAGAAACAAACAGACTACTCGACAAGCGAGCTTTCGGGCATGGCAGAAGTCAGAGCAGCGTGAGCTCTTTCGATTGAATCTTCGCTCGGAGTACGTGACCCGGCCGTGCCGCTATCCCTGACCTTTTTTCGATCTCGTATCCAGCGTGATCCCGACTAAGCCGATCAGAGGGGCGATGGGGCACAGCATGCGTCGCGTCGAGGCAGTTCCGTAATTAACCTCGGAAATAAAGCTTCCGATAACGAGAGGAAGACGACGACGGCGACTATGACTTCCGTTTTCGGAGCGCTCCGCTGCCGTTCTGAGCTTTCGGGCTGAAACCCATTTATTGTCCCTGGCTACGGATAGGTGGGTGGCGGGGAGCCGAGGGCTCTGTCCGCAGAGTCGAGTCCCAAGAGTGTACTCCCAACGCATCCGAAAACGGCTCGTGACAATGAAATCGAATCAAGCTCGATGATATTTTTCCCTCTTTGCAGACGACCTGGCAGGTGAAACCTTCGACGACGACTTCAGCCAAACTCGCTCAGCCGCCATGCAGATACTTCTCGATCCAGCCCGATCGTTTCGCCGATTCTACAGACCTCAGGTGAGCGTCCGACCAGCCAAATATGCACAAACGAGGCGGCTCCCGAGAATTCAATCGGGATATCGGATATTGGTCTTCGGTGTCCGAGCTTTCTTCGCGGTGTCGACTTCGTCGAATACTGTCGACCCATATGGAGCCTATACTAAATATCATAAACGAACCGTTCTCCCACTCTGCGTGCCCAGACCGCTGAGACAATTCAAAGACTGCGCCGAAAGCTAATCAAGCCCCCGTTCTCTCTCAGAAACCCGAAGAACGCACTGTTCTCCTCGCGGACAGTGATTGCAACGACAACTCTGGAATCGCTCCTCCAAGGCTCAACAATAACTCTTTACTGCTCCCCTCGTCGCCAGCAAACGTCGTGTAGGAGCGGGAGTCGATCTCGGAATTCTCGAACTCTCGCGGTCAAGGTCTGCGGACGTGTCCGGGGAAGATCCGAATGGCGAAGGAGAAACTCATCAGCTCATAAGTGGACGACGCCAAGCGAAGGGATCCGCACGGGAGTGCGCAAACGAAACGAGTGCGTTCTTCCACCGATGGGGTGGTCTTGCCAACCACTGAAGCGATCGGGCTTCACGGCATCGGTCCTTGCTTCGTGTATTAGGCGAATTCTTGCCGCAATAACGAATAATTCGCGTCATCCCCGTCTCGTCGCCTGTTTCGGCAAGTCGGATGTAAAAGAGGAGCTGATCTATTCGAGAATCCTTCATTGGGGAAGCGCGCAAGGCCTTCGCTAGGTGCTCTCGGTTCTTGTGGACGATCATCATCCACCTATGCATCTGCGGTGATGGACTCAAGCGAGCAATGAATGAGCCCTCAAGATCTGAACTGAGAGAGGGGGATCCATCTCGATGTGGTGTCGTGGAGGCGGTATCTCCATGACTCGGATCTGCCGATTGGGACTAGGTTCCCTCGTTCAGGCTTGTGGAGTTTGGCATTGAGGATCTGTCGAGGGCAGAAGCACCACCGAAGGGAATAAATCGTCTGAGCTATGCGGTGGAGCCACCTTCGATACAGACGAATGCTACGCTGTAGTCCCTCCGGGATATCTGGCTCCACGATGGAATCGGAGCACTTATCATCGTCCGCAGCCACTCGAGTTGATTTGCTTTTGATGCACAGACGACCGCAGGAAGCGATTCTTCCGACTTCCTTTCGAAAGTTTCTTGATCGTTTCCACCTGCGTCGCACAGCTCGTGCGGAGTGCCGGAGGAATTTGCCGAGAAGCAAATAATACTTCCCACTCTCCACACTCGGACAACGAGTTTGACCATCCACAATACGATACCAGGCGTATAACCAATCACCGATCATTGCGCAGGCTCGTCGTGAATTTTTGAAGCTCGAGCCGTTGGTGATGAAAGGGCCGATAAAGCGCTGCGAATCCGACCCCGAATCAATGTCGAGGTCGGATTCACGATCCATACCCGCAAGTCTGATATGTACTTGTTCAGTATTTCACTCCGTATGTAACTCAATCTTGGTCGATCTGCCCTTCCGTCCATTTTCGAGAATCGATCGGAAATCGGTGGGGGAGGGAAAATGCTCGGACCATGAATTCAATCGCACTCTCAATTTCATTTTGAATTCATGTCGGTTTCTGACCGATCGCCATTGGACCCCGTCCGGCAGCTCTCCTCCGATTTTGATCGAGGTCTCGTGAAAGAAAGAGTCAGCCAATCAAGTGTTCGTCATAATCTCCTTCGAATCTATAGGCTCGCGTCCCCGTGTTGACGGATTCATTCGATCATCTGACAATCCCTTCAGCCTCCAGGAAGTCCGATCAGCGCACGAATCGTTTAAGAACCAAAGGGAGTTCTCGAAAAATCTTTCGGGAAGGGAAAACAATGCTTGTGAAAATCGTTCCCGAAGCTAAGGAATTACTCTTGCCCCAACCTTCTTGTGATCTTGCTCCATGTCAGAGAACAAGTTTTCCATTCTCGACTGGAACGATGTGTGTTTTGATGGAAGAATCATTGCATTAGCAGTCCGCTGAAGATGGCAACACTCTGAGTCTCAGAAGCACGACGCACATTTGAAGCGGCTCGCAGTGGTCCTGTCTAAGTGATTGAACTTGCTTCAAGATCAATCAAAATACTTATTCAAACTGGCCATCGATAGAATCCTGAGAATCTCGAATGACTAATCATTTCTCCTGCGAATTTTGAAACTATCTTCAGACAGGCCCTCGCCGACATATGAATACTCTGAGAGTGTGTACATATAAACTAGTCCTGATCGTTTGCCGAGATTTAGGATGAAGGGCGCAGATTTCTCCTCTTGTACGTCCGGGACTTCTCTTACGAGAATAATCGGCACTTTCACTCTCAGAACTTTCCCCTGAAGCCTCTGGATGGAGGATTCGTCATTGATTTTGGATCGCTTGGAATTCTGTGACTGAGAACGGAGTAACGTTCATGCAACCTCTATCGACATCCGGGCATCCATTCTGTCGTTTACTTTGAGCGCATAGCAAGTGTACTCTTCCGGTTCGGGATTCATGCCCCGCGCTCGAGGCATCGAATCGACGTCCTTCCGTCTCGGTTCGTTGTCCTGGAGAAGACACCTGCGAAACTCTTCGAGCCCCCCTGAAATCATGATTGCTCGTACCATCTGTAGATACTATCGACCAAGGAATGAAATGTGCCAGATTCGAAATATTCAAGAGCCCAGCCTATGACCACGAGCCGGAATATCCTGAAATCGCTTACTTGAAGTATTCGGATGTTGGAAATCACGGTCGCATTCTTCGATGAATATATTGTTCTTGTCCTGACCGGCGCTCGATATAAGCAATAAAAATGCGGGCTGCCTTTTTGGAGCGCATCAGAGTCTTCGGATAGAACGAAATCTATTTTCCCTGTTCTATTCGATACCGAGGTGCAATGTTGCCTATTCGAGACTACCACGAAGATATCCTCAATGCCATCGCTCTTCTGGATTAAAGTTTATGCAGTAGGAGTCGGGAAATGGCTTTCCTCAAAAACAGATTCTCGACAAAGATTTTTCCTCCGCGGTTAGAGACTGCGGAGCGGCTGTATTTTTTTCCGTGGCCATCGCACCGGAGGGTTGAATGTTCGTCAGCATCACATATGACGTCAAAGAGTAACAGAAAAGATTTCGGGGAAGATAATTCTTTCCCGCTACTTTAACCTGCTCGATTCGGAATGAGGAGTAACCCAAATAAAACACAGAATTCATTGACGGAAATCCTCGTTTCCGAGCGTCATCTCAACTCCGAGCTGAATCCTAAACTCAATACGAAGGGCCGTGAAGGATGATCCCGCTGCTTACCGCTGAATCCGAGTCAACGGAATTCTGTACCATGGCTCGTGAGGAGCTGACCCGGATATTCTCATCTTATATCCCGACTCGAATCAAGTGTTGTAGTCCGAACACGGACTAATCTTCACGATTTGCCTCTTATGGTGCAGTGCTCAGTGAACTGTGAATCCTCCCCGGTCTGGCAATATGAAACTTGTTCGGCTTGACGAAGCCTTGAAGTGACTTTCTATCCGACAAGTGTGTTGTCTCATTCCCGGCCACTGACCATTGTGAATTCCCTCGCTGACGTCACGAGTTGCCGTGGAGGCGCTTTCAGGACGTGACGTCTTCTGTAGCAACTGCGAAGATTACGAAGATTCTCCGCTCGCGCGCCACAAGCGCCGCTGCTGTCGGTCGGATCGGAAATCTTTCTGACGGGAAGTCTCGGTGTCGGAGGCAGCGTACAGGCTCATCGTCGTCGTCGTCATCTGCTATCGTGAACGGATCATCGGCGAATTTCTGTCAGTAGGGAGTAATTTCGCCAATGACTTTTCGCCGTCAATTGCAGCGCTTCGGAAAGAAAAAAAATCGAGACAGCGTACGCTTCCTCGCAGGACGGAAGCGCTCTCGGCGTCGAGAATTCCAGGGTTGCTACCTAGTTCGAGTTGCTTCTCGATCCTTGATTTCGATCGTTCATGGGAGTGAGCTTACTCCGTGCGTGATCCACGGCATCGATGAATTAATGGGAGACTTTTTCGCGTACCTAGCCGATGGGGTAAGCAGGATCAAGCAGCAACAGCCCGGGAGCCAAAGTCCGTCGAGCGCGTCGAGCTGTAATTCGCATCTTCAGATAACAACGCTCGACGCGTGAATTACGTAACGAATCTTGGATACGCTCCACTCCTTCCAGAATTTCGACAATTGCTCCCAAGAAACCGTAGAACACTGCGCTCGTTTATGGTTCCACCAGACGCTGATAATTATTATCTGATGAAGATTGTTCTAGAAAGTGTTCGAATTGTCTCTCTTTGCTTACTTGGCGGTAGAGCATCCCTGATCGGTCCGACCTTGTAGGTGAAGTTGAGAAGCATCCAAGCAAATCCGGAAACTTCCCTCTCTCCATTGCAATAAAACATCACGTCATTGATCCATAGCACTTGGCTGACCGGGAGGGAGCCGCCGAGACTGCTCGAAAGCTGGTCCTGCCGTTTGGTTGTCACGCGCGTCATGCGTGTCTTCAACGCTTCCCCAGCAGAAAAACTCACCGAGAGCGGACCTCCTGGGCAAGGAACGGAGGGAACGAAGAGCAAAATGAACTCAAAGATCAGGGCTACTGCAGCTCGGATGATATCTACTAATCGAGGGTGATCTCGATGCAAAGAACAGGCCTCAGCTGGTCCAGCTTCATGAATCGGAGCGTGCTGGGCATCTGTGTCTCGGTGATCGATCCTTGTTCTCAACTCCCTTCGGCGGCTGAGGTTGTTCGATGTGGCATCTCAATGGGAAACAAGTGATGAGAGTTCTTTCTTGTCGATCGTCTTCATCGAGATTAGGTTGCACCTAATCAAAGGCGATAGGTGGTCTATCTCTAGATATCGCTACAGAGATTATCGTGCCGTAGACGATAGCGAGCGGAGTATCGTACGAGTGAGATTCTATCGCAGGCAACGACAGCACGATTACGTCTCGGGGAATATTATTACGCTTTCGCTGAATTTCCGAAATTCCCCCCTGGATGAATAGGAGGCCGGCGGTCTCGAAACCCGTCACAGCCGAGCTCTCTGCTATCGTTATGGTTCCGCGATGACGTAAGCGAGGACCGTCTGATTATTCAACGGTCGACAGGAATCCGATCGAGAGTCATGTGATGCTCGGAATGAGGATGAAGTAGACACAAAGTTTCACGGTGAAATATTAGTTCGACAGCCCTCAGGAAGCGAAAATTCGGGTCAGCGACTGCGATATCGCGCCTGGGACCGCCGATTGGACTTCCGCCCATGCGGCAAACAGAAAAGTAAACCCGCCACCGTACTCTTCTCCTCGACGCTACGTAGATATAAAATAGGGTGTAAACCCGTTTGCAGACTACACTTCGATCGGTCTTCGGCGTTCCTTCCTCCGATTTCGTCATTCATCGGACGGATCCACAAAACAGGCTCTCGAGGAAGCCCGGACGGAAAGTCCCTTAAAGTTTTTCCGTCGGTGTCTCGGAGCACCGTCATCGATGGAACCCCCTCGGTCCGGAGTCGCCGTTCCGCATCGACTTTCCCGTGCCATTACTCTGCGGTAAAACCCATGATTCAGGCCCAGAGAACGATCAATGCTCGGCGTCGGGACGGGCCGAAACATGGTCAAGATTTCATGGGAAAGCGTCAGCGAGTTATGCATAACGACTCTTCATTATATTTTTTTTTCTGAAACATCTGAGCATCCGGTGCGATCTCTCACACATCTGCCTGGAAGCCGGGTGGCCAGCATCCATCAGATGACGTTGCGTGTTGTCGCCCGAAGATTAGACCGGCTAACTCAATCAGTTCCTTTCTGTTCTCATTCGCGAATCAGTAATTTTGAGAATTCTGTTCGAAAGATGTTTACCGCTTCGCGATATGACTCTCGGTTCGGCTTGCTCATTTTATGTTGCTCAACAGGATATCAGGCGAGAGAGCCTTGGAACGGTCGCAATCGACATATTGATGTAGCGCTGCCGAATCTTTATTCGAATGGCGTACCGCACGATTACGGGCGCGCGAGAGGATCCTTAGAGAGTCTTCGTCGTCGTCATTCCGAATTGAAGTGAACGTCGGGGCATCTACTTCGCCGATATTCTCGCGGGAAGCAGTCCGCCACCGATACTACCTATTCTCGACCGCCCGAGAGCCCTGCTACGCTCGACGAGTTGTTGACGCTTCTGATTTATCCAATCGACCATCTGTCCCGTGTCGATTAGTGAGGTGTGACATGTTCGGTCGCTTTGATTTGTATGCATGCTCAGATCAGAATTGTACGTCACGGCACCCCTCAGCTGACGCTCTCTCACAGCTGATTTTGTTTATTATTCTCTTTATCATAACTGATCGCCTTAGCTTGCGAATCGAGACAATAATGGTGATTAGCGACCGCCTCGCAGACCGATCGGCACGATCTGGTCTGGTGGCTAAGGGAAGAGCAGGGATTTTCGTACGAAAATAGATACAACTCTTTATTCCAATAGCCGAATCGGATCTTGCGGTAGACCGATTCCCAAGCCCCCGCTCGAATTCTCGACTACAATCATCGCATGACAAGGCAATTGAATAGTGCTGCACCAAACTTCTAGTTCACGTCCGTATTTTTTCCCCCAAAAAAAAGAAACCGGTCTCATCACCTCAACATTCATTTAATCTCGACCGAGCGTATCGGCCATAGAAACAGCCTAAATCATGGATATTTGAAACAGCGGATTTTTTTGCACTGTGCGCGATATGGTAAGCCGCTCAGGTTTCCCTCTAGCCGGTCACCGGTGCAGCGGCTCATTCATGCCGGCTCTGTTTGGAAAGTTTCTGCTGTTGCGGCGCGGCAAATAGAATTTCATTCTCTGTCCGACGAGCCTCAGCGCTCGAATTTTTATACGATCAAAAAAGTCTGTCTGTCGCAGCTTTGATTTCCTGGACCGATCGTATAGCGAGTAGACGGCGCTTCGTCTTCGACACCTCTCCGAGAAGACGTTCGATCTTAGCGGAGAACATTCGGACCTTCCACCATATGAAGATCATCTCCGATCGAGGCGACTTTCGCAGGTAGATGATCGCAATGACATGATCGTGAATAAAATAATGGTCTCGGGGGCAACAAGTCACGATTCGTTTTATAAACTCTATGGATGTACTTATCGTGAAGTATGTGAATGAATAAATTATCTTATGCATAGGATAAGAACAGGTAACTTTCAGCTAGCGAATCAACTAGCTAGCTAAAGCTAGACCGACGATCGTCATCGAGTTGCTCACCGCGAGTTTCTCTGAATAGTGTTCGCAGGATATTCACTGAGATACTTCAACTTCTTCTTGATAGCGGGCCGACAGGTAATCGGCCGAATCGGCCAATTGATGGAGTATCGTATGCAGGCCTTGTAGGTGAACGCGGAACGCTGTCGCGAGTTGCGTGCTCTGTTCCGGTGCGTCGGTATAGTCGGACACCGAATCGTTGTCGGTTTCGAGGTCGGATGCTGTCGAGCCGAGGGATCCGTTGCTCGGTTGTCGCTTGTGAGTCGAGCGCGTGCTCACGGACGGCACTCGGAGGGCCGAGTTGAAAGTCGGCGACGTAAGAAGGTGGAGACCATTGCCCAGATCGGGTCCCCACAACAACTCGTTCTTGACGTCGTTCAACACCGTGAAAAACGCGTGCAGATCTTCGACCTGCATATTCGGAGGGGGGGACACTCGTCCTCCGACATCCATATCCTTAAGACGACTAGGAACAAGCACCGTTGAGTCCATATTGTTCACAGCCTTCACGAAACGATCCATCGCGTTGAGGATCGATTGTTGCGAGCAGTCAATGTCAGAGGTCACAGCGTTGTCGTTGCTCCGGCTGGTTCGTCGACTCGGCTGGCGCTGCGAGGGAACTTCAAGGCTTCGTTGGTACATCGTATTTCGGAGACTTTCGAACAAGTGTATTTTCTTGCTGGAATCGTTCGCGCTCGCCGGAGCTGCCGTCGATTGTGGAGCGGACTGTTGTTGCATTCCGGCATACGAGCTGCGGCGAAACATTTCTGTGACGGTCTTTCCACTTCTCTCAGATCTGCAAGGGTAAGGAACGCTACGTCAAGAGGATGCTGTTTTCAGTCGGATTGTCAACATCCGGAGACCGTTTTCGAAACACAACTTGGCACTCGTCAAAGGAACTGGCCCGGCGAAGCTGCGATCATACACCGTCACCACGATCTTGCCAGGGGTTTCAATTGCGCGATTAGAACACTATCTGTCCTGTACGCTGTCAGAGGATCCTGTTCTGGTTCCACCACGAGTTGGCAAATGTATGGAGCGCGCCGGCCAGCGGCGAGACGCCGGTAAGCGAGATAGTCCACGGACACTTGTCTCCTCGATGCCACGAGAAGATAATCTCGCGAGTCGGATGCTCCATCGATCAGGAACGAATACGATTCGGAGCCCGGTGCGCTCCGTGATCGATTTTGCTAATAGAGTCACTCGATCAGGAAGTTTAATATCGCGGAAGAAGGAAACGTAGTCCTGTCAGGTTCGGCGAATCCAATCGTGATTGCACTCGCTCCGTCCAACTCACCTAAGAGGAGATAGGAGATCGAAACAACCAATCGAGTTCAGGGCCGCAGGAGCCAGGGCGAAAATTAGCAGTTAGGCTGTCCCGGTTCGGGGAAAACGTGAGGTCGCTGAAGAGTTCGCGGCGCGTACTGTACTTTCCGAAACGCAGGAGCTCGGCTATGTAGCTGAGAGTTTGTAGAAAGCGCGGGTATCGTCCGAGCTCGGGAGAGTGTTTTTCACACGGACGTACAGACTAATCGTCAAGCTAGTCAGAGCGCTTACGCTTACTCGCCCGCTATTGGCCGCCGGCCTGCTTGCCCGTCTCTGTGCCACGCACCACTTGTGAGAGGGTTATACATCGCGCGATTCTAAGTTCTCGGTCCGCTACGAATGGACGCCTTAGGCAGCCCTTGCCATCGGTGAACTCGAAGCGTCGATCGCCTAGCGGCTCGCGCGATGCATCTCCAGTCGCGCTCCTCAGCGCTGATAACGTCGCGGACCGCCTAACTGTCGAGCGTTGTAATTCGGCGTCCACATACTATATTTAGAATCGACAGAATGGGATCTCAAAAGATTTTCCTCTATCTATCAGTTCCTGTTTCCATACATCCCTGAGGATGACCAACATTGAACTAGAATGCGCTATCTAGAGGTTAGCTCTATCAGCTTATAGCAACCAGCCGACTGACCTGTTCTATGGGTGATCGCTGATCGCCTAGCAGATCCAGAGACAAGAACACGACGACTCAATGGTCTCGAATGCAGATACAGACACGTACTGGAATCCTGTGGATAGCTTTTTTGACCAACCGATCAGCCTGCCTTCTGCTGCTGCTCCTGCTGCTGTGACCGAAGGAGCATTCGCTACTTAGGCAGCCGCCGTTGGGTGTGGAGACGGGTTCCGGAGCGAAAGGTATGCTGAGCGAGATTCGAAGTGCCTCCCGGCGCTTGAGCTGGCGCGCGCGACCCAGAGACAGGTAGACTAGCGGTAAAGTAGGTTACTCGTTCGGAAGGCATGTTCGGATTGGGTAACTCATCGGAAGAGTTGAGCCCCATTCCACCGGCACCTGCTCCGAAGGGGCAACGCAAACGATTGCCTTCCAAGCGGCCGCGTTTCCCTGCACTTACACGAATCAGGGCTTCCGATGATTCAATGCGCCCCCAGAAGATTCAATCCTGACGCTTCGCTCGGGGAATTCCTCCGAGACTTCCTTCTCGATATATAGGTGCTCGGGCCACGAGTCAAATCTCGGAATCCATTGCGTGTCTGTACCTCGTCATGTGTGTCATGTTTATCATATCGTAGTCGTTCCAGAAACGCTTGGGCGATCTCAGCCAGAGAAAATCCACAGCCACTCGGCCTAAAGAGAGTCGACTAAGTCTCGCGATCCGACTACGGATGGTCGGGGTCTCACTCTGGAAAGTGGCCCCCCCTTCCGAGAGATTAAATGGAGCAAATTTTTTTATGGCTACAATGCTACTCGAGCTCCGGTGAAATGACGAGTGCCTGATGGTGACGCGCGACTCGAGAATAACTCAAAGTGATCCAAAGTGATGCTCCAGATATTGTTTCGACATTTCACAGGCAGCTCCCTGGCTGATTATTTCCCCGAGTCCAGGCGAAGGTTTCTCGGGTAATGTTTCACGATCCCTTCTCCGTACCTCGAGCTCCTCTCTCCCGTCCCCACTCAACCGTCGATATCACCCTGTACGAGTGAATATTCCTCGTCATTTGTGAATGTCTCCGACCAACCCAAGAATACAGCTAGTTAGGAACGAGCCCGACTACCACAGCTGATGAACGAGGAATTCCTCTGGAACTAACAGGCTGAGCTATCGTTGTATGGGTTCATTGGTGTACGCGGTAGCTCGTTCCAGAGCGTAACGGTGGCACCTGCCAGACACGGCACCAGGCGAGCAATAAGCGAAAGCCCCGCGGAACTTTTCGTTTCGGTCGGGCAGCATATCATTGTCTCATACATCACCGCTGCGACACTCTGTTACGCATCGGTTTCGAAGAACAGTCGTCACCGAGGGCATAAACCCTTCCCGGACCTGATAGAAACGCGAAGATTCTCTGACGCATAATCTCCATTTTTCCAGTTATCATGAGCCTATCACGAGATCGCAGGGATGGAAGAGACATGATTCGAGCGGGACAGCATACGAGCGTCCAATATTTTGCATCCCATGAGACTCATTTCAGGATGAGCTAGCCATCTGGGCTCGGACTCTTATTTCATCAGGAAGTGACTCGAGAGCGGTACATTCCATTCTCATTATTTTTTATTTTCGTTCAATCTCCCACTAGCGATTCACGGGAACATCCGGCCTGCATGATTGTCTCTCCGACCTGTATTATCATCGCAATAGGATTCCGAGTCGGATTATCGCCACCCGCGCCGCAGACGTGCGCTAGCTGCACGAGCTCTCAAACTGTGCTTGGTATCAAGTTCAAACGAAACCGATCAGAAATCAGGACTCTTTTCGAGAGGTGACGATCAGAGTTCAGTGAGCCCTCCGCAAAGTTTATGATTTCCCATAGATCGGAAAATAAGCTTGAAGCTGCCACCTCTGAATGGGAGGAGAAAGTGGGGGAACGTGTGGGAGGATGTTCCTCTCATGCCTCAAACGAGGCTGTTTCACCCATGTTCTATCCAAGTTCTGGATCTTCCGGCGCTGCTCTCTCCGTTTGAGCGAATCGACCAAGTGAAAAACCGGCGATCCCACATGCTAGCGCTGATCTGGCAGAGCAGCGCTATCGAGAGACGGAAATAGCTCCGACCAAAGCTCGAGCGAGACCCCGCCAACGATCACCTGTTATTGAGATCTGTCAGGGTAGGAGCCCACCGAAGAGCTCGGGATATCTGTTGGTTTTCCTAGCTCCAGGCATGTGATGCTCTCCGGAAATCGATTCTCTTCTCGCGGAATAGTTGCATCGATTCCTCCACGAGTCCCTCCGGCGAACGATTCTCGAGCCAGACGGGGAGAAACGAATGGGGACCTTGAACCTTACTCATTTTTTTTTCACACAATGAGCTTCTCAGAGTGTGAGGCTCATGACGGTATGGAACTTTGACTATTTCTCGGAGGCAGTACGGGATCTTCACGAGCTATCGGCAGAGCTAGCGGACGGCGAGAAGCGTGGGATTCCCTGCTCCGAATCAAGACCTCGAAGGTTCCTAAAAGCCAAGGTTTATTCTGGGCTCCACCCCACTCGGTAAGCTAATAGCTAAATATATAACGTTAATATTCCTCGATGTGCGTTTCAAGAATTTGCTTACCCACATGCCTATATGTACCTAGATTTGAGGAATGTCTCCTTCATTTACAATGTCTGTGGACCTGAACGAGAGCAGATGATTTCTACAATGAGCGACGGGAACAGCCTGATCTGACGGTGATTCCATCGGCGTCCATGAGCAAAATATATGTACATTGATGTTGGGATTGAGGAAGGTCCCATAGCGTGAATTATGCGGCTGTCGGTCTGACGAGGATATTGAACTAAATTGCATCCGCTAATCGTTGGCATTAATTGAGTCGGTTTTCGATGATCTCCGACGCCAGACGTGGAAGACGAGTCCGTCCTTTTTCCTTTTCAGAGCCGTAGACTCCATCGGCGTACTTGTCGAGGGATTCATAGAGACTTGCTGACCAGTTTCTCACAGTCCCTCAAATACGGAACCAGCAGAAGAGGACCGGAACGAAAGCTCCGATCGCACCGATGACTGGCAGCAGAGACATCAGTTCTTCCAGCCCGTAAGCCGGATCTGCCGGTGGGGGGGTCGCATAGGTTTTGTCCGTCGATTCCTCGAGAGGAGTGAAAACCGGTTTCACGGTCTCGCCCTCGATTGCGGTCTGCACGGCAACGGGAACAGGCATGGGCATCGGTCCGATGAGCTCATGTACACCTTATTATAAGGGCGAAAGAACGTAAGACACAGATATACCCTTCAGAATCCACACCCGCCTCATTTGTGCATTCTTCGTTTAGATTGTCCGTTCAAATCTCTAGAGAGATTCTGCGATATTGACTCACTATCGGGGCCACCTCTAGCGATGACGACCGCGTTGATCTTGGGATTGTCCGATTCTCCTTTCGCGAATTCCACCCGGATTTCTCCGGTATGGGTGGATTGCTGACCAATGACGAAAAGCTGTGAGTCCGCACGGATTTGAGAAATGGGCAAGAATATTAGGGCGAAGCTTCCACTGAGTACCATGTCAGGCCTCGGAGATTATCCGAATGGCATATGATCAATATGTGTACAGACACGAATATAATTGATACATATGTATATATTCGAACCACTCACCATGTTCGACTTGATTTTGAAAGGCACCACCACGTCAAGAGCCACACCCCGGCCTACCCTAGCGAATATATCGAGATTTGGCACCACGATGTGCTCATGATTCAGAACAACATCGAAAATCTTGAATCGGGGAAAATCCAGTGATTAGAACAAACGTCAGTTTTCCTCCACAGTAAACGTGCGATAAATCCCATCAATAGCCAATGCCTTACCTTTTGTCCTGGAGCATCGAAGTAGACCTCACAAAACTTCAGGATCATCACATAATTCCCATCGCTCGACACCGGTATGTCGTATCCGAAGGTCGATGTGTGATACCTACGAGGATTCACAGGAGCATCGTAATCGTGATATCCTTTGCTCCAGTCCCCGTTCAGGAGTTCTGGCGAAAGCTAGACTACTCACCTTTCGGTCTGATAGAGTATTTGGTCGTTAAGATGTGATCTGGCTATCAATAAAGTGCGTCCGAATTCACTGGCGGTTCCACAATTACTTTTACCGAAAAGCGGATCCCTTTCGTAGCGAATACCATGTATATCCGTATGAGTGTCCCCTCCTGCATTTATGGCGTAGATCACCTGCAAGTCGAAAAATCGGTTTCTGAGTATCTGGGTCGGCAACACCATCGTCGATTGGAAGGCTGTATCTTGGGGTGTTGCATTGATAATCGCCCGCTGTGCAGATCACGAAAAACTCTTCATTGAATTGGAGACATTAACTTGAAGCACGAATCGTGGACGCACAAATCTCCCATGGAAGCAGAGTCCGAATGGACATCGAATGTCGGCTACGGACTGGAGCACCGATTCTCACCTCGGGAGCCTGACTCTCAGAGCTTGCGCCCTGAGGGGGCACCGCATCGGCACCGCGACAAGTCGTGAGCACGCAGGCGACTGTCAAGATCCGCAACATCTCTCGAAGAAGATCTGGACAGTCAGAAATCCGCTCGCGGGTTCTGTCCCTGACCCGTCAAACCATGGAAGCGGTCATGAAAAGTGTGTGGGGACTGGGGACTCTCGCCTCGTCTCCGAGCCCACAGAGCCACCCCATATGAGGCTCCGGGAACGAGAGAGAGATCCCTCGAATCGAATCGTGAGGACGATCGTTTCGACGCTCTGCCTCCGGTGAGCTGAATACAGATTCTTTCGGCGATTGTGACTGCCTGACTCGCACAGAAAGTGAGTTCAGAAGGCCCGCACCCGATGAGGCCAGGGCATCGAGCTGAGTCAAAGCCTCGGTGAGAGACAGCGGTTCAAATTTGCCCGCGCGGAGGTTTCTTTTTCGGAATTGAGCCGGGAGCGGATCTGCGAAAGCGGACGACGTCGAAACCACTCGTCGTCGACGACGACGACGAGAAGTGTCGGACGTCAGTGGAGAGCAGCGAATGACGGTCTGACCGTAGCAAGTATCGAGTCCCGCCAACTGCGAAACGTTAGGAGCCGCCGAAGGGGCGTTTTCCACTGAGCTGCGAACAACGGTTTCCCTATTGAATCAGCATCCCTCAGGAACTTCCCCGTAGAGCTATTAGCCGTGCTTGCTTGAGCCTGAAAAAGAGGGTCTGGTCGCGCCTAGGGGCGAATCCTCGACAGTTCCTTACGGTGAGTCGACCTGAGCCTTCTGTGCATTTGTAGAGCCGATCCGAGTGCGGAGTCTTTCTGCTCGGACCTGCCAACTGCGAATCGCGGTCTGCGCCACGGGTCTCTCGGTGACAGCCGTGAATTTTCTCTAGAAGAGCTAGACTTCGAACCGCAGAGTCCTCCCTCTCGCTACAATGATGCAGTCTCGCAATGGCTCGGGGGAACTCATATCGCGACAGACTTCAACCCCAAGACTTTACTCATGGGACCTCCATTGCCACCGACGTAGCAGAACTGTTTCGATCCCCACCGATAAGAGTGAGCTGTAAACTGGCTACGGACTGGGGATAGGCCTCAGGAGTCGGGAGTGCGCTATGCTCATCGCGAATTCTAATATCAGCAACAAGTGCCGGAGCGAGTCTACATACAGAAAGTAGACAGCTGACTAGAATCGGAAAATGGCTCCACGCGGGTCAGATACCTGCAGGATCTTCAAATATATGGATATGAGTCATGACACGAAGCGAGAACCCTACCGGATTCGATCCTCGCGCGACAGGTCCCGATGTGATGGAGTCCAAGATACTCAGTGGGATTCCGAAACCGTTTTCGACATTTCCCCACATCCTAATGATGGCTAAAAGGGTTTCTGACTATCTCCCGATCCTAACGGAAATATTGCTCGCTTTTCAGGAGCACGTTTACGGCCACTGATTGCCGCTGGGTGAGTGTTATTTGAAGCTTTCCCGCTGTCCCGAACCCCGAAGCTCGAGCTATATCGTGAGCTGCCTCGAATGTACGCTCCTTGAATGTACGCTTTTGAAAGTATCTGAGAGTCGACATCTGGAATTTCAGCGAGAAACGCATAGAAGATCCATTGTGAGAGGACCGGAGTAATCACGAAAACGAGAGAAAATGACGGACGCGAAGTATTTCACCACGACTAAAAAGGGGGAGATCTTCGAACTCAAAAGTGAACTGAATTCGGAGAAGAAGGAAAAGAAGCGAGAAGCCGTTAAGAAGGTTATCGCCTCCATGACCGTCGGCAAGGATGTGTCAGCGTTGTTTCCTGACGTGGTGAATTGCATGCAGACGGATAATCTCGAATTGAAGAAATTGGTCTACCTCTACTTGATGAACTATGCCAAATCGCAGCCGGACATGGCTATAATGGCTGTGAACACATTCGTAAAGGATTGCGAGGATCCCAATCCCCTAATCAGGGCGTTGGCGGTGCGCACGATGGGATGCATTCGAGTGGACAAGATCACCGAATATCTTTGCGAACCTCTGCGCAAATGCCTCAAGGACGAGGATCCGTACGTGCGGAAAACGGCGGCTGTTTGCGTGGCCAAGTTGCACGACATCAGCTCTTCCCTCGTGGAAGATAGGGGATTTCTGGATTCCTTAAAAGAGCTGCTGTCCGATTCTAATCCAATGGTCGTCGCGAACGCCGTCGCGGCACTGTCGGAGATCGCTGGCGATTCGAATTCAGCCATGGCGCCTCAGTCCATCAACAAACTCCTTACAGCGTTGAACGAATGCAGCGAGTGGGGTCAAGTCTTCATACTCGACGCTTTGTCTTCTTATACGCCTAGAGACGACCGTGAAGCCCAGTCTATCTGTGAGCGAGTGACACCACGGCTGGCGCACGCCAATGCCGCGGTGGTTCTCAGTGCAGTCCGAGTACTCATGAAGCTCATGGAGGCTGTCGCCGCGAGTCCCGATGGTCAAGATGCTGTTGCGTCGCTTACGAGGAAATTGGCCCCACCACTGGTGACGCTTCTCAGTTCTGAACCAGAAGTGCAATATGTCGCTCTTCGTAACATTAATCTCATCGTTCAGAAACGCCCAGACATCCTCAAGGTTCGTACTGGTTTGCGGACGCGGTACACTTGATTGTCTTACCGAAAAGTCGGAATATTCGTTGACTCGTAAAAATATTCCCCCATTTGACTGACTGGCAAGAAGAAACAATCATGGATTAGGTGGTGAACAGCGAGCTTCAGGGCGTCTGTCCCCTGGGATACGTTGTGGAGTGTCCAGCTCAGTTCCTCTGTCTCGATCTTACAGAACGAAATGAAAGTCTTCTTCGTGAAGTACAACGACCCTATTTACGTAAAGCTCGAAAAACTTGATATCATGATCCGTTTGGCAAATCAGTCGAACATTGGACAAGTTCTCAGTGAGCTGAAAGAGTACGCAACCGAAGTCGATGTGGACTTCGTGCGCAAGTCTGTTCGCGCCATCGGACGCTGCGCTATAAAGGTAGGCCCGATTTGAATGACAGGGAGTTCGACGTGCCGGTGAGAGGAGCTATTTCACTGACATCTTGATTCCTTCGGAAAAGGTGGAGCCCTCTGCCGAGAAATGTGTTGCCACTCTACTCGACCTGATCCAGACCAAAGTCAACTATGTGGTTCAGGAGGCGATTGTGGTCATCAAAGACATTTTCCGAAAATATCCAAACAAATACGAGAGTATCATCTCCACTCTCTGCGAGAACTTGGACACACTAGATGAACCCGAAGCTCGCGCTTCCATGATTTGGATTATCGGTAAGTGAGTTGTCGTCTTGTCGAAATCTATTCTCTAAATTCTATCTCTCCCACAATTCTTCTGTGTGGGTTTATCCGACCTCTCCTCTGAACGAATTTTTCGTTGGTACCCAGGCGAATACGCCGAGCGCATCGACAACGCAGATGAGTTGCTCGAGTCATTCCTCGAAGGATTCCACGACGAGAACACCGCCGTTCAACTTCAACTACTGACGGCGATCGTGAAACTTTTCCTCAAGAGACCAACTGAGACCCAGGAATTGGTTCAACAAGTGAGTCCTCCTTGCACCACCGATTCGCCGCGATCGTCCCGAGAGAATCGTCCGTGATGACTGATGACCATGACGACCTCACCCACTTTCTATTGCTCGCAGGTTCTGTCCCTCGCAACCCAGGACTCGGATAACCCCGACCTCCGGGACCGAGGTTTTATCTACTGGCGTCTCTTATCAACGGATCCCGCAGCAGCCAAAGAGGTCGTTTTGGCCGAGAAGCCTCTTATTTCTGAAGAAACCGATCTCCTGGAACCAACTCTACTCGACGAACTCATTTGTCACATTGGATCCTTGGCATCCGTTTACCATAAACCACCGTCGGCCTTCGTCGAAGGTGCGAAGACCCAACTGGCGCATGCTAAGGGAATAACGTCGTCCGGAAGCTCAGCAGCAACATCCACATCCGCATCAGCAGTTCTACCCTCAGCGGCACCGGCTGTGATCCCATCAGCTGATTCGCTCATCGGTGACCTCCTCTCGATCGATCTAGGAGGTGGATTCAACCCACCACAAGTGGCACCCGCAGTCGGCGGGGGCTTAGGTGATGTGCTAGGTGGCGGCTTGGATTCGCTTCTGGGCGATGTAGGCGGAGCTCCCATCAGCTCTGCGGCGATTCCTCCAGCTGCTGCCGCGGCAGGCAACAATACGGCCGGACTTCTTGGCGACATTTTCGGGGTGACTCCTACCTCTGCATTCCACACGCTTCCGAAACAGACGTGGCTCGAGGCTACTAGAGGCAAAGGTTTGGAAGTCACCGGCACTTTCGCTCGTCGCAACGGTCAGCTATTCATGGACATGACGCTCTCCAACAAGGCCATGGGAGCCATGAGCGGTTTTGCTGTTCAGTTCAACAAGAACAGTTTCGGAATAATTCCAGCGCAGCCTCTCAACGTACCGCTGCCTCTACAGCCGTCGTACCCTCAGGATATTTCACTTCCGTTGACTGTCGGCGGTCCCGTACAGAAAATGACCCCGCTCACTAATATCCAAGTGGCCATTAAGAACAACGTAGACGTGCTGTACTTCTCGTGTCTCGCGCCCATGCACGCGCTCGCTGTGGAAGATGGACAAATGGACAAGAAGGTGTTCCTCGCCACCTGGAAGGACATTCCCCCGGATAACGAATTACAGTTCGAAGTAAACAACAACACGGGTCTTTCATCCGATCAAATTTCTGCGAAGTTGCAGCAGAACAATATGTTCACCATCGCTAAGCGGAGCGTCGACGGACAGGATATGCTCTACCTTTCGCTCAAGCTGGTTAACGGCATTTGGGTGCTGGCAGAGCTCAAAATCCAGCCCACGCAGCCTGTCATCAAGCTGTCGGTCAAGTGCCGCGCGCCTGAAGTGAGCGCAGGTGTACACCAGATCATCGAAGAGATCCTCCGCAACTGAAGCCATGGTCAATTGTGTACCCAAGCGATTTCAGATTGGAATGCATAAACGGCGGTCACTTGGAAATAGTTCAGAACAGTAGTGCACTTTGGAGACTCAACTTATCGAGCGCGGGGAGTCCTCTCTACAATAATGTCATGTTATCAGCAACAGGCTACATCGAAGTTCCAGCGACGCGCACAATACGCGGCTTGCGATATTACCACCAGGCTTGCTGGAACCGAAGGGTTTCGACTCTGACCCGTGGGAGTGTCAGGCGGAGATTACTACCGAGCGACAACCCGGATTGGAACATGCTCCAGGTCACGACAGGCTGCTTGAAAAAAATTGACGAATCTTGAAGCTCATTAGCATACTAGGGCAGTTTTCCCGGAATATGCGGCTTCCCGGGAGATGCCGAGCGTAGGGAATTCCGTTTCGACCACCTCCAGTTCAACGATTCACCAGGATTCAATTGAATGATTCCCCAAAGTCAGTTGCTTTCGCTAGATATCCGCAGATTAGAAGATTGGATAGACGTATCGATAGAAATAGAGAGAGAGCTGAAGGATAGCAGTTCATGCCTCGAGCTGAGGATGGGTTATTCGACGAGGAGGACAGAGTCTCTTCCAGCGAGAATTTTTGAGTTCGACTCCCGAGGCATTTCGATCTCGCGTGGCGGTATTTGAGTGGAATGTTATTTATAGAAATCGAATTTGGTCCGAGAGGTGATCTCTGACTGTGTGCCTCGCTACGAGTCAGTTTTTATCTTTTCTATCATCATCCGAGCACAAAACAGGGACTAATTCGATCGCTGGCAGTCTGTTGCCCTGACGCGGGCTCGCGAAACGGCGCCGACAGACTGAGGAAGTTTTATGTCGAAATTGCATTCGAGAGCGATGTTTGGACGTCGTCGTCTACTGTTCCCGGAGGGAGTTAGGCTCTCCGCTAGGAACGAGCCTGACGGGATCCTTTATCATGGCCGCTAGCAGTCGTGAATATTTGTTCAGATCGACGAGAGGTGCGGACAATATTTAAGTTATCGAGAAAGAAATTATCTTCTTTTCATAGAGACCTTCTCCAGAGGACACCAGAGCGCTATCGAAGCGGTTCACAGTACGTTTAGGTAGCGATTACTGGAAATCGAGAGAATAAAAATTTCGTCAGATTTCCTCGAAGCAAGGACTGATTGAATTCGGTTATTACGACGACAGCGACCATCTCGACAAACAGTATCGTCGATCAGGATGGACCGATATTTCTCTCCCTCGACGAGCTTTCCGGACGGGACCGAACTTTCCCAGACGCGCCTGGTGCCTGGTCCGATCGATTGCGGAGCGCGAGCGAATTTCGTCGCGCCGTTCCTGATCGGGAGCGCACTCCGCCTCCGCGAAAACGGTGCTGACCTGCTTCGAGACCGCCGCGCGTAGAAGGAGGCTCCGTCGAATCTTGGTTGCGCACTCCAATTCGGTCTTATGTGATGTCAGAACGGGTGGTTCGAAAAAGCGGCATATCGTATCGAGGAAGCGACGGCGCACGACATACGACCCGAGGACGTGATATCGATTGGATCAGATCAAAACCTACGCAAAATGTAATCGTTCCCAAGAGACCTCGACAGTCTGCAGATCTTTTCAAAAACACTGAAGTTTGCATGGGTTCAGCTCCGACTTCAAAACGCATGTCCGGTGTCTTCTCGGATGGACTCTTCGTGTCGAGCCGGTGCCTTCTCCGTCCATTAGAGATGTTTACATTTTTAGCTGACGTATTTTGAAGCGCGAGCATTCGGCGCTCAGAGGATTCTAATTGCCCTGCTGTGACAACCTTCTGGCAAAGCTTACCTCTCGCGAGGCACAACTCGGATTTCATCAATTTCATATTTTGAGAACTTCCCCGTCGATGTTCAGGGCGGTCTATCTCGAAACTACAGAACTCGCTGTGATTCCGATTCATTCCCTGCTCCTCGTAAATCTCGCGTGAGTGACTCGATTCGCCCAGACTGATATTTTTCCATGTGTGTCCCCGGTCTCTTATCGATGATCGCCCATGATGGGAGATGACTCGGGAGCTCTCGTAATTCATTTGAGTCGATTCCGAAAATACTTTTTTTCGGCGGGGCGAGCCGTGGAGACGCCACCAATCGTCGCTTCTACTCCGCATGAAAAGTTTCGAACCTCGAAGTGTAGAGCCTCCGTAGATGTTCTCGCTCGCTCTGAGCTCTCGTAAGAGCCCGAGCAAGGAGAACTTACCGAGGAGCTCAGCCGATCAGATTCGGAGTCGATAGCTCCGCTTAGGAGTCTTCGTATGACAGAACCCGTGTCACCTGTAAGCAAGCTCCCGCCAATTCGATCGATGTCCTTATGATGCTGTGAAAAAATTGCAGGAGAAAGCCATGTCATTCACAACTATAGCTGAGCGTAGCACGCTACTGCACGACGTATTTGTGAAGAACCCGACTCAACCGGAGCGAGTTCAGGTCGATCTTGATCTCGGCGACGAAGTTCTAGACCCGATCACATTCATCTCTTTCTGTCCGTATGAATGGCAGTCGATGCTGATGGCGATCGCCACGCCGACTGATATCCACGTTTACAAGGTACCGTGATACAGGAATTGTTCGACGCTGCCTACGCGTCCCGTGCCTTGATCGGAGTCGGTGTAACCCGTGAGCTCAAGATTTTATTTCCAACCACCAGGTGCCGATAAATGACGACATACTAGAAGGATCTTCTGAAAATGGATCCCTGGCCTGCACTCGTTTGACCAGTTTCCACACCGAGACAAAGGTTGTCTCTCTCAGCTGGAACACCGAGACCTCTGTAAACCCTCCGGTGAAGGTCTGTTTCGCCGTCTGGAGACTCGCATCAGACGGGTGACTAGGCGGATAACTAAGAATGGCAATTCAATGACTCGGATAATTATCATTCAGGTAGGGATTTTCGTCGCTCTCGAGGCCGGGGGAGTGGCTCATTGTACTTGGGCGGACGATACGGCGACAGCTCTGGTGAAGAAACTCCCGAGACATAGAGGTATTGTCAATTCAGTCGATGTCGAACCCTTGGTCGGTCAGAGTTGGGCTTCCGTGGGTAATGACAACCTGCTCAACGTCTACAACGAGAAAGGCGAAGTTCGTGCTCAGCGGATGCTCCGAACGGCCGGAAAACTCGTCAGGTGAGAGCTTGAGCTCTTTCTCCTCGATACAGTATGCGGTGAACGGATTCCGAGGTGGCAAATCTTGAATCGTATTTTTTCAGATTCCTCGAAAATGAAATCATGGTCGTCGAGTTGAATGGAACGATACGCTTCTACGACACTCTCAGTGTGAGACCTCTGAGGACTGCATTTTACCGCGCTCCGCTACCAGTCAAGTCGGATTGTACAAACGTAAGTCTCTCCGTTCCGTAGGTCTGTATCAGACTGCTGCTCCCCATATCTCTGAATTCTCGTCTGCCTCAAGAGCCCCTTTGAGGAGGAATAGATCGGGTTGCGCGTCGTTTGATGAACGATGGCTCATTATTCGAGACAAGAATTTAGGGAAGAAATAACCGTGATTTTCAGGGCAAATTCGCTTGTGTCGATGCCAGAGGTTCGATAAAAATGCATCTTCATTCGGACAAACCACCCTTGGAATTCGCCGGCGGGAATCTCTGTACAGCCATAGCGTTGTCTCAAGTAGGCCCGTGGTGTGCTCTCGCATCTCACGGATCATTCCGGATCATACACGACCAGAGTGGTCAGGTTATACAGCAAGGGAACTTTACATCGATCAGGCATCTGTGCTGGCATCCTCAGCGAGCTCTACTGGCCATAGCGCATGGAAGTCGCATAAGTATCCTCAAAGTTCAGTGAAAGATATTCCTTCAAATGGAGCGATATGCGAAATAATTGCGGCCAGGCGACATCGTCGTTCTTCATCAGGGGAGGATGACGCTTCGAAGAGAACTTATTGATCATTGCCGAAAATAAAGAAGCTAATGCACCTTGAGAGTGAGTCTTACTGCCTGAACTTCGATTCAAGTTTCCCCGAATGAGTCGACGGGGCTTAGTTACGGTCCAACGATAACCTTCGAATCGAAGTCCACGAAAAACGAATGATTGGACCCCCACATCTTAACCGAGACAAACTCACTGACACGAGGCTGATTTATTTCTCTGAAATACGTACCTAGTCATCATAGAAGTGCTCAACAAACAGTGACTTCTCTTAAAATCGCTTCACGGATTACCTACGTTCGGACGCACGACTTCGCGTGACATATATAGATATAGATTAGCGTCATTACGGCGCTGGTGGCTCTGTGAGGTCGGCTTGATACTTCCGCTTGATGATGAAGATTCTTTGTTGATTCAGAATCACGGTCAGATAGTATCCCTGGAGATATACTGCGGAGAGGAGTCAATATCAACGAGGGGTAAAACTCGGGTCATCCTTCAGACTTCGCCTTCCACGCTTACCCATCCGAAGCTCAAAGAGCATATAACTTGAAAGAATGACCGTCACCGAAAGTGTACGGACTAATCCTCTTACCACACATCCTTTTGATCCCTTCCTCATTGTGGTCCAGAGGTAGGAGATCGTTCTTTGTGGCGCAGTGTACCATTTGGAATATTATCTGAGCCACAGTTTCATCGTTCTCCAAGTCCCCCGATGACTGGAACAGGGGTTCGGGGTTCGAGTCATTCCGATAATGCATAATACACGGTTGTCTAATTCATATGGCAAATGACATCGGTCACCACCTTCTGTTTTGGATTTGAATAGTGTTGCGGGAGAGTCCCGAGCGGCCAACCGAATCATATGAAGTACAAGCGGCAGATACAGATGGACGACTAATTCGAACGCAGGAAAATACATTAACCCGAAAAACTCACGTTCACAATCGCGGCGTCACCGGTCATGACGATTTGCCCAAGAGTATCCGGGGCTTTTCCCAGATTCGCGTACATTTTCTGTCGTGCCGTTCCTCGGCGTTTCCCGATAGACGAATGTTCGTTTTCGAATAAGTCTCAAAATGTTGCGGTGAGAGAAGGTGTTGATAAGATCGATATCTAGAAGCCCACTCGACGAGACAATGAGCTCAGGTCCTCTCTCGGTGCTCGAACTTGAGCCGGAGAATGACTCTTAAGGGGTTCCGCAGGAGCTGGCCTCACACTTGACGACGCCGAGTGCGAGCTCTCCGCTCCGATTCTCCGAGGACCGTGTGTTTTGGGTCGCGGATTGCAAGCTTCGCGCTGTTTGTCCGAATACTCCATGTAGTGCGCACCAGGACAGTCCGATCTGATGACTACTGACGGCTCGCAGATGGGTGTTCCATCCGGCTCACAGTCGGCGGGGTATTGACAAGTGGTGGTTCGTCGGAACAATCCAGTGCGATACTGGTATCGACTATAATTTGTGAGTGTGTGTGTGTGTTCGTGCGTTGAGAACGGGAGGACTATCATGCTGCGTTTCTTCCAAATCGACTGAAGGACTTGATCAGCTCCGTGGTCCGAAATGGAAACGAGCTGGCTCGAGTGCCGCTCCAAGAGGAAATACTCTCCATTATTCACTTTCCAGGTGAGCACTCGGAGTTTTTTGAGGGACGGACTCTAGCGGGAGACCTTGCTCGAGTCTCGAGTGAGAGAGCCGATATCCCAGAACCGATTTTAGCATTTACTCTGGCCGCTAATGTCGCTCTCGAAATCACTACTTTTTCGTCACCGACGGAACGCGCACTGATTCCGCTTAGCGATTACACATGTTGAGAGCGAATGCGCGGTCCGAGATTCCGTCAAACGGTAACTATTAGAATCGATGCCTGAGCTCCTCAAACGGAAACAAACGCGGACATTGAGCTGAAGAAATCCTTGGCTACCCTGCAAGCTCGATTAGTGTCACGTCTGACAAGCTTGAGCATGCAATGGGTCAAGATCAACTCGATCACCTGAGACGATGCCTTTCGTGCCAAGTTTCGGTTCGAGGAGGTGGCGTCGACTTTGGGGTCTCTTACTCATGCCAGACGTCCACCGCGGAGGGCGCAATCGATGGGAAGAAAATAGTGAGACAAGGGAACCTTGAAGACACGACATCGGCGACCCACACTTAACCTTTTTCCTTCCCACGGGGGACCGTCGCGGATTCGGTATGGTTCCCGCCAAACAACCCTCCTCCGATTCAACGAGCTCTATCAAGAGCAAGGGTTCTTCCGGAGAGGATGCTTGGGCTCTCAATCAGACAGGAAATCCCCCTCCTCGTACCTTGAAGCATGGCGGAGACATTACCTAGAGTCGACACCGACGGAGCATCCCTATCTGACGACTCGGCTTTTTCCTTTCCAGCGCCGACTACGGCATCTCAGAGAAATTTCTTTCCGGAATCTCTCGATTCCCGAGGGCTGCCGAGAGGTCCAACTCAAGCTCCTCGACTCTAAGAGCGATCTCATCTGTGAGGCTGAATCCCTTGAAGCCACGAGCAATCCACACTGGAGGAGCTTGTCCCTGACGGGCGGCTCGCCGACAAGTAAAGGTCTCTATCTGACCATGAAAGCTTTCTTCTTGCTTCGGAATTCCTCTGCAGGATTAGGAATCGCGTCATGCAAGATATGCCTCATAGAGGATCCCTCCAGGACCCTCTATCGGGGAGACATTGTTTGTTCAATCTTATCGAGCTTCATCTGGACTGTATTTCTTCTTACAGACGTAATTGTACAAATTTTCGCGGACGACCGTCTCATAGTCGAATGGAGGCTATATTTCTCTGGATTGATATTCGTCTCGAGACATTGGCCGAATGAGTCGGTGATTCTCGCCCCGAACTCCATGCTAGTGATGTTTGCCGAGGGAGTCTACTGTGATAAGACATGCTTTGATATCTGTGATAATGCTAAAGATTGCAACCAGGTCAGTATCAGACGGCAAAGGTCATTTTTCGCGGTTTTCCGAGAAGTAACTGGATAAGATCGAGGAGTTACGGCCTGGGGTCCGATGTCGGGGTGGTACATCGGTTGAAATCAAATCTGCTCATTGAAGGCGGCTCGTGGTACTTCGGATGGCGTCATCGTCAACGCGGAGGCTCTCTGTGACGTGCGGTCTGCTGTGACTGTAGACACAAGACGACTGAAGAAATCATACGGAATCAACGCTCTCAATCGGTGGGTGTCATCGATTTCGATTGGGGAAACTTTTCTCATCTGCGCTGCTCAGCCATGTCGACTGAGGGCTTGAATCCGATTCTCCTTCCCAGACTGTACACGAACGAAAGAGCCATCTTACGCACTGCCGTCACTGCGCACAACCTGAGGAGCAGCCTCGAGGACCGAATCGATGCCGAAGCCGAGTCGTCTTCGGAAGAACTCCGTTGCATGATCGAAACTGCCCGGGTGAAGTGTAAGGCCCTGAGGAGACTCCTCGAAGAGCGGTCTCAGCTCCTAGATAGAGAGACTAAACAATTGATCGCGGAAGATAATGTGGTACTTCAGAAACGTGAGTGGCTTTTCAGCATCCTTCGCCAGTTCGAACCCATCGATTCGTCGAGTTTGTCTCAATTGGGGACTGGACAACGCCGAGAGCCCATCTTGCTCTCATACGAACGAGAAACCAATCTCTGAGAAACCCGACCCTTTCAGAAGACGAGATCGCAGCCTGCAAGGACTCGTTTCATGAGTTGAAGGAGAATTTGAGCCTTGAGAGGGAAGCGGTGAAGCAGATGAGGAGCGACTTGGATTCCTTGCCTCTTCTACAACGCCAACTAGCCCTCATCTGTGAGCTCGACGACTACATCTATCCCATTCGACAGGTAGATATCTGTAAAAGGACAGACGCTATAAAACTGTGACCATACATGCGCAGAACTGGAAATGAGTCGTACCGATCCTCCAGGTGCCGAAAGGCTATACCATCTGTTCGATGTTCATTCCATCATCACTCAGCGACTTCAAAGATCCGAGGAAAAGTGAGTACTGCTCTGTCGACTTCTCAGGACACTCTCGAAGCCTGTCGCCGATAGTTCGCCGTTGAGAAAAAACTTTCTCGCAGTTTCAGATGATCAAGTTGTGTCAACTGGAATGGCATATCTCTTCCACCTGGTCACCATGCTTTCGACGTTCACTGGAGTTCCCTTGATCTATCCTCTGAAATACGAGAAGAATCTTCCGATGGTGGTCGATATCAGCATGGATTCCTTTCACCATAAAGAGTGAGTTGTAAATTGGATGGTCCGCTGCGAGTTCGGGAGTCGAGTATGAAATATTGTCTCCCGATCCTTGATGTGCGTTCTGAAGCAACAGTATCAACGCTTCTCTCTACTGGAGGATGGGACTGGTGATTTTCATGACGAATTTCTTCCATTCGATTCGGCAGATTCCCACTGTGGGTGAGGGGCAAAGACAGGGTGTACTTCGAGCATGCGGTTCCTCTGCTCGCCCTGAACGTGGCAGATCTTCGGATCCAGTTCAAACTTCCATCAATGAGAGGCCGACTGATGCCAGGACTTTGGAATCTCGTAAGACACTTCCGAGAGGAACGAGCGCGTTTAGGGTGAGCACAGCACATGAATCTTAATTCAACGGCTGATACAATGCCCAGAAGATGATACAGCGACTCCAAGGGGCTGATGCTCCATTCACTAATAAGTTCGTATGGTTCACCCGCAGCCCGATAGAATCTGGCGAACTCGGTATTTCCGTGTCGAAGCACATGACAGCAGACGATTGGATGACGCCCTCCCTCAGTAATACGCCTGAGCATAGCTCCCCGGTTGGAACTCCTCGGCTAAGTTTGAGGATACATTCCGTGCCTAATCTCGTGTCACACAGCAGCGATTCGTTGGAAATCGACGTTGGAGCAGCGAGTGACCACCTCAGCTGATGATTTCATTTGCTTATGAATAGAGGACCGGTGTGCACTAATGCCTTATACAGGAATAAAGATGCCCCCCGAGCGGGGATTCTTAATTCGCCAAGAGAGGCAACGAAAGAGTTATTCTCTCAATTTCTCCCCTCTGAATAAACCAGAACAGTATTCGAGCACGCACGACGGCGTCGGGAATCATCCGCTACCTGCCGTTTCCCTGTGCTTCATGCTCTCGGATATTCGAGAATCCGGACCTCTCGATTCCTCGGCGCTCGATGGCGGATATTTTGAAACCTTCTCGGACGTACGAAACCGCAACGCTCACGCAGTCCCTCAACATGGATTCAAGCTACCTGCCTCCGGTGTAAGCACCCCTTTAGTCATTTCGCCGGTCACAGCGTCTGGGTATATTAGTGACGTTTCAAATATCTCGACTCAGGCAGTGCGGTGTTGAACCTCAGCCGACGACCAAGCGCTTCATCGAAAAATCATCTAGAACAAGCTAGCAAGTCATTCCCCGCAATTCACTATTTACCGTGTTTGTAGTCTGACCTACAGATGGTTTCATGACACTTCTCCGGGTGGAATTCTGCGTTGCGAGGTGGCGTTCGGGACTGAAACCCTGTAAAATTCGCTCTCCGGGTTCTCCCAACCTCCCATGTGGGACAGAATAAAAGCGAGGAGGGCTCTTATCCTTGCTCACAAAAGAGCGCAAACAACGAAAGCGGACAGTCATTCCTAGCAGCCTTGGATCCGAAAAAGCACGCAAGATGATCGCGATCACAAATGGTGTCATCGCCAGGACCACCTACTTCGTATCGAAGCCCGGTGTGAAAGACGCCGAGATAAGAGCGTTCGCCCGGTACACTCCCCCTGCTAATGGTTTGAGGATCGAGAGGGTGCAATTCGGAAAGACTCGCCCTAACAGACTCATACTTGCGGACCGCGCCAAAAACGAGGGGGAGGACTATGAGGGATTCGTGATATTCAATCGCGGTCCCCTTATCGGGGACCCTTTGTTGGTGCAACTCGAACGCGAGATCGCTGCCTATACGTCTCCATACAGAGGTTTTCCTGGTTTCGCCGGAAGACAGTTCCTCCCCGAGCAAGAAGCAGAGGAAATCATCAGGAATTAGCAATGCATGAATGTATTGGTTCGAGGATGAAAAATATATGAGCTTGAGACGTGCAAAATCATCCGAGGCTCATTAATTGTACATTGGCGGGTCGAGGGCCTCGGGAGTCGATAGGTTTCGATGACGGGTGACTGTGACTAAGGATTTTGAGAGGGAAACTTCCCGGACTGCTCGGTCATTCAGGCGGAAATTCCGCCACCTTCTCAGCTCCGACCTTCACTTCAAAAGACCCTATGAGTCCACATTCCTCCTTATTTTCACATTTGTCAACGTTTTTCTCTAGAGGTGCCGCGTCTTTAGGGTGAGAAGTGAGAGGTCCGTCGCGCCCGACACATACCTCTTGACTGGCTATGGCTGTGTACCAAGGATCTTTCGACAAAGGATAAGCTCTCGTCAGGGCCTGCCGAGCGGCTTCCTCCTTTACCCTGAATATTCACAGTCGAAGTGCCATATCGGGACCTCCAGACTTTGATATGGGGAATCGTGGTGATCGGTACAATGGAAAAAGAGGCTTTTCCGGAGCTGCGTATGGGCGATGACGGAAATCGTTTGTTCAATTAGTCCAGAACGAACTTCCTTCGTCCAACGATGAGAAATTCCGCCCCGAAGAGCGGAAGCCGAGACAGACAAAAGCAGATAGCTGTAAAATCCCAATTTCTGCGGTGACCTTACTAGTTCACGGAGCCCGACTCGGCCCAAGTGAAGCAAAATCGAGGAGCTCTGAAGTTTCGAGTGATGGGGAGCAGGAATGGCATTTTATTCACAACATCTCTGTCCTCAAGCTCGGGATGGAGTGATGAATTCTGAA